GGAGGGAGGGGGAAGGAAAGAACACTATGGGACAGGGGAGGGAGGGGGAAGGAAAGAACACTATGGGACAGGGTAGGGGTAGGAAAGAACACTATGGGACAGGAGAGAGGGAGGAAAAAACACTATGGGACAGGGGAGGGGAGAACATTATGGTTTGGGGGGGGAGGGGGAGAACAGTATGGGAGAACCAAGGTACAAGGAAGGGAAAAGGAACACTGGGGTGGGGGGGCACTAAAAGATAAGGAAGAGGAACATTAAGGGGAATGGGAGGAGGAGTTACTACCGCACATATTTACAAACACACTGATTCCACTACCCAAAACACACACACACACTGCATTTACTAATTAAATACTCTCACTGCATCAACTACACACACAAATATTCTTGAAAACATAAAAAAAATCTGACTGGCATGTATATTTTGTGTATTTAACACTTACCGTATATATTAGAGTATAAGCCGAGTTTTTCAGCACATTTTTTGGCTTATACTCTAGTCAAGGTCTGTATTATGGCAACTTTGCCATAATACAGACCAGGACCGCCAGGCTCGTTACAAGCCCGACGGTCCTGTTGGGGGCTGACAGCGAGCTGTTACTTACCTTCCTGCAGCTCCTGTCAGCTCCCATCTCCTCCGTGCAGCTCCCCTGTCAGCTCCGTTCTGCTTACAGTGTAAGTCGCGGGTCTCGCGAGACTTACACTGTAAGCAGAACGGAGCTGACAGAGGAGCTGCACGGAGGAGAAGGGAGCTGCAGGAAGGTAAGTAACAGCTCTCTGTCAGCCCCCCCACTGAACAGCCAATGCCACTGGACCACCAGGGATTCAATATTATTTTAATATTTTATTTTAATAATATTTTATTATTTTATTTTAATAATAAAATAAAATATTAAAATAATATAATAATAAAATAATATTATTTTAATATTTGCATTATTTTTTTTAAATTTTGTCCCCCCTCCCTGCTTGTTGCATGGCCAGGGAGGAGGGACAAAAAAATATTTAAAAAAAAAAATATGCAAATATTAAAATAATATAATAATAAAATATATTAAAATAAAAATGCCCTCCCCTCACCCAGTTTACACACACTGCATTATATACACACTGCATTCATTATATACACACACAACACACACTCTGCATTCATTATATACACACACAAACACACACTGTAAATAAATATTCAATTAATGTAATTTTATTGGGATCTAATTTTATTTAGAAATTTACCAGTAGCTGCTGCATTTCCCACCCTAGGCTTATACTCGAGTCAATAAGTTTTCCCAGTTTTTTGTGGTAAAATTAGGGGCCTCAGCTTATATTCGGGTCGGCTTATACTCGAGTGTATATATGGTAATAATAATAATAAAAATAAATAGAGAAATGTACAGAATATCGGTAAAGTATCGGCGATCGGCCTGGAAGTTAACAGATTATCGACTCTAAAAAAATCAATATTGGTCGATCCATAGTTTAAACACATCATGTAACTACAGATAAATTATAAAAACTAAATTATTTCAGTATATTTTGTGGACCCAGGACATACTTGAAAACGAGAGTAATCTCAATGTACCCTTCCTGGTAAAATACTGTATTTTATAAATAAATAAATTGTATCTGTATTCAAATACATAAACCAATATCCGAGCACTATAAACATTGTGTTACTTTTGGCTTCTCTGTTGATTTAGTGTAATACTAGAATACTTATTAGTGCGATTAAGAGGGTAATTATTGCAGGTTATCAAAAACTGCAATAATTACCATTGCAAGGTTAAATCCCCTGTATACTGCACACAGGCCACTTCAATGAGCTGAAGTGGTCTATGTGCCTATAGTGTCCTTTTAACACCATAGGTGCTAAAATGAAAGATCAATGGTGTGGATAGATCATGTTGGCTTGCTCTGTACACGTGGAATGAGCCTGAAGGGTTTAGGTTTCAGATTTTAAACTCCACACCAAACTGGATTAAACTGAAACCCAAATTGCAAAAAATGTCCCCAAACCCATTCTTTTGGCCTATTTTTTTTTCCCCAATTTCTTCAAGTTTGGTGTTTAGTGAATACACACCATGGTTTTAAAATGTATTTACATAGGCAAAATAATGACGGATATAAATAATAAGGTTTTCTGATGCCCATGTAAGTATTAATCAAGGAATCTGGCGGCGGTCGATCTTGGCAAATTAATCCATGTAAAAAGAAAAAACTTGTATTATTCCATTTTCCAGGGCGTGGGTTTAGTAAATAATTTTCCTGCCGGCTTAGATCTGATCGAATGAATGTACACACATCAGAGGAGACTGTGGTGCTTATTTCTCTTAAAGGACAACTTTCACTGCAAACCTGTTTTTTTTAATGTATTAACCCTTTCATCAAGTATTAAAAGAACCCACCCCTCAGTATATGTAAACAGATCAGAGAAATGCTTTCCTACCTTCAGTATATTACAGGATCCTTCAGCCATATACATGAACCTTTGGTCAGACTGTGTTAGAAAACAGTCTCCCTGCATAGGCAGGGAGTTAACCCCTGGCAGCCCCCCCCCGGCAAAAGAAGCCCCCGGGGGCCATGTGATCGCTCTCAAATAGCGATCACATGGCCCCCTATAGCTGGCTGTGGATCTGCCAGCAGGTGGACTATCTGAAATGTCACAGTCCCCCTGCTGGTGGAAAGTGTAAAAAAAATAAAAAATCTTTAGTCGTGTAAAAATAAAATATATATATGTAACGTCATATAGAGTGTATTTTAATATTAGTATTAAAATACACTTAGAATGACGTTACGTGTATATATATATACACACACACACACACACACACACTATATATACACATAATTACAATAATAAAAAATAAAATATTGAAACAAAATAATATAAATTATATATTCATATGTAATTTCATTCTAACTGTATTTTGTTAATATATATTGGTAACAAAATACACTTAGAATGAGATATATATATATATATATATATATACGCAAATAAACACACATATTTACATAAAAGATTACATTAGTATACACGTAGAATTTAAATAACTAAATGCATATATATTAAAATTCTACATGTATTAAGTAATCTTTTAACATAATTATGTGATTTGATTGACATGCCTGACAACACAGGGAGAAAGTGCAGAGAATTTAATTTGCAAGCACTATATTTGACCCTGTAACTCTCCAAGACACCATAAAACCTGTACATAGTGGTACTGTTTTACTCCGGAGACTTCGCTGAACTCAAATATTAGTGTTTCATACTGGTACATTGTATTACGATTCTATTTTAAGTAAAAGTGACATTTTTTGCATTTTTTACAAATGGCACTTTTATGGACTAGATGATTGTTGTAATATGTTTTACTGTTTTAAAACACTAATATTTGTGTTTAGTGAAGTCTCCCGAGAATAACAGTACCCCCCATGTACAGGTTTTATGGTGTTTTGGAAAGTTAGAGAGTCACATGTAAGGCTTGCATTTCATTTTTGTGACATTGAAATTTGGCCAAATATTATTTTTTTTGCTTTTTTCACACAAAAACAAATATGAACGCTAACTTTGGCCAGTGTTTGTGACTAAGTGGCTACTAAAAAAGACTGGACATACCCCATTTGCAATACCTTGGGTTGTCTACTTTTGCAAATGGTATGCCATCATAGGGGTAATTCTCATTCCTGGGCTACCATACGGTCTCAAATGCAAAGTAACCAATCTGGCGAATTTCAATGTGAAAAATCTGAAACGCAAGCCTTATATTTGACTCTCTAACTTTTGAAACCACCATGAAACCTGTACATGAGGGGTACTGTTATACTCAAGAGACTTCGCTGAACACAAATATTAGTGTTTCAAAACAGTAAAACGTATCACAACAATTATATCGTCCGTGTAAGTGCCATTTGTATGTGAAAAAAAGCAAAAAATGTCAATTTCACTGACGATATTATCGTTGTAATACATTTTACTGTTTTGAAACACTAATATTTGTGTTCAGCAAAGTCTTCCGAGTAAAACAGTACCCCCCATGTACAGGTTTTATGGTGTCCAGGAAAGTTACAGGGTTAAATATAGTACTAGCAAATTAAATTCCCTGGACTTTCGGCCTCAGTTGTCAGGCAGGTACTGCGAATTGTAATTAATAAAATGACCCAATTATGTGAAATTATTCTATAATATATTTAATTATTTTTATTTATTTATATATAGGTATATATAAAGTGATATATACGTATATACTTATGTATATAGATATATTATTTCGTTCTAAGGGTATTTTGATATCAACATATATTCATTTTAAAATACAGTTAGAACGAAATTACACATATATTTATTTTTTTAACATTTTTTGATTTTTGCAGTGCAATATAGAATGACATACAGGCCTGAGGTGCCCCAAAGGCAGTCCTCTGGCTGAGCTTTACTGTAGATTTGACATGCACAATTTTTTAATATAGAGAACATAAGAAAAACAGCGGTTACATCCCTCTATGCCACATTTAGGAAGAGACATTCCACAATAGAGTTAAGCATAGAGTGGAGCAACAGATAAACGTTTGACTAGCCAGGCTTTAGGTATATGTTTTACAACAGGCTATGAAACTGGCAGCATATTGATAAAGTAGGTTTGACAAATTAGTGATTCAAAGCTAGGTTACGGTATCGCTAGGTGCAGATATAGTGAAGCTATGCGTGGTATGGCTCGAAAAGGAAAGTACAAGACACAGATGCAGAGTATAACTATTAAGCATGTGCTTCAGTATAAGGTATGAGTTCACTCTGGTTTGGAGGGCTCAGTGTGTGGCCGTCTGCTCGCTTAGAATCACAGTTCCAGCGGTGGCCTCAAGCCCTGCCATGCCGCGATGTCGTCAGCCAATTCCCTCTGTGGGGTAGTCGCGTGTGCCTTCCAGCAGGTCACGGTAAGCTGTTGTCGCGGTCTCCCTGCGCTTTCGGCACCGTCCACCTGTGCGGGCCTCTGCATACCTTGGTGGCTGGGTTGCTTCCTGTTTAGCCCCGTGCTGGCTGCAGTGAGCATCCAGGCGCCGCAAGCTGTGTTGGGGATGCTTAGTGCATAGGGTCTGCTTTCGCCGGCCGCCATCCTCCCCATCTTGGGTGTACCTTGCTGCCTCATGGTGATCGGAAGCAATGGTGGCCGGCTGCCTGTGGCACCCAGCGAGGACCGGGATAACCCCCGCCGGTCCAAAGGGGGGGGGGGTTGCTATCTGCAAGGTTACCATCTGGGCCTCAAGCTGGAATCGTGGGGACCCGGTGAGTTGCGGGTACAAGTTTGGTATCAAAACGTTTTCCCGGGTCTCCCCCACTCTGTAGTCACCTTCCCAGCAGTGTACGTGCGATGATTTGGGGTATATCCCCAGTTTTAGTGGCTGGCTTGCAGGAGCTATCGTGCAGCACGTCCACTCTGCTAGGAAGCTAGGCCCCGCCCCCTTTTTTTTTTTACGTATTTACATATACATTTATTTTATATTATAATTATATATATTTAATCAATATCATTGTACATGTATTTTGATATTAATATATATTAATATTAAAATACACTTAGACTGTGTGTGTGTGTGTGTGTGTGTGTGTGTATGTATGTGTATATATATATATATATATATATATATATATATATATATATATATATATATATATGATCTCAGTATATATTATTTTATTTTACACTGTTTTAACACTTTTTTTTTTTTTCAGACAGCAGGGGGAGGCACTCCACCTGCTAGCATTGCTGTGGACGGCTATGCCGTCCATGTGATTGCGAGGTCCTCACAAGGACCTCACGATCACATGGCCCAGGGAGAACGGAGAGGGACTCCCTGAGATGCCAGGAGAGTCCCCATACCGCGATCGCTGGCGTGGGGTCGCCGGCGACCGGGTAAGTACATAGGACGGCGGGGACGTGCTATGCCGCCCCCCGGCGTTTAGAGCCAGATCCCCAAGGACGGCATAGCACGTCCCCCGTCCTTAAGGGGTTAAGCAAGGAAGACCACAGAGACAAAGTGTTTCCAAACACAGTCAGACCCAATGTGCCTGTATATGGATGAAGGATCCTGTCATATGCTAAATGTAGGGATGAGGTTCTCCAGTTGTCCTTTCAGAAGGTTGGAGTGATGCTTGCGTGCAATTGTAATCAATACAGTGGTGCAGCAAGTGCTCACTAGCTAAATCGGTCATTAAATGCAGAACTTCATTCCTGCAGTTTATTGGATACAAACGGACACCCAATAAACAAGACATAAATCAAAGGTGATGGGAGACCTACTAGTGACTAGACTTGCACACAAATCTTCTTCACCTGCAAAGAATTAAAGGAACACTATAGGGTTAGGAACACAAACATATATTTTTAACCCTATAGTGTTAAAAACACCATCTAGCCCCGATCCCCGATCCCCTATCCCCTCTTGCCTCCTTAAATACAATAAAATCTTACTTGTATTTAAATCTGCAGCTGCAGCCTCGGACCTGCCTGCTGACATCAGCAAAAGTGGTGACCTGATCCAATCACAATGCTTCCCCATAGGATTGGCTGAGACTGACAAAGAGGCAGATCAGGGGCAAAGCCAGCACAATTCAAACACAGCCCTGGCCAATCAGCTTCTCCTCATAGAGATGAACTGAATCAATTAATCTCTATGAGGAAAGTTCAGTGTCTGCATGCAGAGGGTGGAGATACTGAATGTTTGGATGCATTTTAGGCAGCCATGACCCAGGAAGGATCTCTAACAGCCATCTGAGGAGTGGCCAGTGGAGGTATCTCTAGTCTGTAATGTAAACACTGCATTTTCTCTGAAAAGACAGTGTTTACAGCAAAAAGCCTGAAGGTAATGATTCTGGTGACTATAGGGTCCCTTTAATCAAATTTCTTTTAATCTACGCCCAAATTAATCTATGAGTCACGTAAATCCTTGCTTGTTAGATTGGTTGGGTGTGGATTACCAGGAATTTGATTAGTTCATCGCAGGTAAAATTTCTACCAATGACCAGCTCACGTGGGTTCTACAGTAAAAAGAAATACTACAAAGACAAAACAGACTCTGAACTCATTACTGCAGCAATCGATTAATACACCACCGTGGGACAGACACTATGGCTTCAATTATTGAATGAGCTTTTCATATGATTCCATATTTCGAAAAATATTTTAAGATTTTTATGTAGATATATTTTTACATTTAAAAAAAGTGATTTTAAAGTTTTATCCAAATAAATATTAAATAATTTAAAAAAGCTTATCCAAGTATATTAAATGGAGTCCTATGTCGGCTAGAAGACCGTTACCTAGCACAATGCCGGCTTACCTCTCACTTTATCTTCTTTAAGGTGCAGTTGGAGCAATTTGTGAACAGTATCCTGTGACAGTAAAAAAACATCAGTATGACAAGCCAAAACAATACAGAAATAGCCGTTATCTGCTGATTCTTGATCATTAATCACATTATTTAGAAAAGCAGTCACCTGAAAAATAAAAAAACAAATCAACAAAAACCCACTTGATCAAAATAGCCACAGACTAGCTCTTTTGGCCTGAATTCTATTATACACTGTGTACGAGTGTATCAGAGCTGCAAAGCAATAAAACTCAGTAACACTCCAGCGTTATGAATACCGGTTTGTATTGTTCCTTTACAGCAGGAATATGCCATGATAGGCAAACCAGATGTGGGCTACATCTCCCTTAAGGGGGTATTATAGTGTTCCCCATAGGAAGACATTACCTTAATGCCATCCAGGAAATGCCTCTACTGGCTGTCTGACTTAGTTCTGCAAGGTAATTACTGCAGTGTCTCTAAAACTGCAATGATTTACATTGCAGGGCTAAGGGGGACAATGTGCTGAAGTGGTTTTGGTGACTACAGTGTCCCTTTATTGCTGTGAAAGCATTAAAGGAGAAATAGTCCCTGCTTTAAAAAGGAACACAGTAGCATTAGGAATAATGTTCTCCTCTGCATTTAGTTTCAGCAATCCAACCTAATCTAAAATAAAAAGGGTTAATTAAAAAAAGGGCGTATTTTACTCTTTTTTTTTTTTTTTTTACAGTCCCTACAGCAGCTCAAACTGCTCCCACAAGTCACGCTGACTGTCTCGTCAAATCCTGAGTACCTTATACAGGGGCACTGGAGACAAGAAGCGCACTCCCCGCTGGCACTGAGCTCCTCTAGCCAAATGGCGGTTAACTTTCAGAATCAAATTTGACCCTGAAATGTAAAAATTGTTACACTATAGGCACATAGACCACTTCAGCTCATTGAAGTGGTCTGGGTGCAGTATACCGGGGATTTAACAATGCAATGGTAACTATTGCAGTTTTTGATAAACTGCAATAATTACCTGCTTAATTGCACTAATAAATATCCTAGTAGTAAACTAAATCCACAGATCAGCCAAAAGTAACACAATGTTTATAGAGCTCGGATATTGGTTTATGTATTTGAATACAGATACAATTTATTTATTTATAAAATATTTTACCAGGAAGGATACATTGAGATTTCTCTCGTTTTCAAGTATGTCCTGGGTCCATAAAATTTACTGAAACTGAAATAAAATGTAGTTTTTTAGAATTTATCTGAAGAACTACATTATGTGTTTAAACTACAGATCAACCGATATTGTATTTTTTTTTTAGAGCTGATACCGGTAATCTGTGAACTTTCAGGCCGATTGTTCTTTTTTTAAGTGGTAAATGCACAAAATATACATGTCCCTTGGTTCTGGGTCAGGCTTCGCCTTCACTCCTCCTCCACCAATGTCAGCTGGCGGGGCGGGGGGTGGCTAATGCGCATGCACAGCAGGCTCTGTGATCGCATTTGGACGACCCCATAGGAATGCATTGAATCAATCCTTTCTTACGGAATGTTGGCGGTCGATGGATATCCGGCGCAGGGAACCAGAAGTCGCCGAACGGCCCGGAAGTCCTTCTAGTGAGGTGGAGTTTACCCGGCAATGTAATTATTGCAGTTATAGGGTTACGGCTCCTGGGACACAGCACCCAGACCAACTCACAGAGAGAAGCACAGAAGTGGTTATGGTATTGTGAGTATCCCTTTAAACAACACACTGAATATATAGGTTACAGGAGCCTTAGCCACACATTGCACAACTACAACTCCCATGATCCTCTGTAAACACGTTATAACACTCGCCTTCCGAAACCCTGAGGAATCGTCTGCCTGCTGCATGCTGGAGTCCTGCTCACTCTCCGCCTCAATCCCAAACATCCTGCCCTCAGCGGCTGACCAATCACAAGGCTGCGCTATGCCCAGTCTGAAAAACTGTCCAATCAAAACATTGCCCTGCTGAGCTCCTGACCAATCACAAGGCTGCGCTATGCCCCGTCTGAAAAACTGTCCAATCAAAACATTGCCCTGCTAAGCTCCTGACCAATCACAAGGCTGCGCTATGCCCCGTCTGAAAAACGGTCCAATCAGATCATTCCCACGCAGAGCTCCTGACCAATCACAGGGTGTCAGAATGGTGAAAGTTCTATAATGAACTGGAGTCTCCAAGTTCTAAACACTCGAGAAGCATAGAGGTCTCTGCTGTGGAAGCCTCAGGCCAATACAAACGGCCATTTGCATGGCGACCAAAGTACATTGCGTCCTACGCAGATTGCTCCAACATAATGGCTGCTGTGGAGGAGACACACAGGGCGACCGTTTAGTTATTACAAGTTGTCATAGAAATAAGAATTTGGTGTGGGGATTTAGTGGTGCATTGTGGGAGTTAATCCTGGCACCAGGTCCCGACATGCCTCACTCTTCCTGGATACAGCTTGTGTACCCGGAGTTACAGTAACGGTAAGTAGCACTTACTCCACATCTCACCGGGAGACTCTGGGAGTTGGGGACATTTTCTGGGAAATTGGAATTCTGTCATTATTAGGGTCTGGTGTCAATATCTACTGTGTATTGTATCCCCTGCCATGTACTCTCACCAACTGTCACTGTCTGTATTATAATAATCATATTATATCATATCTCTATACACTGTCAGTATAATAATAATAATAATATATTATATCCAGCTCTCACTCTATACACTGTCACTGTCTGTATAATAATAATAATATATTATATCCAGCTCTCACTCTATACACTGTCACTGTCTGTATAATAATAATAATATATTATATCCAGCTCTCACTCTATACACTGTCACTCTCTGTATAATAATAATATATTATATCCAGCTCTCACTCTATACACGGTCACTGTCTGTATAATAATAATAATAATAATATATTATATCCAGCTCTCACTCTATACACTGTCACTCTCTGTATAATAATAATATATTATATCCAGCTCTCACTCTATACACTGTCTGTATAATAATAATATCAGCTCTCACTCTATACACTGTCACTGTCTGTATAATAATAATATGATATATTATATCCAGCTCTCACTCTATACACTGTCACTGTCTGTATAATAATAATAATATATTATATCCAGCTCTCACTCTATACACTGTCACTGTCTGTATAATAATAATATGATATATTATATCCAGCTCTCACTCTATACACTGTCACTGTCTGTATAATAATAATAATATATTATATCCAGCTCTCACTCTATACACTGTCTGTATAATAATAATATCAGATCTCACTCTATACACTGTCACTGTCTGTATAATAATAATATGATATATTATATCCAGCTCTCACTCTATACACTGTCACTGTCTGTATAATAATAATAATATATTATATCCAGCTCTCACTCTATACACTGTCACTCTCTGTATAATAATAATAATATATTATATCCAGCTCTCACTCTATACACTGTCACTCTCTGTATAATAATAATAATATATTATATCCAGCTCTCACTCTATACACTGTCACTGTCTGTATAATAATAATAATATATTATATCCAGCTCTCACTCTATACACTGTCACTCTCTGTATAATAATAATAATATATTATATCAATATATTATATCCTGCTATCACTCTATACACTGTCTGTATAATAATAATAATATATTATATCCAGCTCTCACTCTATACACTGTCACTCTCTGTATAATAATAATAATATATTATATCCAGCTCTCACTCTATACACTGTCACTGTCTGTATAATAATAATATCATATCTCACTCTATACACTGTCACTGTCTGTCTAATAATAATATCAGATCTCACTCTATACACTGTCACTGTCTGTGTAATAATAATATCAGCTCTCACTCTATACACTGTCACTGTCTGTCTAATAATAATATCAGATCTCACTCTATACACTGTCACTGTCTGTATAATAATAATATCAGATCTCACTCTATACACTGTCACTGTCTGTATAATAATATCAGATCTCACTCTATACACTGTCACTCTCTGTATAATAATAATAATATATTATATCCAGCTCTCACTCTATACACTGTCACTGTCTGTATAATAATAATATCAGATCTCACTCTATACACTGTCACTGTCTGTATAATAATAATATCAGCTCTCACTCTATACACTGTCACTGTCTGTATAATAATAATATGATATATTATATCCAGCTCTCACTCTATACACTGTCACTGTCTGTATAATAATAATATATTATATCCAGCTCTCACTCTATACACTGTCACTCTCTGTATAATAATAATAATATATTATATCCAGCTCTCACTCTATACACTGTCACTGTCTGTATAATAATAATATCATATCTCACTCTATACACTGTCACTGTCTGTCTAATAATAATATCAGATCTCACTCTATACACTGTCACTGTCTGTATAATAATAATATGATATATTATATCCAGCTCTCACTCTATACACTGTCACTGTCTGTATAATAATAATAATATATTATATCCAGCTCTCACTCTATACACTGTCACTCTCTGTATAATAATAATAATATATTATATCCAGCTCTCACTCTATACACTGTCACTGTCTGTATAATAATAATATCATATCTCACTCTATACACTGTCACTGTCTGTCTAATAATAATATCAGATCTCACTCTATACACTGTCACTGTCTGTGTAATAATAATATCAGCTCTCACTCTATACACTGTCACTGTCTGTCTAATAATAATATCAGATCTCACTCTATACACTGTCACTGTCTGTATAATAATAATATCAGATCTCACTCTATACACTGTCACTGTCTGTAATAATAATATCAGATCTCACTCTATACACTGTCACTGTCTGTATATAATAATAATATCAGATCTCACTCTATACCTGTCTGTCTGTCTAATAATGTCATATCTCACTCTTTCTGTCACTGTCTGTATAATAATAATATCAGATCTCACTCTATACACTGTCACTGTCTGTATAATAATAATATGTATATTATATCAGCTCTCACTCTATACGCTGTCACTGTCTGTATAATATCATATCTCACTCTATATCATGTCTGTATAATATTATCTCACTCTATACACTGTCACTGTCTGTCTAATAATATCATATCTCACTCTATACACTGTCACTGTCTGTATAATAATAATATCAGATCTCACTCTATACACTGTCACTGTCTGTATAATAATAATATCAGATCTCACTCTATACGCTGTCACTGTCTGTATAATAATAATATCATATCTCACTCTATACACTGTCACTGTCTGTATAATAATAATATCAGATCTCACTCTATACACTGTCACTGTCTGTCTAATAATATCATATCTCACTCTATACACTGTCACTGTCTGTATAATAATAATATCAGATCTCACTCTATACACTGTCACTGTCTGTATAATAATAATATAATATATTATATCCAGCTCTCACTCTATACGCTGTCACTGTCTGTATAATAATAATATCATATCTCACTCTATACACGGTCACTGTCTGTATAATAATAATATCAGATTTCACTCTATACACTGTCACTGTCTGTCTAATAATATCATATCTCACTCTATACACTGTCACTGTCTGTATAATAATAATATCAGATCTCACTCTATACACTGTCACTGTCTGTATAATAATAATATAATATATTATATCCAGCTCTAACTCTATACGCTGTCACTGTCTGTATAATAATAATATCATATCTCACTCTATACACGGTCACTGTCTGTATAATAATAATATCAGATTTCACTCTATACACTGTCACTGTCTGTATAATAATAATATAATATATTATATCCAGCTCTCACTCTATACACTGTCACTGTCTGTATAATAATAATATCATATCCCACTCTATACACTGTCACTGTCTGTATAATAATATCAGATCTCACTCTATACACTGTCACTGTCTGTATAATAATAATATAATATATTATATCCAGCTCTCACTCTATACGCTGTCACTGTCTGTATAATAATAATATCATATCTCACTCTATACACTGTCACTGTCTGTATAATAATAATATCAGCTCTCACTCTATACACTGTCACTGTCTGTATAATAATAATATAATATATTATATCCAGCTCTCACTCTATACACTGTCACTGTCTGTATAATAATAATATATTATATCCAGCTCTCTGCATCTCCCACAATACTCCAACAGCCATCATACTGACAAAGCATAATGGGAGGTGTAGTCCAGCCCCACCTGGAGAGCTGGAGGTTTGCCTGTCCCTGTTACAGGGATCCCCGCTGTCAAAATGGGAAACAGAATCCATTTCCATCTCCGCCCTATTATCCTAAAATGCGTCACATTAACATGTCAGACCCTCACATTTCATTCTTTGCTCAGAGAGTAAATCCATCAATCTTACCGGTAATCCAGTGTGTGGACAGACCCCGTGCAGCAGCCAGGATTAGTGTTCAGTTATGTCATAGAGAAGCATTGTGGACGTAGCGTGCATGCGCAGCTTGCCAATCACAGCGCCTTAACCCAGAATCATTGAATCCATCATCATGCTATGCGATGACGAAAATAAAGGCCTTCGAAAATCCAAGGTGTCATGGTGCAAGAGACCCTAATGTCTTGATGTAGGCAAAATGTAAACATTGTCAGACAAAAAGTATTACGTACTATACTGCATTACGAAGCAGTGGTTTTGATGCTTAGAATGCACTTTTAACGGCAGGGTTCTAAAGAAAATGTCTTTTAATGAAAATTGATTTTTTTATCATAATAACATACATCGCCCTTTGATTTATAGCGGACTGACAGTTATGGGAAAAATGAACTTAATAATTTGATAATTGCGAAGCCTGCAGTCCATCATCCGGCTAACTTCCTTCGGCAGGTTCCAACATTCGTAAAAGTGATGGCCGCTTCTACTGAAATAAGGTAGGATGATAAACAGTTTACCTTTTTGGAGGGATGGGAAGGAACCCGTAACATACCATTACCATTTTTCATTGATGAGAGACTAAAGGGCTGTTATTATTATTTGTTATAATTTACATTGAAAACACTAAAACATGTCATTCTTTTAATAAAAAGGCTAGGTTTAGGCACTAAAAAAATTGTCAGGAACTCAAAGTGAATTTTCCATTTCAGTTTGGCTATTAGCCACAATTGCAATTTACTTTCTTTTCTGTGAATCAACAAGAAGTGGAGCAATAATTAGCTGAGGTACCCCACACCCAACAGGAATAAAAAATATCTCAAAGAGTTAAAACAGGTAAACAGACAATAATAAAGATACATGACTATATTAACCTTAACTCTTAAAGGGACACTATAGTTACCTGAACAACTTCAGCTTAATGAGGTTGTTCAGGTTAAAACTATAGCTCCCTGCAGCCTTTCTCATGTAAACACTGTATTTTCTGAGAAATTACAGTGTTTACATTGAAACCTAGGAACACCTCCAGTTGCAGTCACTCAGAGTGAACCAGAGGGACTTCGGAGTTGATGGATATGCCTCCATCCACTCAGATCTGCTGTCAGCAGAGCACAGGGCAGCACTGTGCACAGCATCCTGTGATTCAGTATCTCCTCCCTCTGCATGCAGACACTGAACTTTCCTCATAGAGATTCATTGATTCAATTCATCTCTATGAGGAGATACTGATTGGCCAGGGCTGTGTTTGAATCATGCTGGCTCTGCCCCTGATCTGCCTCCTTGTCGGTCTCAGCCAATCCTATGGGGAAGCATTGTGATTGGATCAGGCTATGTCAGCAGACTGCTTGTTTTTCTGCGTCTTAACAGCATGCAGATTTACAGCTTCAGGCTTGAATACAGTAAGATTTTTACTATATTTATGGAGGCATGAGGGGCCCAGGGGGGCTAGATGGTGGTGTTAACACTATAGGGTGAGGAATACATGTTTGTGTTTCTGACCCTATAGCTATCCTTTAAGTTACCAGTAGATGACAGCAATTAATCACAAGATCACACAGTGCATAGAAGAAAAAATAGAGAAACATCAATAATAGTGTGGAACCGATTACTGTTATCCACTGGTAACTTAAAGGGACCCTATAGTCACCAGAACAACTACAGCTTATTGAATTTGTTCTGGTGAGTAGAATCATTACCTTCAGGCTTTTTGCAGTAAACACTGCCTTTTCAGAGAAAATGCAATGTTTACATTACAGCCTAGTGATAACTTCACTGGCCACTCCTCAGATGGCTGTTAGAGATCCTTCCTGGGTCATGGCTGCCTAAAATACATCCAAACATTCAGTATATCCTCCCTCTGCATGCAGACACTGAACTTTCCTCATAGATATTCATTGATTCGATTCATCTCTATGACGAGATGCTGATTGACCAGCCTCCTTGTTATTCTCAGCCAATCCTATGGGGAAGCATTGTGATAGGATCAGGCCACCACTTCTGCTGATGTCAGCAGGCAGAGGGCAGGTCTAAAGGAAACAGGGACAAAGTAAGCAGCTCCAGACTTGAATACAAGTAAGATTTTACTATATTTAGGGAGGCATGAGGGGCCAGGGGGGGGATAGATGGTTGTTTTAACACTATAGTGTCAGGAATACATGTGTGTGTTTCTGACCCTATAGTGCTACTTTAAGTATCGATTTTTTTGGATTCCTGTTGGGTGTGGGTACTTCGCCTAAAAATAGCTCAACTTCATTTTGATTCACTTTGATGTTATGTTGTTAGATGCCATGAAGGGAGAGCATCGAAGTGTGTAGCAGCCAGAGATATTATTGTAATCGTATCATTAGATCACTTTCCATGTGATATAGATCCCAGGTCTTTTTACCACTTTTGCCCTAGGTCTATTTAGCCCTCTGATATTTTCTCTTTTTTTACCATTTATTTTTTATTGGCAAAAATTATAAATTTACTTTGAATTCCTGAGAAATCACACGTTAATAAATAACCCAGTCTATGTTTCTAAAAATGTGCCAAACCTCGAAAGTCCTTTATTATAGATGAGGAGAAATCCCACCCAAGGCTGATTGATTCTGAGTGCTGTAATTGTATATTTGAGAGGTGAGCAGTGTTTACCTATGTTAGAGAAAGGTTTACACTACTGTCTTTTCTGTTCTTGTTCTTGCATTGTGTTGGAGAACGTTGCTGAGGAGGTGAGTGAGGCAGGGATTTGTTCCGTGATTTTAACAGATGTTCTCGTGTTTTCTAGTAAGATCCCAGCACAGCTAATTACGGTAGCCAAGCAAAGCAGCCTGGGTCTGAGCCTCGCCGGAGAGATTAGCAGAACAGAAGGACCATTGATCTACGTTAAGGACATTATTCCTGGTGGAGACTGTCACACGGTGATTATCTCTCATACTAAACGTCTTCCTCAAATGTCTACTTACTAAACAGTGACCTGTCAACTGACTGGCAAACTCTTCACCAAAATAGCCGAATTACAGAGAAAATATCCAGCTGCTCAGAGTTTCAAACATTTTAGAACTTACGTCCTTAGTCTGAATTTTGTACATTGATTGTCAGCTAATACAACTCACTGTTTAGTGAACAGACCCCATAACAGTGCTGTTCCATCAATAAATAGCTGAATTGTTGTCACTCTCTCCAATCTAGTAAAATAAAATGTATCCAGATTATTATTTACTGTTACTGTGCTGCTGTGAACAGAAATTCTGATATGAGTTAAAGAGCCATTTAAAGCATTTTCTCAAACTATAGTGCAGGAATGAATGTCTGTAGATTTCAGTGTTGACTGCTAGGAGCCCTTGTGCCAGTGTGAAGCCTGCATTCTGCCCAGCTGCTGTCAGTATGCTTGTTGGAGTTCCATGATTTTATATACAGTAGATAAAGGGAACCCAAGTTAAGTGTCCTGTGCCAATTGTCTGCCAAAAGCAGGAGAGAGAGAGACTTTAACCATAAAGAGTGTGAAAGCCACCACTTAGTAGCTGAGCCTCAACGTATGTTCAGTATAAATAAATATTTAGTGCACTTGCCAGAATGTCCGTGCCCTTTCCAAATGATCCCGTCAGTGGCATTCATTTCCCTGATAGGTAGAACACTTCCTGTCTAAGACCCTTCACTATGAAACAATAATAGGCTAGTTTTATTGATGTGCCATGGCTCACATTCCTTAAATTCATTAATAGACCCATGTGACGAACCAAACCTCGTCATGGGCTCCTGGAGGAGCCTGCTTAGCCATGCAAAATACACTGAAAAAAGGCTTGGTCTTGTTCCTGCGAACGCAGGCAGCAGTGTTTGGACATACATCTCATGGAAATAAAATCGGACACAGAAACTCCCGAACACTGCTGGACTTCCATCAGCACCTGCGGTTCTACCCCACTTAGAAAGGCACTGTGCGGTGAAAACGTTCCCACAAACAAGGGAAACAGGCTACACAAATAACTTAAGGATTCAGTTGGGTGTTTTATGTACTTTTGCGCTCCCGAAAAAGACCTACCGTTGGCCCTGATTTCCTTGAACTGTTTAGGATCATGTGCACGGTAGGTCAAAAATGTGACTTCCATGAAAATACCGAACCCCTGAACCGATCGTGGTTATTTTTGGATATGTTGGTCACCCAGATTGGGGCGATCAAGAGATGTGACTTTTGTGGAGTTTTCATGTGTGTTGGGTTGTATTTTTGGGGTTATGTTATATTGTATGTTTTTGTAACTGAGAGATAATTTAATTATATGTTTGTGTGATCAGGTAGGGCGCAGAGGAGGAGTGTGTGGAATGTTTGTAACTAGTTCCTCTCAGGTCCAGAGGGGAATGCCCCGTGAATATGTTTAAGGAAACCCCTTGCATGGGGAGTTACATAAAAGGCCATGTGTGACTTCTATTAAACACATTCGTTTTACCCCTTCATGAAGTCTAGGCTCATGTCTGGGGGATTGGAGAGCTCTAATCACTACTCTGCTGGAAACAGGAGAGCTCTAATCACTGCAGCATTTGGTATTAGGGAGACTTAATGCGGATATACTCAGCCAGAGTATAGGGGATCTGGTACAACCCAAACTTCCAATAATATTACAGCCATGAATATATTCTAGCTTAAAGCGGCACTGTCACACAAACTTACCCTTCTCTTATGGTTTTCCTCTTCTCTTCCTCTCTCAGCAGATGTTCTCCTTTACTTTTCTGATATAGTTTTCTTTAAAATATAAGACAAAGAAGGGACTACTTTGTCTTATGTATTTTTGCTACGCCTGACATTCTCTGACACAAGGAGGAGCTTAAGTTACTTCCATTTCCTGTGTCAAAGAACGTTTTCCCGCAATACTTACCCTCCTCCTTGAAGAAGGAAATGGAACTAACTTAAGTCAAAGAATGTCAGGTGTAGAAAAATACATAAGACAAAGTAGTCTGCAGTTCCACTTTTCAGAGTCTGTTAACTTCACCATCAGTGATCTTCTTCACCAAATGTCCTGCAGAGGACACTGTGCAGTGCATGAAAGGGGCTGACTTACTCCCAGTTTCACAATCCAGATACCCACTGTGAGGATATTCAATATAGGGAAAAAAAAACCGTGCAGAATCTAAATTAAAGAAGGTCCATTTATAGAGGTCGTATCACTACTGAGAAGTGTTGAATTTCTGATTTTCCTCCAAGACGACAGTCCAGCCAGTCTCCAAGAAGGCAGATTTAGCCCTGTCTTGCAAAGATTTTCTCAGTAGTATTTCCTTGGCTCTTATCAGAACTGGGCTGAGTTTGGCTTGCACTGTGTTTAGCAAACTGATGACTGTAGGACCAATCTGTGTGGTCAAAATATTGATGGAGTGAATACATGGGGACCTATAAAAGATGCATTGCCAATATATTAATCATTTGGAGGGGATGAAAGGTGAGCTGTCATTAACTTTGCTTTTGAAATGTTGGTTTTATTAATGGCAGGTTACATTAGTGCAGCATACGCCATCTATACGTGGCTGTGGCTAGGTTTTCATGTAAGGTGAGGTCAGTGTCTGTTTACGCTTTTTTCAAAGTCTGCCACTTGAGGTCATCCATAGATTATTTCAAAATTGGTTCCCTGCGCCATCTGTCTCCCTGCACATACTTCCTCAAAACTGCAACATTTGTGAATGTCATGCAGGTATAAGCCTGTGACTTTATTGGAGGAATCCATATTCCTTCCTATTTAAATATGGTAACATAGAATGTGACGGCAGATGAGAACCATTCGGCCCATCTAGTCTGACCAATTTTCTAAATGCTTTCATTAGTCCCTGGCCTTATGTTAAGTCTAGGTTAGCCTTATGCCTATCCCATGCATTCTTAAACTCCTTCACTGTGTTAAGACTATGTCCTCTTGCTGTGGTAGTTTTTCTTCTTTTAAATATAGTCTCCTCCTTTACTGTGTTGATTCCCTTTATGTATTTAAATGTATCTATCATATACCCCCTGTCTCATCTTTCCTCCAAACTATACATGTTAAGATCCTTTAACCTTTCCTTGTAAGTTTTATCCTGCAATCCATGAACCAGTTTAGTAGCCCTTCTCTGAACTCTCTCTAAGGTATCAATATCCTTCTGGAAATACGGTCTCCAGTACTGCGTACAATACTCCAAGTGAGGTCTCACCAGTGTTCTGTACAATGGCATGAACACTTCCCTCTTCATACTGTTAATACCTCTCCCTATACAACCAAGCATTCTGCTAGCATTTCCTGCTGCTCTATTACATTGTCTGCCTACCTTTAAGTCATCAGAAATAATCACCCCTAAATCCTTTTCCTCAGATATTGAGGTTAGGACTCTTTCAAATATTCTGTACTCTGCCCTTGGGTTTTTACATCCAAGATGCATTATCTTGCACTTATCCACATTAAATGTCAGTTGCCACAACTCTGACCATTTTTCTAGTTATACCATATAACATTTTTTGTAGAGTGCGCATTCCATGCAAGTTCCACCTCCCTGTCTGTTTCTGTGTGAAAACCCTTGTTATGGCTGCACATGTTCAGTAGATTGCATGCACTGCACCGTTTACAAACCATGACTAGGGCTGCCATTGAGTTCGTCAGTGAGATCTGATTAGTGGAACTGGGGCTGGAAGCAGAACTACATACTCATAAATTACTGATGGACAAAGATCAGGCTTTTTTTATTATATTTTTCATAATGCGTTATTTTTATAACACATAACAAATATGTGTTGTTCAGTTAATAGCAATTCTACTGTAAAAAGCCAACTCCTGAACTACGATTCCCAGAAACATTTGCTATGCATCCTTTTAAGATAATACATCCCGCATGGCAGCAGTATTGGTATCCCCCGAATTATTGGACCAAATACTGCACTCTGGAAAGGAGGGGAAGAGAGGGTCAACTGATTAAGAAAGCAAATTATATTATTTTTTATTATTTGTTTACGGAGTGTCCCTTTAATAATATAAACCCACCCAGTATAACTAACTGTAACCTAAACTACACAGTGCATCTAACGTGTGTGGGAGTCTGGAGTGTCCCTTTAATAATATAAACCCACCCAGTATAACTAACTGTAACCTAACCTACATAGTGCATCTAACATGTGTGGGAGCCTGGAGTGTCCCTTTAATAATATAAACCCACCCAGTATAACTAACTGTATCCTAACCTATACAGTGCATCTAACATGTGTGGGAGCCTGGAGTGTCCCTTTAATAATATAAACCCACCCAGTATAACTAACTGTACCCTAACCTACACAGTGCATCTAACGTGTGTGGGAGCCTGGAGTGTCCCTTTAATAATATAAACCCACCCAGTATAACTAACTGTAACCTAACCTACACAGTGCATCTAACGTGTGTGGGAGCCTGGAGTGTCCCTTTAATAATATAAACCCACCCAGTATAACTAACTGTAACCTAACCTACACAGTGCATCTAACATGTGTGGGAGCCTGGAGTGTCCCTTTAATAATATAAACCCAATCAGTATAACTAACTATAACCTAACCTACACAGTGCATCTAACGTGTGTGGGAGCCTGGAGTGTCCCTTTAATAATATAAACCCAATCAGTATAACTAACTGTAACCTAACCTACACAGTGCATCTAACGTGTGTGGGAGCCTGGAGTGTCCCTTTAATAATATAAACCCACCCAGTATAACTAACTGTAACCTAACCTACACAGTGCTAGTAATGTGTGTGGAAGCCTGGAGTTTCCCTTTAATAATACAAACCCACCCAGTATAACTAACTGTAACCTAACCTACTCAGTGCTAGTAATGTGTGTTGAAGCCTGGAGTGTCCCTTTAATAATATAAACCCAATCAGTATAACTAACTATAACTTAACAGCAGATTGTACAACCTTGATTAGACTGTTTGATAAATGGAACTCTGTAATGTGTTATTTACATGACAGACAGAGCCATGTGTTAGTTGGGAAATTGGTAAGTAACTTGTGGCCCAGTCCAGGTGCATAACACAATAGCGACACCTAGTGGCATTAAGTTAAATCTGTTTTCATTACACATTTTAGCACATTTAGGTTTTAGTAGATCTCCCCACAGCTTCTGTTTCCTGGCTTTCGTAACATAACGTAGCCAGTTACTATTCCTATAAGTTAACTGTTTGATCTTTATTTGTTGCTGTCCCTTTAATTAGGATGGACGTCTGAGACCAGGAGATCAGCTTGTCTCTGTTAACAAGGAATCATTGTGTGGCGTGTCCTGTGAGGAGGCTAAAAGCATACTGAATCGAGTAAAGTTAAGGTAGTTATCCTCTCTCATAGCTGTTATGGTTTGATCATACTTTCCCAACCCCCAACCAGAACGTTGTTTATCTGCAGCGTGATTGAAATGCAGGGTGAGTTATCAGAGGTAGCCACCTTGTCTCGCTCCATGGTTGTACATTGGTTACACATTTTCAGAACAGTAGGAAAGCAGCATCATGTTACCCTAGTAGAAATCTACAAATTGAAGGTCCTGTATCTTTTTGCAGTTAAGCACTGGGCTTGTAATACGAGCGTTCAGAATGTTTGTAAACATTTCTGCCAAGATACTTCCGGGTGGCAGAACTTGCGCGGCTTCCATTTGGAGCAGCAGAGAGATCACTGGGGAGCGATAATGGAGAAGCAAGAGAGAGATAATTGGGAGAGCTAATGGGGTCTGAAGAAAGATAATGAGGGGCTATGGGAAGATAACGAGAATAGCTGGGCACCGATACCGTACATTGCACACACACAGGGACACTGGGATACACACAATGACATTGCATACACGGCAACACCAACATACTCCTATATTTATATTACATGCACACAAACATCAACAGACTCACATACATTGCGTACAAATTGATATTAATCAAACTATACACATACTGATATTGCCCAAACACTGAAACACTAACCCAAACATACTGATATTGCCCATATATGTACACATAATCACATTCTCCCCATTGGTCAATTTAAAAAAGAATAATAAATTATATTTATCACATTATATAAGGTCCGTGGATTGTGCCCACTGTTTGTGCTTGTGTGTATGTATAGCTTTGGGCTCCCCATTATTACTTCAATGCACTATATGGCCCCAATAACAAGCAATACAGAATTGCACGTTTGTTCACTGCTGTACCCAGGAGAACCATCATATTTGGGGGGGGGGGGGAGAAGGTATATAACATATAACCGAGGCTCACAATATTTCTGTTTCTACAACAGCTGGAGAGCTACCTGTATTATACACTTGCTCTGCACAGCATGGAGCCTCACATGTCACACTACCAGGCTGGCCCACAGCCCTGTTGTAATGGAGATATTTCTAGCAATGCCCATTTGAACTCCTGTAACCTCTCCAGCTTCCCATTCACTGAAGTAAGCTGGGTCTAGTCCCACATGGCATCAAACCGTAGATTCTACACAAACCCTGTTCCGATGCTTGGTATCTAGCAAGGAGAGAGCGGTATATTCCATCAGGGGACCCAGCAGCACACACTGTCTTCCCTTTCCAGCTCCGCTCTCAATGTCTGAATTTTCACCACGTCAATCAGTTAGCAATTAGCCGGAGAACGCGTTTGCTTTTGGCACCCGGAAGAACTTCTGTTATTGTTGTGACATCATGGTGAAAGCTCGTATTGGAGAGTCGTATAAATGATTCATCCTTCAGGGCTGCACCTGTGTGGGCATAAGGGAAATTCGACTGTTCAGAGACATATTTCATCATGTCTGTAAATCATAGTTCATCAAGGACATAATTGCAGCAAACACTAAACACAAAAATCTCAAAATTCAGCATCCTTTGATATTTGAATTCTTATTGTAGTCTGGGAGCTACAGAAGCAGAAGGGTTATTGACAACAGAATAGGAGACTATCATGAGTAATTACTCAAATATTAAATCATTTGAAACTCAAGGCCTATGTGTTGTTTTCCTCAATCCTTTTTTTTTTTTTTTTTCGAAGTTTTTATAATCGAATTTGGTTGTCTTACTTTGTCACAACGTTTTTTTTGAGGAAATGTTTGTATCCTGATTTTCTTAATTTTTAAATTTATTAGTCTCCGGATTTGATTTTTCTCACCTTATCCCAATGTCACATCAGCTGCTGCCAGGATTAAATTTTAATTGTTCGCTCCAAAAGAGATCTCCTGATCACAGGAGAGTGGGGAGAAAATTGCAAAAAGGGATTTCATGATAAAGCATTTTTATCTTATAATCGAAGCGTAAAACTGTAACCTCCCAACACATTAACATCATATTGTTTCTGTCTCACATTCGTAGAGGTGGTTCTGTTTGGGAGATTACATTTATTCGGCCTAGTGAGAACTGTCCTGAGCAGACATCACGATCAGAACACACTGCACAGACACAAGGAACATCCTCCCCTTACGGCCATGCTAAACCTGCTCCAATGGTATGTCCAGCAAAAAAATGTATATATATTTTTTTGTTTTGTTTTTTGATTGTGCTAGATGAATTTATCATAGAGCTAAATATAACATGTTGGAAAATCACTGACTGTGCTTTCTTATGCATTCTTATTTTCTGATTATTGTTTTAAAAACAATATATCTACACAATATAAAAATGGCTGTTTTGGTGTAATGATATGAAAAATACCCTCATTACTGTGGCAGATGTGACTGTGGATGAATCTATTAATCCTAGCTTCCATAAGTGAATGAGACTACATTTCTTGACATCCTCTGGAGTGTACAATTATTAAGGTTATTTTTAATGTTTTCCAATCAGTGTGTGAAGGCACAAGGCTTTGTTTGTCTTGGACTGTTTGTGGCTCCCCTTTTTTCTTCTTAATGAATGTAAACAGTTTATCCTGTTTGTTTTCACAGAAGGAGAACAGAAACCTTCACAGCTCACAGCCTAGAGGGAGTTCAGATACACCTTTATCTGGTAACTATTATCCCAACACTTTTCTTACATTTTGAACTTTTCTAGAACATAGATGATTCTGAACTTACCAGACAGTGCCTGGGGAGCTGATTTCATTCATAGATTGCATGGGTCATAGAATTGTCTTTATATGATATTTTGGGATGGATGGATGTAGAAATGAGAGGAATGGATGACTAGATCAAGGGACAGAGGAAGAGAATGATGGATGGATAAATTTAATGAAGTGGAAAATGACAGGAAAGGAAGGATAGCAGTCTGTTGGGAGGGAGAGATGAATAGCAGATTTTCACCGCTTAGATCTCTTCGCTCACATAACTTCCTATGTTACCCTTTCTCAGTCCTGTGACTGTTTTAAACAAGGATTCGATGTTAAAGGAACATTCTACAGCCTGTTGTGGTGGTAATGGTGGCAGGAATGCTATGGTGCCCTATTAAAATAAACAGTCCAACAATTTAAAAACTCTTTGAAAAACGTACCTGCTATCTCCAAAGATCTTGGTCAATAACCATTTTATTTCCAGAGACTTATAGTTTGCAGTTAGAAGCCTGATTAAGAAAGTAATTTATTTTATTCTTTCATTAGTTATACATGTAAACAATGCAAGAATGCCGGGGAACTGTGCTAGCTCATTCATATTCATTGTGGCTCTCAAAGAGGTAAACAGACAATAATAAAGATACATGACTATATTAACCTTAACTCTTAAAGGGACACTATAGTCACCTGAACAACTTCAGCTTAATGAGGTTGTTCAGGTGAGAACTATAACTCCCTGCAGCCTTTCTCATGTAAACACTGTATTTTCTGAGAAAATACAGTGTTTACATTGAAAACTAGGAACACCTCCAGTTGCAGTCACTCAGAGTGAACCAGAGGGACTTCGAAGTTGATGGAGGCATAATATGCCTCCATCCACTCAGATCTGCTGTCACATTCAGTATCTCCTCACTCTGCATGCAGACACTGAACATTCCTCATAGAGATTCATTGATTCAATTCATCTCTATGAGGGGATGCTGATTGGTCAGGGCTGTGTTTGAATTGTGCTGGCTCTGTCCCTGATCTGCCTCCTTGTCAGTCTCAGCCAATCCTATGGGGAAGCATTGTGATTGGATCAGGCAGACAGCCAATCCTATGGGTAAGCACTGTGATTGGATCAGGCAGACAGCCAATCCTATGGGGAAGCACTGTGACATGTCAGCAGACTGCTTGTTTTTCTGAGTCTAACAGCATGCAGATTTACAGCTTCCGGCTTGAATACAGTAAGATTTGTACTATATTTATGGAGGCATGAGGGGCCCAGGGGGGCTAGATGGTGGTGTTAACACCATAGGGTGAGGAATACATGTTTGTGTTCCTGACCCTATTGTGATCCTTTAACAATCCCCAACGTGTCAGCTGAATTCTTCCTCTCCTATCTGTGACCTGTTTTGGCACAGTCTGATAAAGTGTTAAGATTCAAAAATACACTGAGTAACTTCTCAGACTCCTTACGCTAAATTCTGTCAATGCTGTTTGCCAGCTACTAATTAAAACCTGTAACGGATACTGTTAGCGCAGAGAGACACGGAACTAATAAGGGTGCTTGAAATGAATTGATTGAATATTGAGTAAAATGCACCACTGGGCACATTCCCATTACTTTTATCTTTTAGGCGAACACACTGCATTTTCACCCCCCCACCTCCAAACCAAGAACATAGCTAAAAATATTGTATTGATCCATATGCACTTCTTAACCGTCTGCCTTACTGGAACATTTTCACATTAACCACATGATTGCCAGAAGAAAATTTTTTTTTTTTAGTTTATTACAGAGTGAATTAATCACTTAAGGTTTCATTGAAAAAGAAACAAAATCCTTTTCAATGACAATGGATGCTGTCCTATATTTTAAGAAGTATTGCCTTTGTGTTTATTACCTCTAAATAAATACGTGTTCAGTGTCTGCTTTTAAATATATACTGTATATATCTTGTATTCAGATAACCTCACCTACTAGTAATAAACTGAATGAGCACGATTTGATATTGGGGGTTTAAATGTGCAAGTACATTACAAAAATAGGTCATATACGTGTACGTATCAGAGTATTTATATTCTCTAATATGTATTCACTGTACCAATGACAGTGATGCTATCACCACAATCCGATCCCTAAACCAGATTCAAGCATAGAATTGCATACGTACTTACCACGAGGAGCTGTGTCAATCTTTATTGTGCTGTGTTAATACACTGTATTATTTTGTAGACAGATAATGATGCACAAATAGTGGGATATTTAATGCCTTTAATGTCCAAACGGATTATCTTATGATTGTATGATCCCATATATATTATACTTAACATTTGAAAGCCGAGGGCGAGTACCTGAAACATTAAAGTTGGTTCTAGCAAAGTAACACATGTAGTCTTCCATTCCTAGGTCGTAGTCAGGGACCTGGTCCGGACAGAGTGGTTTCCTTGAATCCTGATGCCAGATTCAAAGCAGACAAGCTAGAATTGGTAAGTGCAATAAATGCTGAAAGCAATCTGAAATGTTTTAGTTAACCCACAAACATCCGTCAATGCCAGGGGAGCCATCGGGTAGCTCTGAAGTTTGGGGCAGTAAAATATTATTTCCACAACTTTCAGTCAGCTTATTTTGATACAGAATCACAGGAGGATCGCAGACATTGTAACAATAATCTGAGATATGCCTCTTGCTAACCGTGATCCAAATACCGACACGTTTTTTACAGGTAAATTATGTAAGTGTTTTTTACAAAACGTAGGACCTCCATCTCAATGCCAATCATCAGCTATGGTAATGTGAATCTCGCCACCATTGGACACTAGTGTGGTGGAAACTACTGTTCTATAGATTTGTGTAATTGCTCATGTAATAAATAATCTCTATTGTAATATTTTGTTCCTATTCACAGGCTTTGAATTACCTTGGCTTGAACCCTACAGAAGAGCAGCAACTGTCAATAAGGCAAAGGGTACATTTGGATGCCAATGGGACTGTGGCTTTTGGAGGTAACCTAGATATTAATGGGTGCTGATGTCTCTTTTCACATTAACCCTTCCGCAGCTTGTCTGGGTAGCCCTTCCTGTTTTGTCCTTCACTGTGAAAGGCTTACTAGGCAAGTACTTAACATTACTGACCTTGACCTTGATTGCATTTGTTTTTTTAGATAAGCTTGATGGATAAACACAATCTGTTATAAAAAATAGTTTTTTCAAATGATCTATCTACAAAACCTCCCATGAACTTTAATGAGGATTTCTGTAGAGAAATCTTTTGAAAAGTTTTTTTCTAACAGGTTGTGAAAGGCTTATCTAAAAGTGTTAAATCAAGGCCTTAAAAGTGCCTAGATTACAAACGTTGAGAGTGTGAGAGAGATGAAGTGTTCTTCAATTGAATGGGGGACTTGGAGTCTGTGCATCTCGATGTTGTGATGCTCTACAATACAAGGAATGCTAACTCAATGACTGTTTAACTCAATGACTCACCACAGTAGAGAGAGTCATTTTACATGAATAACCATTATTACTGGTAATTATATGAATACCAGTTATGTATAAAAAAAACAACTCACACCTTTATTTGTATCACAAAGCCTAAAAATGAACATCGTTAAACATCCCTATAGTACGTTACCATTCCGTTCTATAGATGTAACACCTACCAGAAAAGGTTAAAGGACCTTAACATGTATAACTTGGAGGAAAGATGAGACGGGGGGATATGATAGAAACATTTAAATACATAAAGGGAATCAACACAGTAAAGGAGGAGACTATATTTAAAAGAAGAAAAACTGCCACAACAAGAGGACATAGTCTTAAATTAGAGGGACAAAGGTTTAAAAATAATATCAGGAAGTATTACTTTACTGAGAGGGTAGTGGATGCATGGAATAGCCCTCCAGCTGAAGTGGTAGAGGTTAACACAGAGAGGGAGTTTAGGCATATTCTAGCTATAAGATAAGGCTGGGGACTAATGAAAGTATTTAGAAAATTGGGCAGACTAGATGGGCCAAAAGGTTCTCATCTGCCGTCACATTCTATGTTTCATTAGACATACAGCTTCACACATTTCACATAACCATAAGCATAAAAATGTAGTTATGAATCATCTATGTATGAACTATATTTATTATTATGCTTTGTGAAACAAGTAAAGTGTGATTTTAAAAACGAAAATAAAAAATGTTCCCGGTGTACAGCGATATGGTAATTTAGTTTTGTGACTTTGCTGGTTTGGAGAGCTGGCACTGTGCGGCACTCTACTTGTACAAAGTCTGCTATCTATGCCCTGGTGTTTCCCCTGTGCTCTAAAACATAGGTCATTTTATGCTCCCGACTGAGCTGCAGCCCTCAAACAGGCTTTGTTTTAAAAAGGACTATATCCGTAGCCTCCAGATTAAAATAAAATGCAAACTTGAAATAAGTTTAAAAAAAAATGTCAGTAAATATTGTGCTTTTACAATCTGCCCCCATCCAGATCTTTGTTTTATTACACCTTGATAACTCATGTTTTTCTGTATTATGAAAACTATGGACCTTATTACACAGTTATGTTTGCTTTTCTTATTCATAAACGTATTATTTTTTTGTTTTAGACTTTGTTCAGGTGGTTAAAAGTCTGTTTAGCTTGCAGTTAGAAGAAGGCGATATTGGACGTGGCCCTGTCAGGCCCAGAGAGAAAGAAATTAGCAATTTACTAAACTCCGTCACAAGTCAGGTAAGGTCATCCTCTCCTCCAACCCATGTTTGTGTTCTTCTTGCGTTTTTTAATGTTAATGCTTATAGATGCTGCTTTTGTTGTGTTGATTGTTTACCTGGCTGACCGTCTCACTGTTAGCAATTCAGACGAGCTCTGTGTCACACGTGTACCTTGGCAGATTGTGGACACGCTGTTTTCAATATACTTTAGCTATCGCTTTATAAAATTATGTATCGGTTTCCTATTGGGAATAGAACAAACAAGTAATTGTTTGTCTGCACGCTTGTAGTGTTCCCATCGAGATTCTGTGCAGAATGAATCAAACACACACTTCCAGCCACTGCGGCTTACTGAGTAGCAGAACAACTGGAATCTCCTGGAACAAATATAGATTAAATATGGTTTATGAAATGTTGGTGATTGTTTGTGCTGAACAGTAATCATCTTAATACAGAGAGTTACTGGATAGTTAAAGGAGTACTGCCATTATTCCCAGTGTGTACCATCTACAGAGAGCCACCATTTTACAAAGGTAAACAAAGTGTTACTGTCACCATTCTCAGTGCTTGCCTTCTGGGTACAGCCATCATGGCCTGGTTTGAATTATTAATCTGCTGCGCTAAACTCTGCTAATTTGGAGGAAGTTAATAAACCCTGCCAATTTCTAGCGAGAGGACTGAGTTTATCAGAGGTTATTGAGGAGCATCTGAGCTTCATCAACCCAGGCCAACAGCCACTCCATGAGTATGAACTTTCCATTTAGCACCCAGTTGTCTTGAGACCATGATGTTACTATAAAAACATGTTTCAATAAATGGTTCATTGCGCGGAAGGTTGATTGGTTGCACTTTACTCCTTTAGAGTCTTAAAAGTTTTGTAACAAGCCATGGACCATTTCGGAATAGAAGATACACTGGAATTAAAAATGTTGTAGCACGGTTTTGTGGATCCCAGTAGAGAATCGTCTTTTTCCACTACTCGTTCTGAGAGGATAAAGACATTTCTCTGCCATAGTCCACAAGGCCACACTACACAGAGTAACTCTCTATGCACCACCTCCAGCTGGCCACTCAGAGATTGCACTAGAGAACACTAATCGTTTTATTACCCTAAATGTTTATTTATTCAGAAAAATAGGATAGACCGCTTATCATTAGTAAGCAGTCAAGTTCCCTGTATGAGTTGTGAAGAAGTGGGAGATGGCTAAAAGAAAGTTTCAAAGTACCATAACCACTACAGTTTATAGTATTATTGCAGCTCTTTGTATCATTCTGTTAAAATGAACTGTCAAGATATCATGAGATGTAGTGATACTGTAAGCTGATGTGGAGATACAACTTGAAATTTTCCTTCAAACAGTTAACACCAATGTTCAGACTGGGCCATAGATAAGCTTTAGAATGATGGTCCATAAGGTAAAGTGGTTTCCTTCAAAATCTGCAATCCAGCTTCCTTAAATATTTAGGGACGTTGTGTCCAGCTGGGAAGGATTCACGTTCTTCTTTGCTTTACTTCTTAATGCTTCCAGGTCCAGTCATGCGATCTTTCTGATTCCGAGAATAAAGAGATTAAAAAACTCAAGGTAAGAAATGTCTTTACCCTTCATATTCTTAAATGCTTAGCATTGCAATAGGCAAACACAATTCACAAAGTAAAATATTATATGGTTTTGCTGTAGTGCAGTAAGGTAGGACCTTGTCAGCTGTTAGCTGTAAACAATCCTCAGTAAGCCATAAAAATTTGTTTCAGTTCTTTAAGTGGAAATTTGCTGAAAATGTTACAATTGAATTAATCCTCGAAAATCACATACAACAGGTGTTAACCTTTTTCTCTTGTTGTGATGCTCAGTTTTCTTTTAAATGTAAGATTTAGCAATGTAACTCTAATTCTAATTTCAAACCCTGACATTTGGGATTACCTGCTGAGTAAATAAGAATGTATTCCCTGTTGAAGATTCCTTGCTTGGGAAGATGGAGTTGGTTACATGCAAAGCATTCTGGGATTTAGCCTCCAGCACCTTTTAAATCTATGTGTTTACTGTTGATTTTGCCAGCATGATGTATAGATTATGTTATATTACTTACTCAGCAGAGGTCTCGGCATTCACATCTTTGTACTGAGAGGTCCAATGGAACCAATTAGACATGTTGTGTACAGGTAATCCCCCTTAGCATACTGGCCTCCAGGGTACTGTTGAATAATATATCATGATAAATACTGATACATTTAAGCAAAATGCAGCATGCATACAGCTGAGCGATATATGGCTGTGCTTATTCGACAGGCCCACTTTTTGTAGAATGATCTCATATACCTCTTTATAGCAAACATCATTTTCTGCAAAAGCGTATTAAGGTGATGTGTTCCGTGATCTAAGCCTGTGGAAAAATTCATAGTATAGCTTTGCTCGGTAGAATGCAGTGCCAAGCTGCCACATTGGGCCTGCCATCCTCTGTCTTTATGTGCTAGCAGTCATTGTCTGTATCACGAATACGTCCAAATACCTGCACGAGTACATAACAGCTGACAGTAAGGAAGATCTTTTGAGACTTCTGATATGAGCCTTTCAATGCTGGACTTGAAAGATAAAGTTTGACTAGGTAGTATCTGTTTCAAATGCATTAGTTGCAAGTAGTAGGAATTTATTTTTGGGTTGTCCGAATATTTTTCCCATGGATGAAATTTGCTGGAACCAGCACATGAACAAGCATCAAATATCCTGAACAAAATGGCATTTTCTGATAAAAATGATTTGGCTGAACAATACTTTTCCGCCATACACAAGTCTACTCCCTGGTATGGATACGTTTGAAGGTCAGTTTAGGCAGCACAATGCACCATAACAACTTAATCTAAATGCAGTTGTTATGGTGCCAGGAGGCCCCCAGGCACACTCAAACCTTCAGTGGTTAAACCATACTGGAATGGTTTAACCCCAAAGTTGCCTCCAGCGGTGATTTCAAATCCCTCAGAGGTGGCATCCGGCTTCTGAAATTTCAGTTTTAGGAAGTGCGGAGGGCCGCCAGCGATTGTCTGAGAATGGTTCGCTGATGCTCTTAGCCAGTCAGGGACTCCCCAGAAAAAAAAACTTGCCTTCTCTGAGCCAGTTTTGTGAAAGAGGAGTCAAGTGTCAAGTGAAAGAGTGATGTTTTACATTGCAGGGTGAAAACTAAAGGATCCATTGAGATGAAGCTGCCTGACGTTTGTGGTCCTTAAATGGTCTATTAATATAATGTATTAAAGAACATTGGAATCCACTCCAATCTGGAGTGTGTCTAAAATCCTCTCCTTTATTATTATAATTTTTTTGTGTCAAATGCAAGTTTGTTCTGGCACAACCTGAGCATCTGATTGATATGTTATACATGTCTTGCAGTTGCTGTTGATTAAAATCCCTGTGTAAAGGGGATCATAGGAAAATGAACATACGCTAACAGTTTGTTTCACTGGGACTGCATCAGTAAGTGGATAGTTTTTTTCACCTCCTCTGCATTACTCACCTAGAAAACACACTTATCTGGGGCAAGTAAAAGATCTGTAAGCAGCACAAATGTGATGATTTCTCTTTAAAAAAATATAAAATTATGTGCCTGGCATGTTCCGTATCATAAAAAGTTCAGTGTCTCTCATATGACATTTGATAGCTGCACGTTCTAACTCATGCTTATCTGCTAAAATGTTTCTCAGCCTGCATGTACCACTCTTGAACGCAAAATGTATTCTTACCAAAAATGTGCCGTATTATAGACTGCCCTATACTGTACAACTGTGTATACTACGTATCTTGCCACTGCTGTTGGGGCAGAGCGAGACTGTCTGTTACTCTGAAGCACAACTAAAAAATATATATATATATAAATAAAATTAAATGTTCAGCCTACATTGCAAATCCACAATCCAAAATCTTACATTTTTTTTTATTCTTACTTTTCTTATTCCCACATTGTCTGTTACTTTTTGTTCCTCGTTTCTCGGCACTGCCAGATTAGTTTATAAATTGATGGCCTGGATGACTGACATTAATTAGACACAATATACTTGGTAACGAGTGAACCTATTAACTTGACATCTTACAGGCGTAGCGCAGTGTGCGGATAATCTCTGGGGTAAATATTGGAATTTGTGAGGACAGCTTTTATGGCTAGCAACACGACTGCATTTTAATTAGGATGTTTAATTGCAGCTCTCTGGCTTTCCTGCTAAGGAGCGAGAGAAAGCTGTGTGTGGAGAAGAAAATGCACTGCAGCCAAAAACACGTCAGAGTTTGCAAAATTCACCTATATTCTGCTATGGCTTGACATATGCTTAAACCGAAACAAAATATGTTACAACGGAGAGTGGGTTTTATATTCCATTTCTTTTATTTCTAAAACATTTATGATTCTTTTCTTTGTTATAACAATTACTAAGACGCATTGCCCTGCTGAAATACACATTATTTGGCAGCATCGGGAACTCCTCTGTTTGTACACAAGCAATGGTTTTTGAAGGTCTTTTAAAATTATTTTTATTATGTGCATCGATATATGCGTTGAGCATGCGCTGTGAACCATTAATTAAAATGAACACCTGGCACCACTTTACACACAGCATGTTAACTGCACATAAGGGATCAATAATATTAATTCATTCTAATCTATAGAATATTTGTTAGTGTGACATGTCATGATTCCCTTTTATTCCAGAAGTTTTCTCCTTAAGGGGTTAAACTCCACCACTTGTTATCGTTAACCTTCTTACACTACTAAAGTTAAAATTTAAAGTGACTGTGTCACGCTCCACTTTCTTTGTCACCAACATCAATAAGTGATCTTTTTTCATCTCCTTTCTGTGGCGTGGTGGTGGGAGGTCACCTAGCTTTGAGGATAATTTTTTGTAAAATGGAGCCACATGTAAACAACTCATTCTTTTTGGCCCATCGTTTAACAAAACAGAATTCTAATTATTATCAATATATGGTAGATTGTCAATTCTCTGATCCTTTACCATTTGCACCATTCCACCAAATAATGCAATATGCCAGGTCTCCTGTGAGATGAGATTGATTATGTACCAACCATGGTCCAGTGCAACATATATATAATCAATGCTAATTAAGTAGAGACTAGTGCAAGATCCTGTGTGGTAATGCAGCTCTGCAACCCAACTTTTCACTGTTTTTGTTTTTTTCCTCTTAATTTGTATGTAATATATATATGTCACCATATGTCACCATGATTTCTGCAAACATGGACTAATCTGATGAATTTTGTTTTCTCCAAGTGAGATGTGCAGAATTTAGCATAATCCATATAAGTTTGTTGCTCAGTCTTATTTTATGAGTGCTACTGGTTGCTGGGGGCATTTTAATGGTGTAGCAAATGATTTGGCTTATGTTTATCTAAATAAAAATTCTTAACCAATTATGCATCAGTATATCTAATCATTGTTCCTGACCCTTTGCCTGCTTTTACAGAATGACCATTTTAACCAGGACCCTTCTTAAAGTATAATTCATCATACCACAGAGTAGGCATAATCTCAAACTTGTTCCAAAAATCTGTCAGGAACTCCAGTTTACTTGATTCCCCGGATTAGTCGAATAGAGCAGGGCTCAAAATGTAAACTCTCCACTAGCCTTTGTCTAGTGAGTAGACGTTTATCCCTGATATGCCGTGGGCCCCTGAGGCTTGTAGTGGAGAGTAACTCAACCTACATAGCAGTGTAAGACCTGAAATAGAACACTGTTGGAACGGGAAATTACAGACTATGAAAATAACCATGTCCTATACTTTTTATACGTTTTCTTAACTCTTCTCCCCATCCCCCAGCTTACATATGGGTTGTCCAATAATTGCGAGGGGCTCCTGTGTGGTTAAACTTTCATTTTCACATCCTACCTGTCCCATTGCCTCTTTATTCAGAGTGCCGCCATCTTGGTGTTTCCAGGATCCCACCCACAAAAGTCCTACCTCTGCCTTTCCCAGAGTGTGAGCATCAGACCTTGAGGCTAGCCTTGCACTGTGTTAACTCTCAGGATCCCACAAGAGTCAACACAGTGAGAAGGGGACACAATACTGGAGGGAGGTGAGTGAGAAGTAGCCAGTCAATGACAACGTTGGCAAATTATGGGCATCTTCACTAAAACTTCACCTTATTTCAACTTTCAAGTTTTACGTAATGAAAAGTATTCCCTAATTTTCATTATATGTAACTTTTGAACTGATAATTATTTGGAAAAAAAAATGGGACAAAATGCACCAGGTAATACAAAAAGAGACAGACCCACTTTAATATGCTCTTCTACTTAGCCTGAACGTGAACCATGGCTTTCTCATAAAAGACATTTCAGTCTTTATCCATGTCATGATTAAATTAATAAAAGCTTGTAGTTTACAGCCACTCGTTCTACAGATTAAGTGAGAATTCACATAAAAGAAAGAGTGGAGGAAAAACGTGTTTTTCTCTCACTCGAAAGGTCAAGAAGATCTTACTAGTTTTTAGAAAAAAAAAATAATGAATAGGTGAATGCAAGAAATGGACTAGTAATATGAGAAATTTCAATTCAGACTGGGCGAGCGAGGACGCTAGTGACACAGCGACCTTCTAAACAAGAGAGTCTTGTAGATGTGTGATATTGCAAACAATTACCAGGACCATGCAAGGTTACAGTGATCTGTGCATCACACAAGCTGTTTGTGTAACCCTTTGCATTTCGCAGGACCCCGTCCCCTTACCCCGTCCCAAGAGTTAAAGGGCAACTGTCATTTTTCTGGAATTTACATTATTGAATAAAGCATCAGAAATCATCTATGACTTGTCTTAACTATTTTTTCATTAGATGTTCTATTTTTTTTTTACATTTATATTAAAGATTTAACAAATGACATCCTAATCCCGTTCAGACAAGGCACAGCTGGGCTGTGTGACAAAGACATAGACTGGAAACAGTGCATGACAAAAAAGTTATATTAGTTGGAAAAAGTATTGCGTCCATCACAATTGATCTTTCAATATCCTCCTTCCTGCTGTCAATCCCAAACAAGGCAAAGTTGCAGCAATTTTGTCTAAAATGGAAAAATAACAATACTTTAAAGTATTTATTAGATTCATTGCAGTAGCACAGAGCCGTTGTAAATAAAGTCCTTGTAATTGACCCCGTACGTAACGTTTTTGAAAACCATTTACTGAATCTGATCAAACAATCTCTGTAGGCAGAGAGTTCAGTATTGTCCTTCCTCTTGCTGTAATGAACCCATTCCTCTGCTGTAGGAGAAATCTCCTTTTTATCCTGTTTTCCGTGGAGTACCTCTTGTCCTGGTAATAAATAGATCACAAGGGAGCGGTTTGTATTGACCCTGCGTATATTTTTCAAATGTTATCATATCTTCTTAAATGTGTACTTAAACAAATCCATTTTCTCTAGTGTATCTTTATAATTTCAGTCTCTTTTGCTAATCACCTCTGTACTCTTTCAATACTTCTTAAAAAACGTTGCCCAAAATCGCTCTGTATATTTACGGTGGGGAATTGATTTATGAGTTCAAAAATAATATTTTTATCACAAGTCAAAATGACTTTTTATACATGACAATAGCATAGTGGGCTTTGCAGTTACTGACAGACATTTGCAACTTCTTGCCAAGTCTGTCTAAATGACTCCCAAGTCCTTTCTCAATTCATTATTTCTCAGGCTCATCACTATTGAGATGCAGCTTTTACACTTTACATTTATATTCTTCTACTCTCTACCTGCAAAATCCCCATTGAATTTAAAATTGCACATATATTTGCTTCCCATCTCAGCCTGGATTGAAAAATACTGTTAACTGTATTTAAAATGCTCTTAATCAGGCATTCGGGGAAAGATTAATGAGTGTAATGTTTGCCATCACACTGGAAGTGAGTTGAGACTCAGGAGCTTGGGAGGTAAAGGGAAGCAAAGCTGCCCCTCTCATATTGAGTAACACATCTTAGGGCCAACAATTAGCTGGTGCAGTTGTAGAGGTTTCCCAGATTTGCTTATAAATGAGACATGACCCAAAATCCCACTACATAGAGGTTTCAAGTAGTGTTATAACAAGACCTGACTGGTTTATGAGTCCTGATTAGGAGTTGGTTTCGGTGCATTCCATACCTTGTACTCTAGGACTGTGAGTGTAGATTACTAGGTTTTGAATGCACAGATAGAATAACTGGGTCAGAATGTGCAGATGGAATATTTAAACGTGGAGGTATAATTGTGCCATACAATTTACAGAGAGAATAGTAGGATTAGAATGTTGATATAAAATAGCAGGTTTAGAATATGGAGGTATAGTTGTGGAATATAATTTAAAGATAAAATAGCAGGATTAGAGTGTTCAGATAGAATGGAAGGATTGGAATGTTCAGATAGAATAATAGAATGTTCATTTAAGAATGTAGTCAGTCAAATCAGTGCTAGCACAAGATAAGGAATATATATATATATATATGAACTATACTTGTACAGTGAAATGCCATAGCTGTAAGATGACAGTCTCTATTTACACACATGTTAATGACTTGTTCCACGCAGGGCCACTTAGTACCCGTACTGACCTTTTTCTCACGTCTGACTTTAGGATCGTCTCTTAGAATCTGAGAAACAGAAAAACCAGCTGGCAGAAGAGTTAAAAATTGTAAAACAAGTAAGAATTTTTCCTTTTAAAGTGTTCTTTTTAATGTCTATGCTTTGGAAATCTGCGGCCTTACAATTTGTCCCTGAGCCATGAAAACCTTGGGCTGTTGATGCTTTATCTACTATGGGAGGATTTGGGTTTAACTGGGACAATTTGATGTGCTAAAAAAAATGATAACTTATTGAGACGTCCATCTATATATCTAAATAAGAGAGTGGTGTGGTGGTGGAGGGGGCGTCACCTTGAAATTCTTTTGGAGTAGTTTCTTGTGTAGGAAAGCAGGTTTGTGATAGGGATTCTCCTTGAGTAATTTCATTAGTAGGAGAGCCGGGTGGGATGGAGGGTGTGATTGCTGTAAATTCTCTGGGGGCAATTTGAGGAGAAAAAAAAAGAGAATTAAAGGGAGGGAGTAGCCCCTTTACATTTCTTATAGATAATTTCATGGGTCAGAGAGCAGAGCCGGGGTGGTGGGCGCGGCCCCTTCAAAGGAACTCTATAAGCACAATAACCACTACAGCCTACCCTGGTGGTGTGCCTGCATAATTTGTCCATTTTAGCCTGGTGTGACCATTACCGTGGTCTCATTGGCTGCCCAGGTTGCTTTCAGTCGTTTCTAGAAAGCTCTCCGCACGTGCCTGTATTCATGACATAAACTGACAGCTTTGGAAGACTAGAAGGAGTTCAGCCCCCCGATGGGACCCAGGTAAGTATCAATCCATGCTTAAATGGCTGATCGATTACTCTAGGACAACGCCGGGGCCCCCCTGGCACTATAGCCTACAGAGTCCACCATCAAACCCTCCTCACTGGTACTCAGAAAGAGCCCACCACGTTGAATGGGACTGTGAATTAAATAATTCTGCTATTGCATGGCTGGTATCGGCTTATTGAACAGTTCCACTCGTGTTTGGGAACAGCGACCGGGGAATTGCATATCACTATAAATTCACTCATTGGTGAATAAACCCCAGTGTGAATGTGCGCCAATTTGTCAGGCCGTATATACAGGTATCTGGCTAATATATTTGCAGGTTTAGCACGGGGGGGTCGTGGTTAAATGTTCTCTATGCCTTTAAGTCTGTATAGATTCCTGCTTCCAGTGTTCACTTTCTTTTTAATTCATTGAACAGAAAATGTTGTTTTTCTGCACTTTTATCAATATCTCTTCAACCTTTTGATGTTCCTGTGTTTTAACGCTGTGCGCTTGCAAATCCCAGCTCCTAATGTGAAAAGAATCTTTTGTGTTAACAAGGGTCAAATTAAATGTGCCCGACCAATATCTCACATTTAAATGGCTATTACAGCAGCTGAAGAAATCACGCAGAAACTCAATAAATGTGTTTACTAGAGCCTGGTTTATTCACAGTTCACAAGTGGAACTTGCACTCTTTACATGATTAAAATGTAACCCATGTGGGCTAATATAAGATTCAGGCTTCTCATTTTACCTGGAATTAAAAGGAGTGGGAAACAGGGGATTGAACTGTTCTTGTTTTGGACAGTATGTGGTATGTCTCCCATTGGTTAAAAAACAGGAAAAGACCGTATCTGATATATCTGTCTGGACACCTTAATTTTAATTTACTTACTGGAGATTTTCATAGAGTAACAGGAGAGAAGTTAAGTTATATTGATGAAGTGCTATGGCTAGTTATTAGTTCATGCATTGTGTGGTATAGTTAGTTTTATGTCTGTCGTTTTTTGGTTCCATGTCTTTGGATGCCTTTCTATAGTTAATTATATGTCTGCAGATTCTGTGTTATGGTCAGTTATGTGTTCGTGGATACTGAGGTATGGTTAGTTATATGCTTGTGGGTCCCATGGAATTGTTTATTATACAGTTGTAGTCAATTTGTTTTATTTATTTTTAAATAAGTTTTTGTTATTATAATTTATTATTAATAAAATAAAAAAATGTATTATAATTATTCAACCCCCATTGAAAATCAGGGTTATTGTCAAAATTTACAGACTGTCAGCTGTTTGCAATTAACAAATCAAACAAACGCAATTGAAATAGCTCAACACGATGAATGCTTTAAATGGTTTCCCCAAATTCAACAGAAAATGCAATTAATAATGACTTCTCCAGTCTCAAATGTATTAAACCCCATGAATAGAACCCCACAAAACTGCACACAGTTGTGTGCTTGAGCTGGAACACTTAAATACCTGAACTGGCTAGGGGTTTGTTTGAGTGTCACGTTTGACCGCGTGTTAGAAATATGGCAAAAGTCAAAAGAATAGTCCACAAAGTTAAGAAAATAGATCATTGCTCTTCACAGAAGGCGGTTGCAGCACGCAAACCCAAGAATATTACATAACTGGAGATTCCCCAGGAAACCTGCCAGAAAATGGTGTCTGGCTATGCATCTCGTTTGCAGCAGGTCATAAAAGTAAAAGGGTGCTCTACTAAGTACTAAAGATACAAAAAGAAAAGTCCTGCGCTCACGCCCATCACTCCTGGGCAGCAGCAACGACCACAGTACACATCAGCTCCAATACATACAGTAAAAACCAAAGAAAAGGAGAGAGTGCAGGTAACTTTTTTCCCTTGGTTATTAATATATGTATTGGAGCTGATGTGTACTGTGGTTGTTGCTGCCGCCCAGGAGTGATGGGAGTGAGCGCAGGACTTTTCTTTTTGTATTTGTATTTACTTTGTATCACACAGCTAGGTTACAATGCTTCTGCCCATCCCATGTGTTCCCTTTTAAGGGTTAACCCCTTAAGGACACGACTTCTGGAATAAAAGGGAATCATGATGGAATATTTCCGTCATCTGTCCTTAAGGGGTTAATAAGTATATAGGCGTGTATATAAAAAATACCCCTTTCTGTCTCATTAGAGATATCTTTGCCAGAAGCTCAAGGAAGCAAGGTGAAGGGTCAGTGTAGGACCCGTCTAGGGGGGTCTGCCTTGACGTTGGCAGGCGGGCATTCCCTCCAGTGGCCATTGGAGCAACTAAATGTTTGTTTAAATATACATAGGGATTAAGGAGAGAGCACAGGTAACTTTTTCCCTTTGGTTTTTACTATAAGTACTAAAGATACCTGCCCTGAAGGGGTTGAATAATTTTGTGACTGGATAAGTCATTATAACTTGCATTTTTAGTTTAATTTTGGGGAAGCCACTGGAAGCATTTGATGTGTTGAGCTATTTCAGTTGCTTTTGTTTAATTTCATTACAAACAGCTGAAAGTCTGTACATTTTGACAATAAACCTGATTTTCAATGGGGGCTGAATAATATTGATTACAACTTACATAGTTACATAGTTACATAGCTGAAAAGAGACTTGTGTCCATCAAGTTCAGCCTTCCTCACATATGTTGTTGCTGTTGATCCAAAAGAAGGCAAAAAACCTAGTCTGAAATGCTTCCAATTTTGCCACAAACTAGGAAAAAATTCCTTCTTGAACCCAGAATGGCAGTCAGATATCACATTGGATCAAGCAGTTATTACCCCACTAATTAGAAATGATATCCCTGTATGTTGTGTTTTTGGAAGTATGTATCCAATTGCTGTTTAAACATCTGTATGGACTCTGACAAAACCACCTCTTCAGGCAGTGAATTCCATATCCTCATTGCTCTTATTGTAAAAAAAACAAAAAACTTTTCTTTGCCTTAGATGAAATCTCCTTTCTTCCAGCCTAAATGTGTGACCTCGTGTCCCATGTATAGCCCTGTTTATGAATAGATTTCCAGATAATGGTTTGTACTGGCCCCGAATATATTTGTATAATGTTATCATATCCCCTCTCAGGTGCCGTTTTTCCAAACTAAATTTTGTGACCTTTCTTCGTAACTAAAATGCTCCATTCCTTTTATCAATTTTGTAGCTTGTCTCTGCACTTTTTCTAGTGCCAATATATTCTTCTTTAGAACAGGTGCCCAAAATTGCACAGCATATTCAAGGTGTGGTCTTACCAGCGATTTATAAAGAGGCAAAATTATATTTTCATCCCGAGAATTTATGCCCCTATTTATACAAGACAAAACCTTACTGGCCTTAACAATTGCAGATTGACATTGCATATTGCTGCCTAATTTGTTGTCTATAAAAATTCCCAAAACTGTGTCTGTGGAATCCATGATATGGTTAATTACATGCCAGTGGATCTTGTAGTTAAATCTCTGGATTCTGTGGTATGGCTAGTTATATATCTTTGGATTCCATTACAGTTATTTATATATCCTGTTTTTCAACCATTTTTGCTTCTCACTACAGATGTACATTTTTATGCTGTTCTAGGAAGCCAAAGCAGCTGTAGAAGAGGCCAGGGTCCTGCGGAGCCGCATCCACCTGGCGGAAGTTGCTCAGAGGCAGGCACGTGGAGTGGAGATGGACTACGAAGAGGTCATCCGCCTCCTGGAAGTCGAAATCGCTGAGCTAAGAGATCAACTGGTCGACCACTCCGGCCATAACAAGGTTAAGCATATCGGCCATTTTCTAGCCTCATTACCATGGTAGCCCGGCCTGGTGACTGTAAGTGCTACTGTAAAGTAGGTCACGCTTTGTATTATTCAGGATTCCAAGCGAGGCGCGTCTACAAACACAATGCCCTTGTTACGACCCAATCTTTGCAAAGCAGGCCCTGTGATATAAACAATGAAATCTGCTTTCATTAAGTAATGTTACATTTTACAGGTTTCATTTTTTTATTTTAAGTTGTTTTTATTTTTATTTTTGCAAAACATACCAGCTCAGCTGCCCTTAGCTCAGTACTTTGAATAATCCAGAAAGGAAAAAGGAGAGGAGTAATTCAAACCGAATATTGAATGGATGTTGCTGGATGTTCCCTGTTTCGTTTACAGTGAGAAACATGATTTTACTTGATATTTTGAATGGTTTTGTCCCAAGCTTATAGAATTTTTACCTTTTCAGCCATGGAAGCTAAACTTTAGTACTCTAGTGGCTTTTTTTTTTTTTTTAAATCAGTTGACAGTCAGATTGCTAAATTTAGGCCATACTTGAGGACTGAAGAATTCTTTAACTTAACAATTCCATTTTGGTTTTTCTGACCTGAATTCTGGTTGCTCATTTACTGATTAAGGCCTTTTATATGTTTCATGTTCTCCTCCCATCCCCTGTACTGGAAGGGGTTAAATGGACACTAAATGAACCCAGACCATTCCACTTCAATAAAGGGGTCTGGATGCAGTGCCCCTGTCTGTTCAAACCTGGTTTGTAAAACATGCCATTCTGTAAGAATGTTTCAGGTTTAGCACGCCCCTAGTGACAGTCTTCGTGACAGGATTTCATCTGCTATAATGAGTAAAACTCCCATGATGCTTTACATGCCTGTGGAATTACAGCCTCTTGTCCCAGGTGTGAAGTATAACGTACCTGGGACAGGTGTATATACAGGGAGTGCAGAATTATTAGGCAAGTTGTATTTTTGAGGATTAATTTTATTATTGAACAACAACCATGTTCTCAATGAACCCAAAAACTCATTAATATCAAAGCTGAATATTTTTGGAAGTAGTTTTTAGTTTGTTTTTAGTTATAGCTATGTTAGGGGGATATCTGTGTGTGCAGGTGACTATTACTGTGCATAATTATTAGGCAACTTAACAAAAAACAAATATATACCCATTTCAATTATTTATTATTACCAGTGAAACCAATATAACATCTCAACATTCACAAATATACATTTCTGACATTCAAAAACAAAACAAAAACAAATCAGTGACCAATATAGCCACCTTTCTTTGCAAGGACACTCCATGGATTCTGTCAGTGTTTTGATCTGTTCACCATCAACATTGCGTGCAGCAGCAACCACAGCCTCCCAGACACTGTTCAGAGAGGTGTACTGTTTTCCCTCCTTGTAAATCTCACATTTGATGATGGACCACAGGTTCTCAATGGGGTTCAGATCAGGTGAACAAGGAGGCCATGTCATTAGATTTTCTTCTTTTATACCCTTTCTTGCCAGCCACGCTGTGGAGTACTTGGACGCGTGTGATGGAGCATTGTCCTGCATGAAAATCATGTTTTTCTTGAAGGATGCAGACTTCTTCCTGTACCACTGCTTGAAGAAGGTGTCTTCCAGGAACTGGCAGTAGGACTGGGAGTTGAGCTTGACTCCATCCTCAACCCGAAAAGGCCCCACAAGCTCATCTTTGATGATACCAGCCCAAACCAGTACTCCACCTCCACCTTGCTGGCGTCTGAGTCGGACTGGAGCTCTCTGCCCTTTACCAATCCAGCCACGGGCCCATCCATCTGGCCCATCAAGACTCACTCTCATTTCATCAGTCCATAATACCTTAGAAAAATCAGTCTTGAGATATTTCTTGGCCCAGTCTTGACGTTTCAGCTTGTGTGTCTTGTTCAGTGGTGGTCGTCTTTCAGCCTTTCTTACCTTGGCCATGTCTCTGAGTATTGCACACCTTGTGCTTTTGGGCACTCCAGTGATGTTGCAGCTCTGAAATATGGCCAAACTGGTGGCAAGTGGCATCGTGGCAGCTGCACGCTTGACTTTTCTCAGTTCATGGGCAGTTATTTTGCGCCTTGGTTTTTCCACACGCTTCTTGCGACCCTGTTGACTATTTTGAATGAAACGCTTGATTGTTCGATGATCACGCTTCAGAAGCTTTGCAATTTTAAGAGTGCTGCATCCCTCTGCAAGATATCTCACTATTTTTTACTTTTCTGAGCCTGTCAAGTCCTTCTTTTGACCCATTTTGCCAAAGGAAAGGAAGTTGCCTAATAATTATGCACACCTGATATAGGGTGTTGATGTCATTAGACCACACCCCTTCTCATTACAGAGATGCACATCACCTAATATGCTTAATTGGTAGTAGGCTTTCGAGCCTATACAGCTTGGAGTAAGACAACATGCATAAAGAGGATGATGTGGTCAAAATACTCATTTGCCTAATAATTCTGCACTCCCTGTATGTTTAATATTATTTGTTAAATGCCCGAAATTGACTGTGAACTTGTTTTTACTTCAGGACAACACGCAGGATTTACAGAGGAGAATTACTGTCCTCGGCTGCCAACTGCGTAAATCTGAGATGGCAAGGAAGACCTTCGAAGTATCCACGGAGAAGCTGTTACAATTTGTCGAAGTTAGTTGTTTACCATATTATCGGATACTGGAGGAAAGATGTGACATCTTCTGACAGAGATTGTGGTCAGATTAAAGGGACACTATAGGCACCCAGACTTCAGCTCACAGGGTGCAGTATGCCAGGACCCTTAACCATGAGCAGGTAACTATTGCAATTTTTAACAAGCTGCAATATTTACCTGTTAGGGTTAACTCCACTTCTAGTGGCTGCCTACCAGACAGCCACTAGAGAAAATTCTGGGTTGTTAGGCGACCTGGATTCCCCTTAAAGCTAGTTCAAAAATCTGTTTATTTCCAGCGGCACGCAGGTCTCCTGGCGCTGACTCCACCATTGAATTGATTATCTCAGCCAATCACAATTTCCCATAGGAAAGCATTGCTATGGGTGAGATAGTCAATTCTGAGGAGCCAAACGCCTCATAGAGATACATTGAATTGCAGATGGATTAGTGCATCTCTATGGGTAAAGTTCAGCGTCCCCATGGAGAGTGTGGAGACACTGAATGTCAGTCACACTGTGCAGCACTGCCCCAGGAAGCACCTCTAGTAGCTATTTGAGGAATGGCCACTGCAGTTGTCCATGACAGCAATGTAAACACTGCCTTTTCTCTGAAAATACAGTATTTACAGCAAAAGGCCTGCATGGACTGACTATACTCATCAGAACAAATATATTAAGCTGTAGTTGATCTGAGGACTATAGTGTCCCTTTAAGTCTGGATATGTATGGGAAGAGTGAGATGTCAGGATGTTGATGATATGGTGACTTTGTGATTTTGTACTAAAAGCTGTTCCAAAGCTCATACAGAGGGTAATCTTTTCCCCTTTTGAGAGATGTTCAAGGTCTACTCGAAGCACCATGACCACTTTATTTATTTGAGAGGGCCATGGTGCCTAGTGTCTGTAAAATGCTGCACATACTGAGTTTAACCCATTGGCGTCATGAGGTGTAAGGCTGGCTAATGCCAGTTCTGTGCAAAGTATTTTTGTACAGTGTATCAATCATTGGCTGCGAGTGGTCAGTTGATGCTCTTAGCCAGTGAATAGCAACTGAATCGGTTTCAGACTTATGTAGCTTTGCAAAAAAAACGGACGCCCATCACAGAGGAGGAGAAGTCTGGGTAAAAGGTTCATTTTGAAAAGGCTAATATTTATATGCAATATATCCAGCACCAGAAAGTATTATAAAACATTAGGATTATTATTTAATAAAATACTGTATGTAGTTAGAGAAATGTACTATCAGTCATTTTCTTTCTTTTGAACCAAGAGCAAAAAAGTAATATCATTGTACTTAAAGGAACACTATAGTCACCTAAATTACTTTAGCTAAATAAAGCAGTTTTAGTGTATAGATCATCCCCCTGCAATTTCACTGCTCAATTCACTGTCATTTAGGAGTTAAATCACTTTGTTTCTGTTTATGCAGCCCTAGCCACACCTCCCCTGGCTATGATTGACAGAGCCTGCATGAAAAAAAACTGGTTTCACTTTCAAACAGATGTAATTTACCTTAAATAATTGTATCTCAATCTCTAAATTGAACTTTAATCACATACAGGAGGCTCTTGCAGGGTCTAGCAAGCTATTAACATAGCAGGGGATAAGAAAATCTTAATTAAACAGAACTTGCAATAAAGAAAGCCTAAATAGGGCTCTCTTTACAGGAAGTGTTTATGGAAGGCTGTGCAAGTCACATGCAGGGAGGTGTGACTAGGGTTCATAAACAAAGGGATTTAACTCCTAAATGGCAGAGGATTGAGCAGTGAGGCTGCAGGGGCATGTTCTATATACCAAAACTGCTTCATTAAGCTAAAGTTGTTCAGGTGACTGTAGTGTCCCTTTAATGTATTTAGATTCAAATGATACTGATCAAATGTGCATTCAGTTCCAAAGGTGCTAAAGGGAATATATACCCATAACTGGATCGCTATATTTCCTTTTATAAACTGAGTGTAACCTCTTGCAGCCTTCTGATAGCAATAAGATAATCAGTATCTGGCCGCTAGAATCTGACATCTTTCTTTTCCAGCAGAATACAGGTTTAGAGATAAACTGTGTGTGCGGTGTTGAAAGGAAATGCCTGGAAACCCTCACAGCACTGTGTAAGCATCTTCCGTTCACCCTCATCTATGGACTTGTATAGCGTATAAATGTGCTACCATGTCTCACCCATTTTCTGATTGAAGTGGATGTCACGAGAGAAGGAACAATCTCAGGATGATAGGAGATGTAGTCCAGTCACAGCCTGGCTGTTCCTCGGTTCCCTTGGCTTAGTTTTGTAATAGTCTGTCACATGCCCTGCAAGTCTGGGACTGTGCAGCAAGCATTGGCTCGTTAGAGGACATAGCAGGTGACATATTACATCCCAGTCGAATCAACGAGCGCAGGTGAAAGGTGTCAGATTGATGCTGAGTGACTCACATTTATTTTTTTTACGGAGCTGTACGAGGTATTGGTTTTTGTAATGAGAAAATAGAGACAGCCTGGATACCCCGCAGCTGCCAATGTCACAATTCACAAATGAATAGTAAAAGCCGCAGGCACAGATCCAGAGACATTCTTTTTCTGTCCGTTAGAGAAACTCATTGATAGGTTTCCTGCAGCAGGCAAGGCAGGAAAGGTCAGTTTCATGCCACGCTCTGAATCAGACCGGCCCGTGGAGCTCAGTACACAGAGTGAGCCAAGCCGATAAATGGTATGCATAAATAAATCTGGGCGCTGTTTCTGAGAACACGGAGCCCTTCGGATTGGCTATTTGCCCACTTGTATTTCTCAGCCCATTTTCCCCCTGTGTCTCTCGGATTCTTTTTGATGACCATCTTGTTTTTAATGAACCTTGGGATTTCTGGTCAGGAGTTTCCATTTATTTTACTTGTAATTCCTCATTCATCCTGTGATTCATACTCTGCTCTGTAAATATCACAGAGAGAAGCTAAACGCAGCCTCTGCAATATCAGGGGCTAAGCCCCACTTAAACCTCCAAATGCTCAGCAGCGCCACCTCAGTCCAAACGTACTCAGTGCCTGGATCATTTACTGGCTGTACATGGCAGCATCCTACTGTGCCTTTACCAAAAACAACACAATTATTATTGTTTTTATGTAGCTGTAAAAATAGATAATATGTAATGTTTTATAGTGGTAGTTATATATTAACAAAAAACACAAACTGTAAGCTCTGTTAGGCCAAATTAACGTGTTTTTATTGTGGGCATTTTGTTTTCAGATGATTTCCTAAGAGTAATGACAGTTTAGTAAATTAGGAGATTAAAGTAGAATTTCCCAGTAAGTCTACACTTTCTCTGTCTGGGTTATTTTCCTTCAAATAGCAGGATGCAAGCACAGCCCTCTCTCAGCCATTTAGTACTGTGAAATTACTGGAGCTATTAAAAAAACACAGGACTGCACGGCAGCGACTATTACAGCCCATATTACCGTGCGCTAGATCTAAAAGCTTTATTCCATATAGAGTTTTTTTCTATCTTAATGAGGCACGCTTATTGTCGTGTGCCTTTTAGAGCCGTTTTATTTGCTTTTATATTCATAATGGCTCAAACCCAGTGTCCCTTTTATTCATTTTTGAAGCACTTTGATTACCTTTTCTCACACTGCTAGCAGCGTGACCTACAGCCGGTACAAGCCTCCTCCTCTCTTGGACAGGTAGCCTCCAAAACTAAACTATTTAAAGGCTTTAACAGTCCTCTCTGATTCCCCTTCTCCATCCCAAAAAACTGAAATGTAAACCTCATAACAAGAGTATCGACCCCTTCACTGGCAGGCCTGGACAAGAGACCTCTACTTTGGTGGAAGACAAAATATTTCTCAGGGCTTTTATTAATCTGTTCATGGATGTTGACATTTTAGTAACCAAAGAAAAAGTTACTTGCGCTGTCTCCTAAATCCCTATGTATATTTAAACAAATGGAGGGTCCTTAGTTACTCCAATGGCTAATGGGGGGAATGCCCACCTGTCACATCAAGGCAGACCCCCTCAGGTGGGTCCTACACTGACCTTTCACCCTGCCTCCTTGAGTTTCTGGCCATTGGAGTAACTAAATAACCTCCGTTTGTTTAAATATACATAGGGATTTAGGAGAGAGCCTGATGTTTACTGATGTTTACTGTGGTCGTTGCTGTCGCCCTGGAGTGATGGGAGTGAGTGCAGAACTTGTTTTTTTTGTAGTTGACATTTTAGAGCTAGTTTTGCAGTAACTCTGGATCTGTGGCAGTGGGGAGAATTCGTCCATTTCTTGACATTTTAAGATAGTAATGTTGTAGTAGACATGATAGAGTAGAGCAGGGCTCAGTATAAATAAATATTTGAGAGTCTTAAAGTCAGACTGACAGCCACTAGAAGGGCTACTTCTGATTTGCTGAGGTCCTCGTGTTCGGCATCATTACACACAGCTCCATGAAACAGAAGGCTGTCTGAGTTTGCTCATAGATTCAATGCCTCTCTATGCGAAGCATTGGATTGGTGGAGCGCAGCAATCACTACGAATGCACCCCATGTCCCCAGTGCCTATCTGTGACCATTGCATTGGAATAAAGTCAATAACTGATGATTTAATTTGGAGAACTGGCAGCTGCAGTGAGGACACTGTCCTGGAGGTGGAATAAAGTTAAGATTAACTGCAAGGGGTGGTGTAGGGGGCAGAGAACTTATAATCGTTATTAAGAATGGAACATGTGAAGGTACACCCCATCACCTTCAGCTCCTTTCGTATAACGGATTCGTATTTAACTTTGCTTTGTTTATTTTGTTCGGTTTCTGAACCAAGACCACCCCAGAGACCCATTAGAACGTGGAACGTTGAGTATCTTCTACAAAAACCACAAAGGAACTAATTAATAGAATGCTCCTGAACACTGGCAGCAGGAATTGGTCGTCGAGTGCCGGGAACTCATTTCGGCCAGGCACTCCCGCGAAGTAGCTTTCTATACGAATCAGCTTTCATCTACCATGTGTGGTTTTCGTACAAAACAGCACGAACGGAGACTGGCTCTTGCCACAACTTCCCTGGAACTATTTTGGGCTTCATCCTCGTGGCAGACCGGTCAGAACTTCCCTGCGATGCATATATTGTTGCCCAGATCCAGGCTATCCGGGGATGTGACTTTGTGGGGTTTCCATGTATTTTTGGGGTGGTTAAGAAATGTTTGAATTTTCTGTCCCTAAGAGATAATATAATTAGCAATGTGTATTCCAATAATTATCTCTTAGACACAGAGGATCATGGGAGGGATTTCCCTGTTTTTCTGTGTTAGAAACCCAGTGTTGGGGCTTTTGCATAAAAAGCCGTGTGTGGCTCCAAATAAACCAGTCTTCTCCCAGCATTAAGCCTTGGCTCATGTGTGGGGAGTTATGGGACATTGGTAATATTTTACCTTTGGGATTGTGTTTGTTTATTGGAAAAGGTCATCCGTGGCGGTGATACTCTGGCAGACCACCACAGAACACTCTAGCATTTAATTTAAATATATTTCCTTTAGTGCTCACCATCCAAGCAACTGTATGGATATGGCACAACCAGTACAATGCAATGTATGTGTCTGTTTTTTGTTTTTTTTTAATACTTACTTTGATGCTTTTTTGATAGTTGTGGCGCCCCCTTTAGGTAGTTTGAGAGAATTTGCAGAATGTGAGTGAGTGGGATACATTGTGATTTTTAGTTTGGCATTAACGTGGAATTATCACAAGTTTCCTATACAGCTGCTGGAACAATTTGTGTGGGAATACAGAATGGTTTAAAGGACCACTATAGTGCCAGGAAAACATACTCGTTTTCCTGGCACTATAGTGCCCTGAGGGTGCCCCCACCCTCAGGGACCCCCTCCTGCCCGGCTCTGGAAAGGGGAAAGGGGTTTAAACTTACCTTTTTCCAGTGCTGGGAGCTCTCCATTCCGCCCCGTCGGCTGAATGCGCACACGCTGCAAGAGCTGCGTGCGCATTCAGCCGGTCGCATAGGAAAGCATTTACAATGCTTTCCTATGGACGCTGGCGTGCTCTCACTGTGAAAATCACAGTGAGAAGCACGCAAGCGCCTCTAGTGGCTGTCAATGAGAGGCATGGGGGAAGGCTTAACCCATTTATAAACATATCAGTTTCTTTGAAACTGCTATGTTTATTAAAAAATGGGTTAACCCTAGCTGGACCTGGCACCCAGACCACTTCATTAAGCTGAAGTGGTCTGGGTGCCTAGAGTGGTCCTTTAATGGTTTCTCTATAACTTGTGTTACTACAGGCTGCAGCTTCGATCAAGGGAACACCGCATTCTTTATGTTAATTAACATTAATTCATAACTACCAGTAAATGATTGCTGTGTGTCTGTCCGTGTCATCTAATGTCTGTGTGTATTATGTCTCCTCTCACAGAGTATTCCTGATGTCGTGGTTGATGAGAAAGGCTCCACGTTAAATCTCTGGTGAGAAATCATACAATCAAAGTGTTGTAACTGCTGCAGCTTATTGCAATGTTTACAGCTTCTTTTACGGTTTGTGTTGAGGTTAGTCACTGGTAGCTTCCTCCCACCCCCCACCACGAACTATTTACCATCTATTTGGCAACATTTGTGGCTCTGCTAATACCTTAATCCTAGCGAACCATGGACAGTAACGACAGTCTGCGAGTGCAAAATGAGGAATTTTAAACTCTGTGACAGGCTGTACAGCTGGGAAAAGTTAGAGAACTCAAATTCTCCTTTTAACAATTTAAACCTGTTATGAGTTTGTCAGATATTATTTTTAAGGTAGCACCAACCTGCCTTGCAGTATGTGTGCAGTGTGCCTTACCAATTTATTGTCACATCACATAAGAATTCTAATTTCACTCCTTTAATGATTTAAAATTTTAATATCTTCCTGGAAGCAGTCCTCCGCTGCATTTACTGATGTGTTGGTTCTTTTTTTGTGTGTTTGTTTCAGCGAACGGATTCCGGCGATTTCATCTCCATTGTCAAGACTTGCCACAAATAGGCGTGGGGTGCTCACGTCCTTGGTGTTGGAAGCTAAAGAACTTGCGAGAACCGTCCGTTCTATCGTTGAAGTTGACTGTAAGTTTACACTCTGCATTAACTACTTGCATGTTGGTAATGTCACCGTTGCCAGTTACTGACCCATAACTCCAATCATCTACAGCCACAGTGTGGGGTAGTGAGAAGACTGCTTAGAAGGCTGATTCAGGACCTTGCAGGCTATTTAGGGATAGTGTACTAGTGACATGTAATTGCATTTATTTAGCAAGGCTTGCGATGGCAGTCACTGTTAAACAGTTCTCCCACAATACCTTAAACTGGGCATTGTGGAACCTTAAACCTTGCCCACACATATGGTACTCATTGCTAAGATGTGATAATGGGCCAGCATTGGCAGATGTATGCGCCTTTAAGTTTTTTTTGTGGTTTTTTTGGGGGGAAGCTTGTATTTTGGTTGATAAGAATTGTTTGGACCTATGCATTAAATAAAAAATATATTCTGTGTCCATAATAGAAATGAATTAGCTTTCTGTGCTTCTGTACCTTCCAAGACCATTGTAGCAGCAAGTTACCCTTGTACAAATAATAAATAAAAAGTAGTCTATATTAGATTTTTTTTTTCTCTCCAATCAAAAAACAAAAAGCAAGAACCCAAGGCTTGCTCTGCTTCAGAATAATCCACTTTAACCTGCAGCCATCAGGGTTGAGCAGCAGTTCGCCAAAGAGCAAACAGATAATTGTACAATCCTCTGGCACAGCAAGAGTCGGGAGAAAGGAACGCAAACTTCTCAAGCCAAGAACTGTCCCATTTCTTTGACATAATGAGATTAGCCTCTGCACAGGGGGTGTCAGATCATCGAGAGTGACAGGCATTGGAAATCAAGGGAGAAGTCAGTATTGTACTATGGATGTTATCATGTAACGTGCATTGTGGTTTGAAGGCTGTCAGTGGCAGAATAAGGACAGCTCAACAGGCGCGATCCAGCTCTTTGTAGTGTTTGTGACTAACGAGGTAATGGTTTCTGGGCAGTGGGGAGAATCCTGGATTTTAACAACTTGGAGAGGATGGCACCCATATACTCCTGGCAACATATACACATCACTGAGCTGCAATAATCCACTGAGCTGTAGTGGCTGTGGTATATAGTGTTCCTTCAACATCAGCCCAACAATTACCCATGATTAGTTCATGGAATGTTTTTTAACTAACTGAACAGGTAATTGTGAATTGCTAAAGTTCTGGAGCCACCGTTCATTGTAGCTTTTTTTTATTTTTTAAAAACTAAAATTGTATCTTCCTTGTCAATTCTCCTCAAATCCTGTTTTAGTGAACAGACCCCCATTTGTTATTTTTTTTATTATTATTTGTAGGTTTTCATTTATTCCTTTAAACGTTAAGTTTGCACTGAATTTACACCCCTTTCCACAGTGGCTCCTTCACGTCATACTTGTACATCTCAATCCGGGTCCTGCTGATTTGGGGCCTGTTCTCCGATGAAGCCACTGACGCACTCCTTCATCTCCGCGCTCGGTAACCGTCCAATAAATCCCGTCTAGACTCCACCAGATATTTTCAGAGAAAAATGCAGAGAAAGTTAACTCAGTGAAATCTAATCTTTTTGGAGCAGGCTTGTTTTGAATAAGAAGTAGGTCAGCAAAGGACGCAGGTTCAGTAACGCTCCCTAGGGAGGTGGGATCACATTATCTGTTGAATTACCGCTCAGAGTGTTGCTTGCAAGGCAGATTACAGCTTACAAATGCAGACATATAGCACCAACTGAAAATCCTTTGCAACAGCATTTTTTTCTTGCAGAAGCGACCTAATTCAGGGAGGTTACTCACTGGCAAACACTTTTTTAAAGAACTTTCAGACATCTTATTTTTCGGCAATGTGAATTTAAAGGGTAACAATTTAATGGTTTATGGAGATATATTTATTGTATTTTAAAAAAAACACACACATTAAATCTCCCAAATGTGAGAAAGTTACCTCTGGATGCTTTAAGAAATGCGCATGTTAACTATTCCTGCACCTCGCCATGCAACCCGTCCAGGCAGAGCACCCCGGGAGTGCAGACGTGTGCTATACTAAACCTCCCAGCACACTCAGACAGGCTTTATGTGGACCGAGTAGAAGTACTGACCAGATCTTAATTGCAGATCTCTCTAAACTAATGGGAATAGTTCCCAATTCTATATTCAATGACCATAGTATTGACCACAAAATATATGACAGATAAGCTGTAACTGGGGGTTCACAACTGATGTATGTTTTATATTGTTCTCAATTTTTTTGTTCTTTTTCTGGCTTTTTCCTTACTGAATGCCATGTTTCCCCGTTCTGTATCACTTAACCCACGATTATAGTGGGCTCAGGGCAAGCACAGCATTTATGTAAAGCTGTGGAAACCTACACCACAGCTAATCTCACCAGCTCAGTAACCTGCATCTGTAATCCCTGGATGTCTACCTAGATAAGGGCTGTTACATGCCTTTCACCTGCCAGGTACTAAACCTGGAGGACATCATGTTTTCACAGATGGTGGTTCTTCTCCACCCATGGGAACATGTCCTACATAGAGGTGTTTAGGTTTCCCATCTGCCTCCTTAACCCATGATTGGCATATCCTGTGACCGACTGAACATTGCAAAGTTGTATTTATATGTGGGCGTACCGTTGTACAGATCCATGCTAAGAACAGTGGGGATTCAGTGACATGGAGGTCCCCCCTTGCTTCCTATTGGGAAGAAAATAGTCAGTCCCAAGACTTAATATAAGATGGTGACAGTAAGTAAGGGGGGTAAGATTCAGAACTGTCCTAAACTGACATCAAGTACAAATCCGTAGAGTTCCCAGCTTTGTCCAGATCTGTCCTTGTGACCTTAAATAGTGCTGGTGACAGTGACCTTTATTCCTTATCGCACTGAACTTTTCCATAGGTTTGCCGGGTTCAAAATGCCCGGAGGCTTAATGAAACCTGTTTTATCTCAATGAACCCTGCGGTAGTGTACTGGGATGAGAGTACAGAAGATATTGCGACAGGCAGTAGTTTTTAATCTGTTATATACTGGGCAGTTTGCCATGGTCTACCTGTCCATTTTAGTTGTGCCATTAATGGTTTTCGTTAATATTTTTGTGATGTGCAGGATCTGCGTCAGTGCCTGGCGTCTCACAGACAACCGTTTCTTCATTCTCACAAAAGCACTTTGACAAAAGATAACTAATAATAGTCTCTCTTCTCTACTCTTAACGCAATCACAGTTGCCGTGGCCGCATTTCAAATGCGTTCAATAACACTGATTACTTCTACCATACTACGTATCACGCTCCTTGCATTGAGTTTATTGTCAGACTGCTTTTTTTGTTTGTTTTTGTATTCATTTATTTATTTTACCCTGGGATCTGAATTTGTGCCTATTCGGAGTAATATTAGATTTTAATGGTAAACACAGTCTGCTCAGCATTTAAACTGACACATTATGGGGCCTGACATTTAAAGTGTATAACACCCTTGTGAACATACCACTGAAATGGCACTCTGCATTTTGTAGGCATACTTTTTTTACACAATTCCTCGTGTTAATAAAAACCCTGCAAGTATTTCCGATCCCGTGATCCTGCTGTGGGAGAGCAGTGTTGCGAATCGCCTTTTACCTGCCTGCTTGCTGCCTTCCTGTGAGTCTCTTCACTTGCCCCCTGTCTGATGTGTTGTTCTCACAGATCTGCTAGCAGCTAATATTCTGTGCTCACTTAATATCAGCCTTTCCATAAATCCATGTAGAACTGTAAAACCAACAGATAATATTTTTAAACAAAGTTATAGTACATTTAGCTCCATTATAAATAGGTTTGATATATTGGAAGTGCCCTGAACTCTCCGATGATACAGGATGCCTGCGGTACCCACATCAAGTCCTGGGTACAAAAAAACCTGACCTGCTGAACCCAACACACAGTAAAATGAGTTTATAAGATGCTACGTGATCGTGCAAAAGAAAATTGTGCTGACAGAAGAGTCACTTTAATGTGACTGTTTTACACATTCACAGACACCTTTGTCAATTTGTGAGAATTCTGGGATTTTACAGTATTACACAAACACTCAGGTTGATAATAAAAATCACTAACACACAATCTGTCAAAGGAAAGATCCAAATAATTCACCTTAATGGGGACTCATTTGCATCCATTTTTTTCTGTACTTTTTCTTGCCCTTAATGTTAAAAATGAATAATTTTATGCTCTACAATCGCACTGTGACAGAGCCCCTTTAATAGTATTAAATGAGAACATCACTGTCCCTTAAGCAAAAGCTTTCTTTGTTTGCTATTTCATTGTTGAAATGTTTTTTTTGCATCGAGACACTCGCCCCTGATAGGCTGGCACCGACAGTGTTTACTTACATATAAGTGTAGAGTGTACATTTGTGAGTTGTATTCCCCGGGGGTGTGTTTGAGATCGGAGGTGTTGTTACAGAAGGTGCACCACGTCCTGTTAGAATTAGGAATATATTCAGTAAATTCTAAATTACTGTTTTATTGATATGTTTATTAATCAGTGAATTGAAAAACAAATCCCAATATTTCAGGAAAAAGAGCACAGCTGTGGCTGAGCTGGAGAATATATCCATATGTTTGAGCCTAAATTTTTATTTTTTTTCTCATTTAAGATTTTTATTGTTTTTCAAACAGAAGTAAAGCATACAGTGGCATGAATGTACATTTTAACAGTACATATACATCGTGCAGTCGTAAAATAGATACAGTGGTACAATATGAGACATAGGTACAGCGTGTTACAGTGCGTAGAATATTTACCAATGGTATTAATATAACAGTGATAATAGCTAAGAGTCATTATTCTGGTACAAGTACAGTGGAGGTATATAGACAATCATTGATCAGTGGAGGTGCGAGATTACTAGTTGTGGTACTTGAGTAGTGGTATAGGCTCACACCTGACAATAGAACAGCAAAACAGTACTTTACATTACAACAGTGATACTGAATAATGGTAAAATGGAACTTTGTTACTAGTGTCTGATATCCTGGTGTCAGAGCCATAGACCAGGTGGGTGGTTTGTGACAAGAAGTTTAGCGTAGAAAGCGTATGGAGCCGTTGTGAGGGTGTCGGCTGGTGGTGTCTATTGGCATCATGGGGGCGTCTTTTTCTATCCTTTTTGGTTCCCAGTGTGAGTTTGAGTTTGCGTGAGTTGAGTGAGACTTTTAAGATTCCCTTCAAGGACTATGTCTCGTAGTTGTAGGGTGATACTATTATGGTACTGTTCAAATTGCTTCCCTGATGATCCCTTTTGGAAGAAGGGATTTTGTGTGAGTGGGTATAGTGGGGATGGGAATGGTTGAGCCTAAATTTTGCCATTGGGATTTTGATTTGCTTCAGTTTGAGGTTTAATAAATAAACCTTTTAGTGACAATGAGACAGGTTAACAGCTCATACTCCTGTCTTGTCTTACTACAAGATATTTAAGGAAAGCTAATGCTCATATTTTCCTTGGGCACCACAGATGTGTAACATATCAGAGCATTTTCATCACATTTGGCTCTGAGTGATTGGATCATATGCCACTACATCACACTGGGCTCTTCGTGATTGGATGATATGCCTTTACATCACACTCGGCTCTTCGTGATTGGATGCTTTGCCTTTATATCACACTGGGCTCTTCGTGATTGGTTATTTATTTATTTATAGAATATTTTACCAGGAAGGATTTCTCTCATTTTCAAGTATGTCTTGGGTCCACAAAACATTGCATTGATACAATAGGGTACAATCAAATACAAAAACAATATTAATACACAATATATACAACATTTTACATAGAACAGGTAGGAAATATATAATCAACCATAACAGGTTCATTCTGTTTTGAGGGATCTCTTGAAGGACTTTAGGCCTGGGGAAGATTTGAAAGTGTGCAATTACATCATGCTGGGCTCTGTGTGATTGGTTGATAGGCCATTACATCATGTTGGGCTCTGTGTGATTGGTTGATAGGCCATTACATCATGCTGGGCTCTGTGTGATTGGTTGATAGGCCATTACATCATGCTGGGCTCTGTGTGATTGGTTGATAGGCCATTACATCATGCTGGGCTCTGTGTGATTGGTTGATAGGCCATTACATCATGTTGGGCTCTGTGTGATTGGTTGATAGGCCATTACATCATGCTGGGCTCTGTGTGATTGGTTGATAGGCCATTACATCATGCTGGGTTCTGTGTGATTCGTTGATAGGCCATTACATCATGCTGGGTTCTGTATGATTCAATAATATGCCATTACATCACGCTGGGCTCTGTGTGATTGGTTGATAGGCCATTACATCATGTTGGGCTCTGTGTGATTGGTTGATAGGGCATAACATCATGCTGGGCTCTGTGTGATTGGTTGATAGGCAATTACATCACGCTGGGTTCTGTATGATTCGATAATATGCCACTACATCACACTGGGCTCTTCGTGATTGGATGATGTGCCTTTACATCACACTGGGCTCTTCGTGATTGGATGATGTGCCTTTACATCACACTGGGATCTTTGATTGGTTATTTATTTATTTATAGAATATTTTACCAGGAAGGATTTCTCTCGTTTTCAAGTATGTCCTGGGTCCACAAAACATTGCATTGATACAATAGTGTACAATAAAATACAAAAACAATATTAATACAGAATATATACAAAATTTTACATAGAACAGGTAGGGAATATATAATCAACCATAACAGGTGCATTCTGTTTTGAGGTATGGAGAGAGGGATCTCTGGAAGGACTTTAGGCCTGAGGAAGATTTGAAAGTGTGCCATTACATCATGCTGGGCTCTGTGTGATTGGTTGATAGGCCATTACATCATGCTGGGTTCTGTATGATTCGATAATATGCCATTACATCACGCTGGGCTGTGTGTGATTGGATAATATGCCATTACATTACACTTGGTTCTGTGTGACTGGTTGATATGCCATTACATCACGCTGGACTCCTCATGATTGGTTGATATGCTATTACACATTACATCACTCTGAGCTCTTCATGATTAGTTGGTATGCCATTACATCACTCTGGGCTCTTCGCGATTGGTTGGTACGCCGTTATATCACGCTGGGCTCTCTGTGCTTGGTTGACATGCCATTACATGTTACTTGGTTTTGTGTGGTTGATATGCCATTATATCATATTTGGCTCTGTGTGATTGGTTAATATGCCATTGCAGCACACTTGGTTTTGTGTGACTGGTTGATATGCTATTACATCACACTGGACTTGTTGTGATTGTTTGATATGCCATTACATCACACTGGGCTCTCTATAATTGGATAATATGCCATTACATCACACTTGGTTTTGTTTGACTGGTTGATATGCTATTACATCACACTGGAATTGGTGTGATTGGTTGATATGCCATTACATCACACTGGGCTCTGTCTGATTGGATAATATGCCATTACATCACACTTGGTTTTCTGTGATTGGCTTATTGCTATTACTTCATGCTTGTGTTATAGGAGTTTATCCAGTGTTGACTGACTTTGTCAATACAGCCTAGAGACAATGAGCATCATGCGAAACCAAGTCCGCAAATCTCTATAATGCAGAGCTTACCTAACCGCATTTTCACGTGTTTGTCCTTCATGTGTTTAGCCTTAACCCCATTCACGTATGTTGGATCCCATAAATGCACCATGTTGTGTGCTAGAAGATAAATATACATGATGTGTTTTTTAACCCTCTGTATAGTAATGAGTCATTTATGAAAGCTGATTCCTAAGCTTAGAAGCATAATGACGTTCAAATCGTCCACCTTCATTTCGATTGTTACCATGACAATGCAAAGCAATGTTTCTGTAGAGCACAATCTCTGCTTCTTTTTAAGGATATTTCACTGTCTGCATTCACACAAAGACTTGATGAGGGGGGGCAAGATTAAGCAACAGAAAACAAAAATATAAAACTTACTGTTGCCGCAATAGGAATATTTTTTCATATATGACATTCAGGATTTAGAAAATTCTATATTAAGAGTCAATTTGAAGCTTTCCCACTGCTCTGCATACCCTCTGTATGTCTATATAGGGGCAGTTATACAGAAAGCACTTTCAACATCACTTGTCTTTGCCTTCCCACCCCAGCAGTGATCTACCTGTACTGCCCCTTTCTTATAAAAACACTTTTGACATAAGTGGGTAATCCCTAAATCCTAGACTGTTGGGGGATACTTGAGGACTGGGTTGGGAATCACTGCTGTAGAAGCATAGTTGGTACTGTGTCTTGAGAAATTGAGAAATCATCAAGTTATAAAAGTAAATATATATATATATATATATATATAAAAAATAATGGGTAAAACACATCCCTACCTTTAGTATATGAGAGGATCCTTTAGCCATATACATACACATTGGGTCGGACAGTGTTTAAGAAACCAACAGTCTCTATGGTCTGCCCTGTTTCTGCGTATGGAGTGAAGCAGGGCAGACCATAGAGACTAACTGTCAACACTATCCGACCCATGGTGCATTTATATGGCTAAATGATCCTGTCATATACTGAAGGTTGCGATGAGTTTTTCTAATTCTTTTTTATTTAAAAATAAAAATCTGTTTCCTTTTACAACTTGATGAAAGGATTGTTATATTAAAAAATAGTTTTGATGTGACAGTTCTACTTTAATAGACTGATCTGCTTTTTATTTAATTTTGAATAACTTCTAACCATCCTAGATTTTCTAATGGCATACACAGTGTACAATTTCCTTCTCCCTCCCCACGCTGGGATTTAAATAGTTTCTCTCTTTGAATCTTGCGTACTGATTGGCTGCGGACATCATCACACTCCTTACTTTATTTTGTATTCTTTTTTTTTTTCTTCAAAAACTTTATTCACTGAAAATTAGATGAAATCCTGTACATCTAGGCCACACCAAAAAAAATAAATTTAAAAGCCTTTTATTTCAATTAGTAATTACAGCTGCAATGTTGCTCAAACCTGGTTAGATGAACATATTATTTGTCTTTTGGGAATGTCCTTTTAAGACAATTTCCGATCACCGGTTTGCTTTAAACTGGCATCTGGCATTCAGCAGGAGGTCAGCAAGTTTGTGTATTATTAGTGAAAAGAAATAAAAATACACAAAAAGAAATAAAATGCATCACTACTCTCCCGCGGCCTCACAATAGCTTGCCGTCTTGTGAGGCAGCCGAATTGTGTTACCCTGAGCAGCCTTAAATCTAACCTAGATTAGGCCCTCATTATTCCGAACAGGAGATGCTAACCCTAAGCACCTCACTCCATTTGCCGATAAACAGCGATGAAAGGATTGTACATCCTACCTTTATAATAACCTGTTTATTTTTACGTTTTATGTAACAGAAAGCTGTATTGATTAATCTGTGGGGGGGCACTCTGGCGAAAACTTGTGAATGAAGGCAATTCATTTTTAACGTACTATTCTGACTGTTCGTCTGCTCTACTTTTAGTGGACTTCAATTTATTTAATTCTTTTATTCCGCATCTTTGAGGTCAGCTGCTGCTTGAAAACCACCAGCTCTACGCAGGAGGACTCAAGTTATATTTGTGATTTTTGAAAGAGAAATATATTTAAAAAAAATAAAATAGAGAGAATTGTGTAGAACGACTGCTATTATTGAGTGACGTTAAAAAGAAGAAAATATGACTGTAATTTCTTTGAAATCAGAGGACCCATATTTACAAAGTCTCTTCCAGGTCTAATTGTGAGTTTGCGGTAAAGATCAATAAACCCATCCTTAAGGCACATACAAAGCAGGAGTTTTTATGATTTCCCCGTGAGTCCAGGGCTTTATCTAAATGAAATAATTAATGCCACCTGCTCATTCATAGGTTTCAGAACCCCGCACAGTTGGATTACTGTAAAAAGTTAAAGCAAGGCTGCTATGTTCCCTAAATTCCATTCATGGTGGCAGGTCATAGAGTAGACCATCATGTAATCTAGGCTACTGTGTTTGCCAACTTCCATTCCCAGCAGCAAGTTACTAACCATGCCACCGATTGTCTTGGCATTTATTTTATATACGCATATATTATGGAGTTTTTCTGTAACAGGTTTTAGAGGCAAACAGTCATTCTCAATTCTTGTAACAAGTGTAAAAACTTTTCAATGTTAATTAGTACGGAATCTTTACACTGCATCACTAAGGTCTAATTACTGTTCCCACTGGGTCCTGAGATAAGCAAGTGATTGCACATTCTTACGTATCTGCACACTGATTCCCACATGGTTGCAAAAGTTGACCAGCAGGAGCCAATTAGCTTTAGCCCCATGAAGTGCTGAAAGTTCAGGTCACGAATCCTTTTATTTGCCTCACTAATGGGCCCGCGAGTTACATGCTTTTCTTTCACATTGTTCTGCAGCAGACATTCCTGGGGAATGTAGTCCCTAGTCTGTAAGACTAAATATGGTTCTAGTTTGGACAGCCAGCAGCAACTGAGGTCGAAGTTGAGGCTTGTAGGGACGGTTCTTGTCTTGGTAGCTACCAAGGATGGATCTGAGCTATGTCAGAAATTCCCACGTATAACCATACACAATAGCACTAGCAGGCCTTGCACTGATTTCATGACAGTACTCTACACCTCTGCAAATTCCTTATTGGCGTCTGATGCAAACACGTGTGACGTCACATGTTTAGTGCTTCTCCCATTTTGTTTTGAAAAATCCCGACTGTCAACTACTTCCTTGTTTATGAGAAGTATGAAGAAATAAATAGTGCAAAGAGCAGACCCCTTGTTCTCACTATCTATCCATCCTTCCACTGACCCATATTCGATGTTCACCCATGTCTGATCATGGACACCCCAACTGACATTCCTCCTGAATATAACTACTAAGTAGCAGGATAGAGGATTTTTCCTTTTCTTACAAATTGTGGCCAGTATATTGCAGAAGTCTTGTAAGCTCACTGTTTAGCAAATAAACCCAGTGCTTAATTCATTTTGCACCAACCACTGTTAGTGAAGGCTCTGTGCTAATTATTACTGGCAGAGGAAGTGTAACAAGGTTGCCAATTAGAGAATAATCAATGGGGTTATCTGGGTGATACCATGCTGGGCTGCAGTTCTAACTCCATGAAGGAATATGTACTAAATCAACCACTTCATACAAGACCTGAAAACTGCTTTTTTTGTTCAATATATCCCAGACATCGTAGGGTAACCTTCCCTTCCATACTAATTAACTCTCGATATTCACGGTAACTGCAAAAAAATATGTATTACTTGTAAAATCGCAGTGACAAACGCTCCCTCCCTTTTCATATTGATGCTCCTGTTGCCTTTAATTTTGTGTTACCAGGAATTTTCTCATACACGCTGTGAAAGGACTTGTTAGATTGTGGACGAGCTAGTCTTCCTTTAATGGGCTCAGAGAGACTCAGCCGGGACAGTCCTAAACAGGGCAGCCTATACAGAAGCATGACGGTTACCACATCACCATCTGTTGGTTGACTGTTGTGTGTTCCATGCTACGCATTCTATGTTTGATATTCCATGCTGTGTGTTCGATGTGGGGTATTCTTTTCTGGGTGTTCTAGTCTATGAGTTCCATGCTGGGTTTTGATATTGAGCATTCCATGTTGTTACATAGTTACATAGTTACATAGCTGAAAAGAGACTTGCGTCCATCAAGTTCAGCCTTCCTCACATTTGTTTTTTGCTGTTGATCCAAAAGAGGCAAAAAAAACAGTTTGAAGCACAATTTTGCAACAAGCTAGGAAAAAAAATTCCTTCTTGACCCCAGAATGGCAGTCAGATTTATCTTTGGATCAAGCAGTTATTACCCTACATTGAAAGATTATATGACAACTCTTTGTACTCTGTTTTTAAGCCAGTGTTCTACCCAAGAACAAGCATTTTCATCTAGACCGATTTCCTTGAGTTTGAACACTAATCTATTGTGTGGAACTGTATCAAATGCCTTGGCAAAATCCAAATAGATCACATCCACGGCAACACCCTGATCTATACTTCTACTTACTTCTTCGTAGAACGCAATCAAGTTAGTTTGACATGACATATCTGTGTATTCTGTTCTGGGTGTTCTGATCCATGCGTTCCATGTTGGGTATTCCATGCTGGGTAGTCTGTGTTTGGTATTCAATGCTGGTTATTCTATTCTGGGTGTTCTAGTCTATGGGTTCCATGCTGGGTGTTCTAGTCTATGGGTTCCATGCTAGGAGGTGTTCGATGCTGATTATTCTGTTCTGGGTGTTGTAGTATATGGGTTCCATGCTAGGTGTTCGGTGCTGGTTATTCTGTTCTGGGTGTTCTAGTCTATGGCTTCCATGCTGGGTGTTTGATGCTGGTTATTCTGTTCTGGGTGTTCTAGTCTATGGGTTCCATGCTGGGTGTTTGATGCTGGTTATTCTGTTCTGGGTGTTGTAGTCTATGGGTTCCATGTTGGGTGTTCAATGTTGGGTATTCCATGCTGGGTAGTCTGTGTTTGGTATTCCATGCTGGTTATTCTATTCTGGGTGTTCTAGTCTATGGGTTCCCTGCTGGGTGTTTGATGCTGGTTATTCTGTTCTGGGTGTTGTAGTCTATGGGTTCCATGCTGGGTGTTAGTCTATGGGTGTTCGATGCTGATTATTCTGTTCTGGGTGTTCTATTCTATGGGTTCCATGCTAGGTGTTTGATGCTGGTTATTCTGTTCTGGGTGTTCTAGTCTATGGGTTCCATGATAGGAGGTGTTTGATGCTGATTATTCTGTTCTGGGTGTTCTAGTCTATGGGTTCCATGCTAGGTGTTCGATGCTGGTTATTCTGTTCTGGGTGTTCTAGTCTATGGGTTCCATGCTAGGTGTTCGATGCTGATTATTCTATTCTGGGTGTTCTAGTCTATGGGTTCCCTGCTGGGTGTTTGATGCTGGTTATTCTGTTCTGGGTGTTGTAGTCTATGGGTTCCATGCTGGGTGTTAGTCTATGGGTTCCATGCTAGGAGGTGTTTGATGCTGGTTATTCTGTTCTGGGTGTTCTAGTCTACAGGTTCCATGCTGGGTGTTCGAAGCTGGTTATTCTATTCTGGGTGTTCTAGTCTATGGGTTCCATGCTAGATGTTCGATGCTGATTATTCTGTTCTGGGTGTTCTAGCCTATGGGTTCCATGCTAGGTGTTCGATGCTGGTTATTCTGTTCTGGGTGTTCTAGTCTATGGGTTCCATGCTAGGTGTTCGATGCGGGTTATTATGTTCTGGCTGTTGTAGTATATGGGTTCCATGCTAGGTGTTCGATGCTGGTTATTTTGTTCTGGGTGTTCTAGTCTATGGGTTCCATGCTATGTGTTCGATGCTGATTATTCTATTCTGGGTGTTCTAGTCTATGGGTTCCCTGCTGGGTGTTTGATGCTGGTTATTCTGTTCTGGGTGTTGTAGTCTATGGGTTCCATGCTGGGTGTTAGTCTATGGGTTCCATGCTAGGAGGTGTTTGATGCTGGTTATTCTGTTCTGGGTGTTCTAGTCTACAGGTTCCATGCTGGGTGTTCGAAGCTGGTTATTCTATTCTGGGTGTTCTAGTCTATGGGTTCCATGCTAGATGTTCGATGCTGGTTATTCTGTTCTGGGTGTTGTAGTATATGGGTTCCATGCTAGGTGTTCGATGCTGGTTATTTTGTTCTGGGTGTTCTAGTCTATGGGTTCCATGCTATGTGTTCGATGCTGGTTATTCTATTCTGGGTGTTCTAGTCTATGGGTTCCATGCTAGGTGTTCGATGCTGATTATTCTGTTCTGGGTGTTCTAGCCTATGGGTTCCATGCTAGGTGTTCGATGCTGGTTATTCTGTTCTGGGTGTTCTAGTCTATGGGTTCCATGCTAGGTGTTCGATGCGGGTTATTATGTTCTGGCTGTTGTAGTATATGGGTTCCATGCTAGGTGTTCGATGCTGGTTATTTTGTTCTGGGTGTTCTAGTCTATGGGTTCCATGCTATGTGTTCGATGCTGGTTATTCTATTCTGGGTGTTCTAGTCTATGGGTTCCATGCTAGATGTTCGATGCTGGTTATTCTGTTCTGGGTGTTCTAGTCTACGGGTTCCATGCTAGGTGTTTGATGCGGGTTATTATGTTCTGGCTGTTGTAGTATATGGGTTCCATGCTAGGTGTCCAATGCTGGTTATTTTGTTCTGGGTGTTCTAGTCTATGGGTTCCATGCTGGGTGTTTGATGCTGGTTATTCTATTCTGGGTGTTCTAGTCTATGGGTTCCATGCTGGGTGTTCTAGTCTATGGGTTCCATGCTAGGAGGTGTTTGATGCTGGTTATTCTGTTCTGGGTGTTCTAGTCTGTGGGTTCCATGATAGGAGGTGTTCGATGCTGATTATTCTGTTCTGGGTGTTGTAGTATATGGGTTCCATGCTGGGTGTTTGATGCTGGTTATTCTGTTCTGGGTGTTCTAGTCACTAGTCTATGGGTTCCATGCTAAGTGTTTGATGCTGATTATTCTGTTCTGGGTGTTCTAGTCTATAGGTTCCATGCTGGGTGTTCTAGTCTATGGGTTCCATGATAGGAGGTGTTCGATGCTGATTATTCTGTTCTGGGTGTTCTATTCTATGGGTTCCATGCTAGGTGTTTGATGCTGGTTATTCTGTTCTGGGTGTTCTAGTCTATGGGTTCCATGATAGGAGGTGTTTGATGCTGATTATTCTGTTCTGGGTGTTCTAGTCTATGGGTTCCATGCTAGGTGTTCGATGCTGGTTATTCTGTTCTGGGTGTTCTAGTCTATGGGTTCCATGCTAGGTGTTCGATGCTGATTATTCTGTTCTGGGTGTTCTAGTCTATGGGTTCCATGCTGGGTGTTCTAGTCTATGGGTTCCATGCTAGATGTTCGATGCTGGTTATTCTGTTCTGGGTGTTGTAGTATATGGGTTCCATGCTGGGTGTTTGATGCGGGTTATTCTGTTCTGGCTGTTGTAGTATATGGGTTCCATACTAGGTGTTCAATGCTGGTTATTTTTTTGTGGGTGTTCTAGTCTATGGGTCCCATGCTGGGTGTTTGATGCTGGTTATTCTGTTCTGGGTGTTCTAGTCTATGGCTTCCAAGCTGGGTGTCCTAATCTATGTGTTCCAAGCTGGATGTTTCATGTTGCGTATTGTAGGCTATGTTTCCATGCTGGGTGTTCTAATCTGTGCTTCCTATGCTGCATGCTGTAGACTGTTTCTCAGAGTGGGTATTCACTGTTGGGTGTTCTAGTCTATGCTTTCCATGTTGGGTATTCTGGGCTGTGCATTCCATGCTGGCTGTTCTATATTGGGTATTCTGGGCTGTGTATTTCATGCTGGCTGTTCTTTACTGGTTTTTCCATTCTGGGTATTCAGTGTTTGGTGTTCTATATTGAGTATTCCATGCCTGGTATTCCATATTGGGTGTTTTGGGCTATGCATTCCATGCTGGCTGTTCTATATTGGGTATTCAATGCCTGGTATTCCATGTTGGGTATTCTGGGATGTGCATTCCATGCTGGGTGTTCTAGGCTATTTTTCCTATGATGTTTACTCCATGCTGCGTGTTCTAGGGCTAGGCTATGTTGCCTATGCTGTATGTTCTAGGCTATGTTGCCCATGCTGTATGTTCTAGGCTATGTTGCCTATGCTGTGTGTTCTAGGCTATGTTACCTATGCTGTGTGTTCTAGGCTATGTTGCCTATGCTGGGTGTTCTAGGTTATGTTTCATATGCTGGGTGTTCTAGGTTATGTTTCATATGCTGAGTGTTAAAGACTCTTTCATATGCTGGGTGGCTATGGTATGCTGTGGATTCTAGGCTATGTTTCCTATACTGTGTGTTCTATGGTGGCTGTTCTAGGCTACATTGTCTGGGTATTCCATGCTGTGTGTTAAATGTGTTCTATCATGGGGGTTACGTTACCTATTGCTATGTGTCCTATGCTTTGTGTCCTATGTTGTGTGTTTCCTAATGTGTGTTCCAGGTTTTTAATTTCATGCTGTGTGTGCTGTGATGAGTGTGCCGTGCTGTGTGTTCTAGGATGGATGTTTTAGATCGTAGTTCCAGGTTTTTAATTTCATGCTGTGTGTGCTGTGAAGAGTGTGCCGTGCGGTGTGTTCTGTGATGAGTGTTTTAGATCTTTGTTCCAGGTTTTGGCATGTGTCCTATGCTGTCTGTAGGTTTTTGTTCCGGTCCCTAGATAGCACTCTATGTTGCTTATCTTGGTAAATCTCTGTTTTAGCCTCTGCTAAAAATGCTCGAAGTGTTGTAAATGAAGCCCAGTATTTAGTTTCATTTGAGATTTAATTTGCTGAGTCCACATTAGAACTACTGCTGGACAGCCTGAATCTTGCACCGGGTTAAATCTTGGTAGAATGTAGAGCGGTACATGAATAAAACAAATTAGTGAGACCTATAGTACTTTGCTCCCCTTGGCTCTCACAAGCCATCCGTGTACATCACATGAAGCCAGATACAGAAAGCCTGCCTTCTAATGAGCATCAAGCCGTGTTGCTAAGGACCGAATTGCTGCATGTTAATAATACTCTGAGATGCTGCAGATCTTTGGCTCAATCAAGCGATTGCAGAGACTTTGGGAGCGATCAATCAAGTAATGGTGAAAAAAAAAAAGACACTGAGATTTTTTTTTTTAACCTTTTCTTTTTTACCACAAACATTTGCTTTCCTGCAGATACCTGGGCGGGAGCTCGTAAACCATGTCCTCCCCATAAATTCTTCCCAATGTCTTGTGTGATAATAACAGGTTTATGATGCTGTGAGTGTGGTGTTTTGGCAACAATTGTGTAGGGGGCAGTTACCATAGAAACCAATGGAATGTCCATGATTGCTCCTTTTTTTTTGCTTTATTAGATATAAAAGGAGAATCTCCTAAGCAGAAGATTGAGAGGGTTACTCCAAGCACTATAGCCACTTCACTGATTTCAAGTGCTCGTAGTGCCTGTATCTGTATGTAATCTGTATGTGGTGTGTTTTGCTATGAAACTTGCACCACTGGCTGCGATTTCAAGAGTTTCAGGTGCCTAATGTGAATCCTGGATAATTTAGTGTCGGATGCTGCCCACATCCTCCCTGCAGCCTTCCCTCTCCGCAATCCCTCCACCTCTAGCAAGGGGTAGTAATGTCAGCCATAGAAAATCGACTTGCAGGGAGAACTTAGCTTCAACGCTGGATCGAGGTGAGTTTTAGCTGCATTTTGGGGGGGGAGGGGAAACCAGCTCAGAAAGGATTTTATGTATCACACTTTTGGTTGGAGTAACCCTTTAACTTTAACTTTAATACTTTTTTGCATAGAATTTAAGTGTGCAATGGCAGCTGGGTGGCTGACCCCAGTTAGCACCGGTAAAATAGGGAGGAAAAGGGCTGAGTATGACATCACTGTGTCAGTTGTCCTAAGAAACGTTATGATGTCATTTTACATAGAATTCTAAATTGGGATCCTTACCAAGATATCATCACAGTTTACATCTATAAAAGCAGAAATAATTTAATTCTCTCTTTATTCTCTTTTACCATATTGGGGAAAATTCTCCTTGCCAGAGAGCTTCTATCTGAGAATAATTTTGCAGTACAAAGGGGGAATGTCTCATGGTCTGCATTATAGGATGTCATTATGTGAGGTCATATATTTCAATTAGACCTGCGACATGGGCTTTAAGTTAAGTGGTGAAGCTCCAAAATGAGGTGGTGATGGGTTAACAAGGCGGAAGATATGGGGATTGGGGAAGGTGGTGTATAGAAGGGGGTGCATAGATCAGTCACTAGATTTATTCAGACTAGATGGGCAAAAGAAATAAGATTTGGTTCGAATTGCAACTTATTTTTTAAAGGGCACCAAAACACCTTTAGTTTAATGAAACCGTTTTGTTGTATGGATCATGCCTCTGCAGTCTCACTGCTCAATTTTCTGCTATTTAGGAGTTGTTTTGGTGCCTACAGCTAATATAATCGCTGCTTTTTACCTACTGACTGATAATCATTGTATAAATAATGACTTTGTTTTGCGTTGACACATGCAGAGGCACAGTCCACATCGTAGCCTTAGAATCTTACATTTATATAAGATTTTAGGAAATGTGTACACCGTTAGAGATGCCTTTCTGTTTGCTGATATTTAGCCTATGTCTCTTCATTCTGCTCTGTTTTGTGACCGAGCCTTTTATCTCTTTCCTCAGGCCTTCCATACGGCTGGGAGGAAGCTTACACGGCAGATGGAATCAAGTACTTTATCAAGTGAGTCTGTGTGTAATGCAGTGTAAGCAGTCTGTGCCACATCTGGCAGGGAGCGAGGACTGCCGCGCAGAGCACATTACTGGCACCCTTGCAGGAGATGGAGTGTGGGATACAGGGAGTCATTAAGGCAGCATCGGCCACAATGAAATACAAATTGCTAGAACAGCTTCAGTATCACTGGTGGAAGGCTTTACTTGTATTTGTATATACAGATATGCACTCTCATACATTATACTAACTGGGCAATAATGTCAACCTGTGCTCCCTGTATAATGCACTGGGCACGTGGCATTAGTGGGTCCTAGTAAGTAAGGAGTTTTCACACCTTGGTTCACAGTTGGGGGCTGATTGATAAGGGCTGTGTTGTAAATTACTGACAACATTTTAATGTGCTAATTACCAACGCATTGAACCTTTTTCTTCCACCTCCCAGTTGTATTTCCGGCTATTGATGGCCACAGTGCAATGTATGCCATTTATTTGACAATTCTCCACGATTGACCTCAAGCATGCCACCAACAGGCGAGTAGGTGCAGCTTGGCCACTAACACATGCTACAACACCTGTGCAGTAATATTGCAGAGTGTTAGATCCTGGCTGGTTGTGGGCCCTGAATTTGGAGGAACATTGCTTTTGTGCTCAGTTCTATTTAAAAGCAACAACCTGTTCTTTATTATTAACCAGCCGGGCTTTGCGTAGCACACAGGGTAAATGTTGCACCAAATGTGAAATTCACAAACTAATCAGCTGCCAGAATTGCTTGCAGGAATGGATTATAAAGCTGTCATCATGTGCATTAGCCACATGGGGGCGCTTCCATCCAGACCAAAGTCTTCACCTTCATATCTTCAGCATGATTCGCACTGTGTGCAGATCTCAAACAGACTGCATGACCAGGGGCCAGTAATAAAACCGTGCTGATACAGCCGGACTGGGAACCTAGGTAGGATTAACCCGGGACAGATAGGGGGAGTGCAGCAGGTGCAATGCCTCCAGGGTCCACCAGAGTTTAGGACCCCTCCATTGGACACCCATCAGGGGAGGAAGAGCAGTGGAAGAGGAATGTGGCTTTTTGGGGGAGGGAGGGTGGTCAATTGACATTGAAATGTGCCAATCTAGAAGGGAGATGGTTAGTTAATTATCAGGGAAATGTTGCAGTCTAAATTGGGGAAGAAGAGTGTGAACTGGCATGGGGATGTAGAGTCATGTGACTATTGAGTTGGTTATTTGGCAGTAGTAGCAAGTGGGGAAATTTTGGAGAGTTAGAGTATAATTGTCTGGAGTGGATGAAAGCCCCAAAAAAAAATCTTGCACAAGGGCCATTTTGTTCATTAGTCCCCTACTGGATTAACTCATTGAATATTAAATTGTCAATGTATCCTACTCCATGCTATGCATGTGGAGGATGGATTTAATGATACTAGTGGTAATATGTCAGGGTAAAACAATGAGAAGTGTAGCAATACCCCACTGTAATATTCTAAATATATATATATATATATATTATTATTATTATTTTTAAATATATATACTTCTATATTGTGGCTAGCAGGGGGATCAAGTGATCTGGCCTTTAAATTCATACAGAATCTCTCTTACCGTCCCATCACAGTAATGTATATTAAATTATCCATGCAGGAGTGTCCCACAGCTTCCAGTTGTCAGTGTAAGGAAATTTCCTCTCCTGGGTAGAGGTTAGACCCTCCCCCTGGCTCTTCAGGGGTGGAGTTTATTGAGAAGATCATGTTGTTGGAACAGCTGGCCTAGGCCCAGACTTATACACATGCTTCGAGTGCTTGTGTTTATTTAATAAACACAAAAAATGCATCACAAAACTATTTTATGTTCTGAGGAAATTGGTCATTTTGTGAACATTATTTATTTTCATCCATATTAGCAGACAAGTGAAAAGCAACTGCCTCTGGCTGGTGTCCCACTGCTTTCGCCTCATTATTTCCCCCATACACCATCTCCTAGCTCCAATTTTACACAACAGCCCTAAATTGTTTTCTTTTTCTCGCATAATTACAATCAGTTAAACTGCAGGCAGCCTCTAATACATGGCATAGCTCTTGAAGGCAGTTCTGTCCCTCAGAGCACGTGGAGAAAATTGTGATTTCATTTTTCACAAATTCTTTTGTTTGTTTGTGTGGTTTTTATTTGTTTGTTTGTTTTAACTCTCTCGTGGACATAATTGTTAGGTAGAGATCGGAAAGACATTTGTGATTGAATTTACCAAAATTCCACTTCTAGAATCTCCTGGCCATGACCTGTTGGCTTCATACATATCTCCGTTTCATGTGCTGCCCATTCTGAACTTGTTGTTTCTTCTACATCTTTTCCTCCTTTCGCTACTTGTCCTGACCTGTAGGTTTCTTCTATATCTCTGGATCCAGTGCTGCCCTATCCTGACCTGTTGGTTTCTTCCGTATCTCCTGATCATGTGCGGCCTCTCATGATCAGTTGCTATTTTCTAGATCTTTTCAACCTGTCCTGTCTACTCTTATAGGCTTATATGCTTATTTTTAGTTATATATAAACCTGTGCTGCCCACCTGTTTAACTAGTTTTATTTCATAAGCTTTCAATCCTGGAACTTTTCTACGCATCTTGTTTGCTTAAACATTTGTGAAATATGAAGCCCATACCAGCTATTTGACTGATTTGAGCTGTGCTACTAATACAGGATTTTTGACTAAATTATTATTCTCTTTTGGAACCCGCTGCATCATCCCATTTACAGTGGCCTTGTGAACCTAGAGACCGGTACGGGAAAGTGTATGTTGGTGGAGAGCTCCGCTAACACCACTAAGTTTTGATCTTAATCTTGTAACTCAGAAACAGGGATCCAGCAACCTATGACCAATATTGCTAGGTAAGGTCCCTTTACATAACTTGTGATGTTGGATTCATCATCCTGAACGCAAAGAAACACTCATGGGGAGGACAGCAATTTAGAAAAGATCAGCAATCAAAGGTGATGGAGCAGATGTTATCTGGACGAAACTTCTTCATTTTTTTCAAAAATGTTATTTAGTTCATCAACCGCGTACAGTAACAATCAGCATAAAGAAGTACATCATTGTGGCTTAGTGATGTTACAGTGCAGGATAAGGTAGAATGTATTGGTTCTAGCGGTATGCTTGGATTTTCTATATAATAACATTTGTGTTGTGTAACATTTCAGAAGAATAAAGAAAACGTAACATATTCAACTGATGCTTCTTTAACCTTGCGATTCAGTGTGCTATTGTGTGCGGTGGCTGAAGTGTGGTGGGAAGAGGTGGCATGATTACTGCCACACTACTTGTGTCTGCTTTGTATAAAATGCGACCGGGGTTCCCATGTTGAGGAGAAAAGTGTATACATGTTAGATAGTGATGCTTCTATTTCCTCCCTTTGTTTGATCGATTCTAGTTTTAGTATCCAAACCCTGATTGAGGGAGCTGTTTTTTTTTGTTTTTTTTAGTTTATTGGAATTAGTGTATTTGGGGCTGTAATCATGTGGTTGACAAGTATACGTTGCCATTTAGGAATATGGTGTGGGTGTAGGAGGAACATTAGCGTTTCCGGGGATTGTGAGATGCGAATGCCTACTATGGAATGTATCCTGTCTAGTATCCGTGTCCAGTATGCCTGGATTATTGGGCAGGACCACCAGATATGTGCAGTAGTGCCTCCTTGTTGGGAACATCTCCAACATGTGTGGAAGGGAACAGCCTGTGGAGTTTAGTCATGGAGTAGTGCCATCTTGATATGCGTTTGTATGAGCTCTCCCTAACTGTGGTGCTGACCGAGGAGTTGTGTATATAGGTAAAGATCCGTCGCCAATCTTGTGTGGAGATGGTAATATTTAATTCCTGTGACCATGAAGATGTGAATGGTGGTAGTTTGTCTTTGTCAATGTTGTTTAATATTTTGTAGAATGTGGAGAGGTGTTTAGCTCTTGGTGATTGAGAGGCACAGTGGGTTTCAAATGAGGTTTGTGGGCGGTCTCCTTTGAGGAGGTTCGGGTTGGCGGTGAGGAAGTGTAGTAGTTGGGCATTTTGGAATTGTTGTAGGTTTGCTGGGTGGTCAGCCTTAGTGTGAAAGACGTTATCGGTATGATTTTCCTTTGGTCTAATGCTGAGCTGAGCATAGGGTATTGAGTGTTGCATTATGGGAAAAGAGTTGTGAAGGCTTCTGATTGTGCCGGAGGGAAATGAGGATTTTGTGTAAGTGGGTAGATCGGGGATGTGTACGGGAAAAGTTCCCTTGTATTTCGAATGCATCCAGATGCGCAACGTTGGTACTATAATAGGGTGTTGTGAGTGTTGTGGCAGGAGGAGTGCATGTAAAGGAGCTTGAAACATTGTGCTTTCAATATGCGTCCATTGTGTGAGGGGCTGCCATCCATGCATAAATTCTGGCCAGGATTATTGCCCTGTAGTATAGTTCGATGTGCGGAATGCCAAGGCCCCCTAGTGTCTTATGTTTAGTGACGATAGAGTAGGAGATTCTGGGGTGTTTATTGGCCCAAATGAATATTGTGAACAGCTGTTTCAATTTAATGAGGAAGGCAGAAGGTATGTTTATTGGGAGGGTCTGTAATTTGTAGAGTATTTTCGATAGGGAGTTCATCTTGAGTATGTTGATCCTACATAACCAGCTAAAGTGTCGTTTGTGCCAACCAGTAAGATCTTTGGCGATCTCTTCCAATAGTGGCATAAAATTTAAGTTGTATGTTTGTTTAGTGTCATGTGGGAGTTTTATACCAAGGTATGTAATAGAAGTGGTGGGCCGTGAGAATGGGTTCGAGGCCTGGATTTCTGTTTTCGTGGTTATGTAGGGGCAGGATCTCAGTCTTCGCGTAATTGACTTGGAAATTGGATAGGGTATGATAGGTGGATATCTCGTCCATAAGGGGAGGTAACGATGAGATGGGGTCTGTTATATTAAAAAGTAAATCATCTGCAAATGCAGATATTTTGTATTCCTGGTGCTGGACCCGGAATACATGTTTGTTGGGGTGGTACCCTGTAAGAAGGGTTCCAAAATCAGAATGAAGAGTAGGGGAGATAGGGGGCAACCTTGCATCGTTCCATTTCTAATGTGTACCGATTTGGACAGTTGCCTGTTTATCCTTAATTTTGCGGTCGAATATATTGCCTGTATCCAGGTCATCCAGTTGGGGCCTAAACCTAGCGTTTGAAGAGTAGTCGTTAACAAGGTCCAGTTTACTCTGTCAAACGCTTTCTCAGCGTCAGTGGAAAGCATTAGACGTTGTATGAGGGTGGTGAGTAGTGGTTGTAGGCGATTGGCTAGAATTTTAGTGAACAGTTTGAGGTCTATGTTGATCAGCGATATGGGACGGTAACTACCGCAGTTGGGCGGGTCTCTACCCCGTTTGGAGATCAGTGTGATATGTGCCTCAAGGGAGGATTGTGGGAGTGTTGCCGCTTTAGTGAGGGCAGGGCCGGACTGGGAACTAAAATCAGTCCTGGAAAAAAATTCTATACCAGCCCAATAATGCGTCGCGCCAGCATAGTGTGCTGATAAAGAGGGTGAAAAAATAACTTGAAATTGAAATCTCCAACAAAGGAACGCATATAGGGCTTCAAAATAAACAAAAGAGCGCCTTTATTTTAAGTAGATATACATTTGCATGTAATCAATGTTTCAGTACAACTTTGGCCTATTAAGGACATTTTATTAATGGTACTGAAATGCTGAATGTCTGCAGTTGCACAACTAAAAAAAATTAAGTGAACTGGTTAATTTTGAAGTTCTATGGAGGAAGGAAGGCAAGACAGGTTGTGGTGGTAGGGGACTCTATCATTAGGATAGCAGATAGGGCAATCTGCCGCTCTGATCGGCTCAACCGGACAGTTTGCTGTCTCCCGGGTGCTCGGGTCCGGCATGTTGCTGACAGAGTGGATGGATTATTGGGAGGGGCTGGGGATGACCCAGCGGTCATGGTCCATGTTGGTACCAATGACAAAGTAAGAGGAAGATGGAAGGTCCTAAAGAATGATTTCAGGGAATTAGGTAGCAAACTTAAGAAAAGGACCTCCAAGGTGGTATTCTCTGAGATATTACCTGTGCCACGCGCTACAGTGGAAAGGCAGCGGGAGATTAGAGAGGTCAATGCGTGGCTTAAGTCTTGGTGCAGGAAGGAGGGTTTTGGGTTTTTAGAGCACTGGGCCGACTTTGCGATTGGGTACAACCTTTATAGTGGTGATGGATTGCACCTAAACGGGAGAGGGTCTGCAGTGCTGGGGGATAGGATGGCTAGAAGGTTGGAGGAGATTTTAAACTAGTAGTAGGGGGGAGGGTCATAGCAATCTACAAAATGGAGATAGGACAGAAAGGAGATGGGCTTTAGCACAGTATAAGGGGGGTGGAAACGGGGGGAGGGGCAAGCTCAGAACAGAGAAGCTGTGTAATGTTGAAAATTCACAAAATATACAAGTGGCGCATAATATTAAATGTATGCTTACTAATGCAAGGAGCCTAAATAACAAAATGGGGGAACTAGAGGCATTAGCATACACTAAACAATATGATATAATAGGCATAACTGAAACATGGTGGGATGAGACACATGACTGGGCAGCTAACTTAAATGGGTACATGTTATTTAGGAAGGATAGGAAAAACAAGAAGGGTGGTGGGGTATGTTTGTATGTCAAACATGATTTAAAGCCAAATGTTAAGCAAATGGAATGCGAGGAGGATAATGTGGAAGCTTTATGGGTAAATATCTGCTTGGGGGAAAAGAAGGGAAACCAACTATTGGTTGGGATATGTTATAAACCACCTAATGTTAATATTGACGAGGAACAACAGCTGTTTGAGCAAATTGAGAAAGCTGCAAATCTGGGTAACACTTTAATTATTGGAGATTTTAATTACCCGGATATAAATTGGGACAGAGGGACTAGTGCCTCAGCAAAGGGAATTAGGTTTTTAAACTTGTTAAATGACACCTTCATGTCACAACTTGTACAAGCACCAACTAGAATGGATGCTTGTCTGGACCTAGTTTTAACAAACAACGTTGATCTTTTGACCAACATTCAAGTAGGTGAGCACTTGGGAAATAGTGATCACAATATAGTGTCCTTTGAAATAAACTCAAAAAAACAAAAGCACATGGGGAATACTAAAACATATAATTTTAAAAAGGCCAATTTCAATAAGTTAAGGGAAGCTTTACAATATATTGACTGGCATAAACTCTTTAGTGAAAAGAACACTGAGGATAAATGGATCATCTTCCAACAAATATTACAAAGGTACATTTCTCAGTATGTACCATTGGGAAATAAATATAAAAGAAACAAATTAAAACCAACATGGCTTAGTAGAGAAGTAAAACAAGAGATTACAACTAAGAGAAGGGCATTTAAAGCATTTAAATCGGACAAATCAGATGCATCTTATAAAAGATATAAGGATGCAAATAATGCGTGCAAAAAGGCAATTAGACTTGCTAAACTTCAAAATGATAGCTGAAGAGAGCAAAACCAACCCCAAAGCATTTTTAAAGTACATAAATTCTAAAAAAAAAAAAAAATGAAAGTGTAGGTACACTAAAAACTGAAACGGGGGTGTTAATTAATGAAGACCAGGAAAAGGCAGGAATTTTAAATAACTTTTTCTCCTCTGTATCTATTAAGGAAGAACCCATGGCAATAGATGTGCAAATGATTGCTACTAAAAACTTGCAGAATAATTGTAATTGGTTAACTCAAGACAAGGTGCTGCAGCAACTAAAGAAAGTTAATATAAACAAAGCTCCAGGGCCTGGCGGTATCCATCCACGTGTACTTAAGGAACTAAGTGCAGAAATAAGTGAACCTCTGTTTTTAATCTTTCAAGATTCTTTTCTTTCAGGAAGTGTTCCGGAGGATTGGAGGAAGGCAGATGTGGTTCCTATATTCAAAAAGGGTTCAAAACCCTTGCCTAGAAATTATAGACCTGTGAGCTTAACTTCTGTGGCTGGTAAAATATTTGAAAGGTTATAAAGGGATAATATTCAAGAATTCCTTGAGAAGAACATGGTTATCAGCAAAAATCAGCATGGTTTTATGAAGCACAGGTCATGTCAAACTAACTTGATTACGTTCTACGAAGAAGTAAGTAGAAGTATAGATCAGGGTGTTGCCGTGGATGTGATCTTTTTGGATTTTGCCAAGGCATTTGATACAGTTCCACACAATAGATTAGTGTTCAAACTCAAGGAAATCGGTCTAGATGAAAATGCTTGTTCTTGGGTAGAACATTGGCTTAAAACAGAGTACAAAGAGTTGTCATTAATGGTAAATTTTCAAGCTGGACAGAGGTGGCAAGTGGTGTCCCTCAGGGGTCTGTTCTGGGACCCCTTCTATTTAGCATGTTTATAAATGATCTTGAAGACAGCATTGAAAGTCATGTTTCAGTGTTTGCAGATGACACAAAACTCTGTAAAATAATACAATGTAAGCAAGATATTACTTTGCTGCAGAGGGATTTAGATAGACTGGGGGACTGGGCACTCAAATGGTAGATCAAATTTAATGTTGAAAAATGCAAAGTTATGCACTTCGGCGTAAAGAATACACAAGCAACGTATACCCTTAATGGAAGCGAATTAGGGATAATAACACATGAAAAGGACTTGGGAATTGTTATAGACAACAAACTATGCAACAATGTGCAATGTCAATCAGCAGTGGCCAAGGCCAGTAAGGTATTGTCATGCATGAAAAAGGCATTCATTCTCGGGACAAGAATATAATTTTGCCTATTTATAAATCACTGGTAAGACCACATATTGAATATGCTGTGCAATTTTGGGCACCTGTTCTAAAGAAGGATATTATGGCACTAGAAAAAGTGCAGAAGCGGGCTACAAAATTAATAAAAGGAATGGAACATATCAGCTATGAAGAAAGGTTAACAAATTTAAACCTATTTAGTTTAGAAAAACGTCGCCTGAGACGGGATATGATAACATTATACAAATATATTCGGGGCCAATACAAACCATTGTGTGGAAATCTATTCACAAACCGGACTTTACATAGGACACGAGGCCATGCATTTAGACTGGAAGAAAGAAGATTTCATCTAAGGCAAAGGAAAGGTTTTACTGTAAGAACAATCAGGATGTGGAATTCTCTGCCTGAAGAAGTGGTTTTATCAGAGTCCATACAGATGTTCAAACGGCTACTAGATGCATACTTGCAAGAACAGAATATTCAAGGATATAATCTTTCAATGTAGGGTAATAACTGCTTGATCCAAGGATAAATCTGACTGCCATTCTAGGGTCAAGAAGGAATTTTTTTCCTAGCTTGTTGCAAAATTGTGCTTCAAACTGGGTTTTTTGCCTTCTTTTGGATCAACAGCAAAAAACAAATGTGAGGAAGGCTGAACTTGATGGACGCAAGTCTCTTTTCAGCTATGTAACTATGTAACTATGGGTGCGCTCTTCACTTTGAATGTGTTATTGTGCATGAGTATGCAACTAGGAACAAGACAGGGCCAATACGTGCTCAATATATATATATATATATATATATATATATATATATATATATATATATAGCACGTATTGGCCCTACATATATATATTAATGACATTTATGTGTGTATTATGCATATATAAATGTATATTACTATATGTGTAAATACTATAGGCATAATTATATGTTACTAATACACACATCAATATACATGCATATATATATGTGTGCATTACTGTCAGGATCACATCAATTTATGTCTATTACCTTTACCTCGTTTAGTGTATCTTGTCTCCAATTGTCTCCTTTTTTTCCCTTACAGCGACCCTTGTGCATCTTTTACTTCATTCCAGTCCCTGTGTTTCTTTTTACCCTTCTCCAGCCTCTGTATTTCTCTGTCCCCCAGCCCCTTTTGTGTTGTTCTTAGCCCCAGCCACTTTGTCTCTTTCTCCCCTTCCAAATCTCATCTGTGGGTCTCTTTCTAACTCCAGACTCTGTGTGCCTCTTTCTCTTCTCCCAGTCACTCTCTGTCTCTTTTTCCCCACTCTCTTTGTCCCCCCATCCCCTGTCTCTCTATTACCCCATCTGTCTGTGTCTCCCCTTGCCCTATGTCTCTCTATTACCCCTCTGTCTCTTTGTCGTCGTCCCCAACCTGGTGTCTTTCTATTACCCCTCAGTCTCTGTGTCCCCTCTTCCCCTGTGTATCTATTACCCCTCTATTTGTCCCCCCCATTACCCTCTATTCGCCTCCCTCCATCCGTTCTATTTGTCCCCCCCATTACCCTCTATTTGTCTCCCTCCTTCCCCTCTATTTGTCCCCCCCCCCCATTCCCATTCCCCTCTATTTGTCCCCCCCTTCCCCTCCATTTGTCTCCCCTCTTCCCCTCTTTTTAACTCCCCCCCTTCTGTGTCCCTTTTGTCCTTGTCACAGGAGGACTGAGGGAGGGGGTGGAGCTAACTACCATGCTCCCTCGCAGTTCCCATAATTCCCAGCATCTACACATCATAGAGTAATCCTTACTCTATGATGTGGCTGTGCTGGGAATTATGGGAACCGCGAGGGAGCATGGTAGTTAGCTCCGCCCTCCCCCCCCCCAGCTGTCAGCACGGGAGATGGGGCCACCGGCCACAAGGTAAGTATTTTAAACCCTCAGAGTGTGCCGCCGGACCGGCCACCCGGCGGCACCGACATGCGGCCAGCAGCCGTGATATTATTAAAATATTAGGGAGCAGGGCTCCCTCTCTATCTCCAGCCCCCCAGGTGCCGCGGCCCACCGGGAAATTTCCCGATATCCCGGTGGGCCAGTCCGGCCCTGAATGAGGATGTTGAAATGTTCAGTTAGGTTTGGGAGAAAAGCTTTGTAGTATAGGGCAGTTAAGCCGTCGGGGCCTGGACTTTTACACAGAGGTGTTTTGCGGACTGCCAGATGTAATTGAAGGTGCGTCAAATGAGTGTGTAATGTTTTGCGGGGTGGTTTGTTTGATTATAGTGGCTAAGAAGTTTGTGATGGCTGAGTAGTTTGGCGGGGCATCTCTGAGATTATATAATTTAGTGTAGAAAGAGTGGAATTCCTCCATTATCTCTGGGAGAGTTTGCCTTTTTGTTTTTTGAGATTTATGAGGATTGTTTGGGTTGTTTTAAGGCGGTGGCCAGGAGCCTACCATATTTACCTCCTTGGGTGAAGTAGGTATGTTGTGCGGAGTAATTTCTTTTTGGTTTGGACCGCAAAACCAGTTCAGTTCTGTTTGTTCATTTACACATTTACAAGGGTGTTATATGTAGGGAGGGAGTTGTCCTTGCTATGATTGTCCTCTAAATCCCTGATCTCCCATGTGAGTGTAACCACCTGTTTTTCTCATTGGGTTTTAAGCGCTGAGGTCAGAGCAATGAATTCTCCTCTCACAACGCATTTGTGGGTTTCCCAAATGGACGTGTGGGACATGGCAGGGGAGGCGTTTTCCGAGAAGTAGTGTTGTAGAATAATGTGAATTTGTGGTAGGACTTCAGGATTGTTTAGTGAGAGGTCGTTTAGTTTCCATTGAAAGGATTTCACTGGGAGGGATAGAATATGAATGGACATGGATAGGTGCGCATGATCTGACCATGTGATCGGACCGTAGGAGCACAACGTTGTCAGGTGTAGAAGGTCTTGGGGCAGGAAAAACATATCTAGTCTAGAGTATGTTTGTGATGTTTGGGAGTAGAAAGAAAAGTCTTTAGAATGGGTATGAAGGTTCCTCCAGCAGTCTTATTAGTCTACATAGTTACATAGCTGAAAAGAGACTTGTGTCCATCAAGTTCAGCCTTCCTCATATTTGTTTTTTGCTGTTGATTCAAAAGAAGGCAAATAAAAAACAGTTTGAAGCACTTCCAATTTTGCAACAAAGTAGGATACAAAATTCCTTCTTGACCCCAGAATGGCAGTCAGATTTATCCTTGGATCAAGAAGCTATTACCCTACATTGAAAAATTATATCCTTGAATATTTTTTTTTGCAAGTATGCATCTAGTTGTTGTTTGAACATCTGTATGGACTCTGATAAAACCACTTCTTCAGGCAGAGAATTCCACAGCCTTATTGTTCTTACAGTAAAAAAACCTTTTCTATGCTTTAGACGAAATCTTCTTTCTTCCAGTCTAAACGCATGACCTCGTGTATTATGTAAAGTCCAGTTTGTGAATAGATTTCCACACAATGGTTTGTATTGGCCCTGATACATTGCATAATGTTATCATATCCCCTCTCAGGTGACATTTTTCTAAACTAAAGAAGTTTAAGTTTGTTAACCTTTCTTCATAGCTGATATGTTCTTGTAGCCCGCCTCTGCACTTTTTCTAGTGCCATAATATAGTCTAGATTGGTCTCGGAGTCTGACAAAATGGCTACGGGCCATTGTTTGGTAGGTTGTGGAGGTTGAGGTCATGTTTAGAGCTGTGTCTAACGAAAGAGAGTGTGTGAGGAGAACAATATGGCGACTCCCCAGGCCTTGGCTCCCACATAATTGCTAAAGAAACCCATGGGGTATTTTCGTTTTTCTAGGGTGGGGTCTGCATCTTTTTTGAAATGTTTCTTGTAGGAAGGCCTCATCGTCCTTGAGCTTGTGGAGGTCAGATAAAACCAGGGTCATTTTCTCTGGGGTATTCAGTCCTCGGGTTAAGAGTGACCAGTCTCTGGGTCGCCATTTTTATGCTCAGTACCTCTTTTCTCCAGGTTGCGCAAAACTCAATGGTGTCTGTCCATGTGTAGATAGGTTCTGCAAGGGATAGGTCCCTATGACCTACGGTAGGGAAAATGGTTTTAAGTACTCAGGGTTGGTAAGTGTTTTGGGGGGATCCACAGGGGCGAGGGGCCCACAGCCAGGCGTAACTCGATCTCAGCAGCGAATCTAGAGGTACGACACCTGTGGTAACTGATGCATACTGGGGGGAGGGCACTCTACATAGGATGGGTGGAGTTGGTAGAGACTCTTATGTTCTAAACCTTATGATTCTCGACAGGTAAGTATCAAACTCTCACCCATTCACATCCCTTGTAGCATTACATAAACATTTTCATTTGGGTAGGATGTGGGACCCAGAGTATTTAAGCTCAGGAGAGATATAGAGATGGCGGGCATTATATACCTTTGGGCATGTTATATAACCAGATGTAACCTTTTCTCCCTTTAGTCTACACCTGAGGTAAGGGGACTTAGGGTGAAATGCTAAAGGATTGGCGCCGGTGCAATAGAGGTATAAGGTGCAAAGTGAAAGGTGTGAGGAGAAGGGGAGTAAAGGCTTTGATATCACCAGTCCGCCCTTCATGGTGGTAGTCCGTTGCAAGAAAGTGCCTCTCCCGCATGCACTTCGCGTTCGTCTGTTCAACTGCGGTAGTCCAGTATTAACACTTTGGCACAGTCCCCAAGGCTCTATCTTTATACAATTTTGGTGAGTGGGCAAATGAGGGCGATGGAAGTTGTTGTGGCATAATATGCAGAGCGTCCATTTAGTTTTGTGAGCGATTATGTGGCATTGGCCTGCGTTTTCTGTGAGTCTGCTGCCAGCGGGATCTTTGCGGTAGTTGTGGTGCAGTCAGGATTTGGGGTGGGCCATACCAATCCAGTATATCTGTTTCGGTTAGGTCCAGTGCTCGTGCGAACAGTAAGACATTCGCCTGGGAGTGGATAGCGTGGATAGCGTGGCTTGTGCCTTTGTAGGAGACGCTCAGGGCCAGCGGAAACCTCCACCTGTATCTCAGGTTCCTAGCACGTAGCTGATCCGTAATAGGCCTCAAAGCCCTTCTCGCCTGCAATGTCATCCATGACAAGTCCGGGTAGATATTAATGGGAGCTCCCTTGAATAGCAAGGGCTCCGTGGATAATTTAAGTGCTTCTAGGATGCTTTCTCTGCAAGTTGAGTAGTGGAGGCGGCATATAACGTCATGGGGTCGGTCATTTTGTGTGTCAAATACTACAGGAAAGTCAGTGGCCACGCTGCACAGAGTGCCTGGCAGGAGGGAGCGCTCTTTATTGTCTGATACCGATATTTACAAAAAAATCTGGATATCGGCAAAACCGATAGTCGGTCGACCCCTAATATTTTATAAACAAATACTTTGATCAAAATAAAATCTTGTGCATTTGTAACACACACAGGCTAATTTAGTAGTAGTAATTCACAGTGGTAACAAATTGAAGTCAAAATCTGGATAAAATAGCTGTGTTGTAATTATAGGTGAACTTTTCAACTATCCTTGCTTAAATTCTGCCATTTGTATTTTAATTTGTTCAAAGTTTAGTGAATTTCCCTGTTGGAGTATGGTGTCCAGCTCTGGCTTATGTGTAGGTGTTTGGTAAAGAGGCCTATTATATACTTTTTTCTGTGTCATAAATTCTCAATGTTTATTCCTTTTGTTCATTGACAGTTAAGTAATATGTAATATGCCCTATGATTTCCAAACCTCTTTAGTATTCTGCTTCAGGAAATATCCCCATTTATTCTTCAATCATGTGAATGAAGCAGCGTGACGGAATAAATAAAAGCTTTGATCAGAGATGAAGATGAACTTGTTTTTGAGAGCTGTTTACGCCACTCCTAAGAATCAGTTTAACTTTTATTTCTACACATTTGTTGGGCTGCTAAATTAGACAAGATATTTGTGTCTTTTTACAAGCCCAATGTTAGCACCACTCAGATTTTTCTTTAAATGCACAATTTCTAAAAGCGTTATTCACCAGGAGTACATTTATTTTCCAAGCTGATGGGTTAAATAAGTGTTGATCTTTTCTTGACCCACCTGCTCCATACCTTTCTTTATTTCGCACACTGTGCAATGTCCCCGACCATTTTGTCAAGTCAGTAATACTTTTTGTCGATGCCTGTTGGATTGAATTCCTACTGAGTTGACTGCCAAGAATCTTTGTCTGATTCCAAACTTTCTTTCATGACCATTATCCCAGCACAAAACTCAACCCAACACTTTCCTTAACTCTGCCATGCAAGTCTTTTGGCTGGAGACAAGAAATGTTACAAGAAGCTAGCACTTCAGCAGACCTCAAACCGAGCGGAGGTCAGCATTTTCACTGGTATTTGCTCCTCTTACCCCATGTGCCCATCTTGCTCCAAATTTGAAGTAGCTTTGAGGTATACCAAATATTTGAGAACCTGACAGATTGCAGAAGTTTTCTTGTAATTTATTTCCTCTTCCTGTTGAATGATGAGCTATGATAAGTCAAAAGGCTGGCCAATAACCTCCCAAGTGCGTTGGAATGCCGGTCACACAGTCTGTGTAAGTGGACCTTACCAAGAGACTCTTTAGTGGAAGTGAATTAACATGAACGATGGACTGTGTTAGAAGCCTCTGGGTGGGCGTAAATGCTTGCCAATCTAAGTTTTTCTTGCTATGTGAATGGACTCTCACTTATTATTGATTTTTGTATAAGCAAGCCATATTTATAGCACCATATCACTAGCCGTCAGGTGGCACACAGCAGCCAACCAGCATCAACTGCCACATGGTATTGTAATAGACGGCTCCCGTCAACAACTGTCAGTAAGGAAGTGAGCACTTAGTCTATTCATAGTGCCTCATGGCACTTACCACTACTATAACTTACTTTCATTTAGCGAACAAGAACCTATTCCATTACATTTCTTTATTTCTAAAAGCAAAATATATTCGTCCTGTACAGAGTTTGAAGATAACTGAAGGCTGCGCATGTTTTTCTACATAGGAGACTTCGCGTATCCCAGCTATGAAAAGTTAGGTTTTCTTTTTTTTCCTTTAGCGCAGTTTGTCAATTTGTGCCTCAAAATAGAATTTTTTTTCTACAGAAAGTTATATATTTCTTCCCAGCCAATATTTGATGTCTCCGTGGCATGTGTTATTTCAGAACGCCTTACTTTGTTTAATATATTATCCAAGTTTAAATATTAATAAAAGTATTTTATGCCTGACACATGAATAGATTTCTCTGTGCTTTTTTCATTTCCTCGCTGAATGAAAAACGCCTTTGCATCCGATTTCTTGCTGACCAATATTTCTGTAACTTAATTTCCACATTTCATCTTGTTATTAAGTGTTTTATTTATATGGAACATAAAATATCAATAATGAATAGCAAATGGTGCTGAGACACCAAGATACAGATTTTCATTGCAAATAAGTACAAATATTTAACTTTTGTTGTTTTTTTTTTTTTACTAACGTTTTATCTAAATACATTGGTTTTTAACATTGTTTGATGTTGTCCGTCTTTGAAAGTAAGCTCCACAACTAAGTCTTAAATACAATGATAGAATAAACATGAGTGTTTTCCAAAAGAACTGTCTTTGGTTGCTTCAAACTGCTATTGGCTTATTCCTTGGATTGACCGTAAAAGTCATAATTTTGAAGGCAGTTTACTCCTTAATCCTAATTATCCCTACTTCTACATACCTCATATAGTCCTTCTTTATGATTATTCATCTGCTGTAGTGACAATGACATTTAAAACTCACCATTTTGACGCAGGGTTTTAAATGTATACATTCTTCTATCTAAATGTAATATATACAGAAATGAATCCTGCAAAATCCTATTAGACTCTTACCACTGCCGCTGGCATCTTCTTTGAACTGGTAATAAAACCGCTACAATACGATGATTTATAAGTTCCAGCCAGTGGCATTATGTCACTTGTGTGATGCTCAAGCATCTTGGTTGCAATTGCCCTGTTGCCCAAGGATCCACAATGCACCAGTCACACATCTAGAAAGTATTGCTTGACCTTGACGTTTTTTGCACAACTGGTGCATTGTGAGAAAACTGAAATTTGGTTGTTTTGATTGTCTGCTGTAATGCTACTGAATTTCTTGCTCGGAGTGTGCTGGGTCAGTTGCCATCTGGTATCCTGCTGAATTCCTTGCTTTTATTTTGCAGGGTCTGCCTGCAACTGTATTCCCACTAAATGTCTTCCTCTGAGTCAGGTATCAAAAGAGAAAAGAGAATTGCACTCAATCATGAAAATCACAGGGTGCTAACTGAGCATGGGTCACCATATCCCATAAGAACAAGTATAAAAGAAACAATCTCAGGCACTCACTATGATAGATTTAAGCAGGTTTCTTTCAAACCACAATGTTTCGACCTGTACCCAGGTCTTTATCAAGCTCCATAACCAGGTCTTTCTCTAAATCAGGGTCTATCATCACCAGTAAACCTTTTGAATTCCTTGTTCTGAGTTTGCAGTGTCAATCTTCACCTGTAAACCTTCTGAGTGCCTTGCTCAGAGTTGTCAGGATCTATCTTCACTTGTAAACCTTCTGAGTTCCTTGCTCTGAGTTGACAGGGTCTATCTCCATCTGTAAACATTCTAAGTTCCTTGCTCTGAGTTTTCAGGGTCTATCTCCATCTGTAAACATTCTGAGTACCTTACTCTGAGTTGGCAGGGTCTATCTCCATCTGTAAACCTTCTGAATTCCTTGCTCTGAGTTGGCAGGGTCTATCATGACCAGTAAGCCTTCTGAGTACCTTACTCTGAGTTGGCAGGGTCTATCTCCATCTGTAAACATTCTGAGTTCCTTGCTCTGAGTTGGCAGGGTCTATCATGACCAGTAAGCCTTCTGAGTTCCTTGCTCTGAGTTGGTAGGGTTTCTGTTCACCTGTAAACCTTCTGAGTACCTTACACTGAGTTTTCAGGGTCTATGTTCACCAGTAAACCTTTTGAATTCCTTGTTCTGAGTTTGCAGTGTCTATCTCCACCTGTAAACCTTCTGAGTGCCTTGCTCAGAGTTGTCAGGATCTATCTTCACTTGTAAACCTTCTGAGTTCCTTGCTCTGAGTTGACAGGGTCTATCTCCATCTGTAAACATTCTAAGTTCCTTGCTCTGAGTTTTCAGGGTCTATCTCCATCTGTAAACATTCTGAGTACCTTACTCTGAGTTGGCAGGGTCTATCTCCATCTGTAAACCTTCTGAATTCCTTGCTCTGAGTTGGCAGGGTCTATCATGACCAGTAAGCCTTCTGAGTACCTTACTCTGAGTTGGCAGGGTCTATCTCCATCTGTAAACATTGTGAGTTCCTTGCTCTGAGTTGGCAGGGTCTATCATGACCAGTAAGCCTTCTGAGTTCCTTGCTCTGAGTTGGCAGGGTTTCTGTTCACCTGTAAACCTTCTGAGTACCTTACACTGAGTTTTCAGGGTCTATGTTCACCTGTAAACCTTCTGAATTCCCCGCTTTGAGTTTGCAGGGTCTTTATAGCTGATGAACTCCTTGATTGGAGAAACAGTGACTCCCCAAACACTGATTTTAGGTTTTCTAGTTCTCCCAATCTGCACCGGTTAATGTATGCTTCAGTACTTTTCTGAAAATAAAAACAAGGCCCATCGAGGGGAATAAAATATGTTTTTCTTTTTCTTTCTCATTCAAAAGACCGCTATATATATGTGTGATTTGTGGATGACATCAGTAGCAGATAATACATTTGAGGACCATTCCTTTGCCACTTGTATGTTCTTATGAAATCCACTGAGCCTGGTCATGATGAGACTTGACTAGTTGACACTCAATGTTAAAGTTATAAACTTCTGCTCATCTACTAGCTAATTAACACAAATCTCAAAACTCTTTCAACCTTCAGTTTATACAACATAAAATTATATTTTCTTCTTTTTATCCATAATTTTTAGGAGTGCTGCAGGAGTTCTTTTATATCTCACCACCCACCAAAACTATCTCTGTGAACATGTAATTAGGTCTGTAGAGATTTGTGAAAATCAAGCAGACGGGCATGACAGGAGACTATCAGATTCCCGATCTCCCCATGAATACTTCTCTAAAGATTTTTTTTTTTTATTGCGTTATCCATCTTTACCTTTCATAAAATCATATTTCAGTCTCGAGAGTGGTAGTTGAAGGAGTAGATTTTGGATTTGAAGACACCGGGACATTTTTGAAGACTCTCTTACATTCAAGAACAAAGTTTTCTTTCATCTTCCCTATCCACTCAGAGCTTTTCAGAAAAAGAAAAAATATATTTAAATAATATAAAACTAATATTTTTCAAATACAAAATAAGCAGTTTCTCTTTTTTTTCCTCTCTCAAAAACAAAGAAATTAAGAGTGGTTTTTGCACCTGGCAGATATTCTTTGTTTTACAAAAAAACAGATGATGCGATCAGAAGATGTGGGGGGGTCAAAAAAAAAATCTCAGCAGCAAACGATGCCAGTGAGAAAAGATAATCGTTTAGGGAGAGTGCAAGTCAATAAAAAAATGTAGTTAAATTTAATTACAAAAGTGCCGAAGTGGCAGACACCTTACATCAGCAGATACTTTTTGTCATACATTTAGATCATGCTAAAAAATAATGAGTTCTCAGCATGTTACCTATTCCACTCGGAGAGAGGAAACCTGCAAGTCAATATACCGTACATTCAGTTTCACTGATCTATTATCTATAATAGTAAGCGTGTTTACCTTCTTCTAGCCAAAGTGTTAAACAAACATCCTTTATGTCACCCCCACACCCTAAAAAGGGTACAGTGAATTGGGGTGAATTCACAATCTAGTTGCGAAATTTAGCTAAAATAGGCAAGAAGAAAAAAAATCTTCAACGTCAACATCTAATCTTTTAAAGTTCCTGAAAAACTCATAAATTATCAAATTTGGAGGGGGAGGGGGAGGGGGAAGAGGAAGCTTAGTTGATGATTATCTTTGAAATCTCTCATGTTCTGTTCTTACAGTACACATGTCAGTGGTTACCTATGCAGTGTAAGAAAAATTTGTAAACGTTATCATTTTAAACTCATTGTGAAGAATAAAAATGATTAATTGGAGACCCTTGTAATGTCCATGGGCTATCCCTTTAAAAACTCAGACATGGTTCTTTATTACTGAATCATTATTTTATTGAGTGGTGATCGATAATTACAAGCAGGTTAACAATACATGAGTCGAGCGCAGTAGACTTGTATTTATTTATTTTTTTATTTTATCAATTTAACGCAAAAAAAATGGTCAGACAAACAAATAGTGGAACTTTGTCAGTGTTAAAGGTTGCAATCCAAAGCTGCCATGATCTGAGCGTTCTGACTGGAGCTACAATATATTGTGGTATAAAGATAATTTAATGCAGCACAGCTATCTGTAAGGACATTTTCATGAAACACTTCAGGTTAATATGTGTTTGAATAATACACCTTAAAACTGGCCATTTTACTTCCATGCTCTGCGCACACCCCATGTAAGGAACCACGTGTGCCCAGTCACTCCAGAAAAGTCTCCCAGTTCATTGGATCTTAAATGTTCATGTTTTGTTTAAAAACTGCCTCTACTGTGTGCAAAAAAAAAGTTGGTTTCATTTCACACTGTAAATACTCCGTTTTGCTTCCACAACAATTCTTCTCTGCTTTTTACCCAGCTGAGAAATGCTCATCTGAACTGCACAGGCTATAATATCCCACCACCACATTGGACAGGAGCCTGCAGGGCTCACTGCTACAGTGCAGTCAAGGAGCAAACAAGGCTTCGGCAGAGATTCATCGTTGCTTTTCTAAGTCAGATTGCTAAACACAGTTCATTGGATGATATAGCTTTATTGCTTATAATATATTGAATTCTAAGATTTCCATTATTCAACAAATGAGCCACAAAACAAAACCATCTAAAAGGACCGACCTCCTTTCCAATAACATTTAAAATCAAGTGATATATACAAAGACATAAAGAGGGTACTAATCGGACACTCACAGTATAGACAGACACAGTTTATTCAGTAAACCAGAAATTGGGGAGAATTGCATGTTTTAGCCCAGAGTAGTGGCAGAATGTTTCCAGTTTGGTTATTCTAGCTTAAAATGTGCAGTTCATTAGTAAATTCTTCACAATTTCCAGTTTACCGAATAACCCTGAAAGTGTTATAAAAGATTCCCTGAATTGAAAAACACACTTCAAAAATTGCCCACGGCAAAGAGGAGATTTATTACTTTATTTAAGTGTTCTGAAAAGTGTCTTTTATTTTTGGTATCTTTCACTTCGTATTTATTCAATTGTTCTAAAAACTGTGTGAACAGTGTCTGCTTTTCTCTGCCTAAATGTAGCTATTTTTTTTTTTATTATTATAATTTTTTTTTTTTTTTAGAAAAATCAATTTCAGAAAGGCTGCCAAATTTAGAGTGGCGGAAAAAATATAAGTGAATAATGAATGAAAGATTGATAAACCCATTGAGCTGCAATCGGCAATAACAGGGCGAAAAAGACGTAAATGACAAAAAAGACTGACAAATTTACTAAATTGCTCTACAAAAGCACCCAAAATACTGGAACTCAGAAAAATCCTCTCTCTCTGCACTAGTAACAGTTGGTTATCGTAGACTAAAATTTGCAGTTTACCGAATGAACCCTAATATATTATTACAAATATAGCAGCCACAGTCACTGAGTAAACACACACTGCGTGCATTGCGAGTTCTCTGCCTCCAGACATTATTATTATTTTCCAATCTATCATGGTGATTAGCACCCGTCGCACTGCACACATGCCTTCTGGCATATTGGCATGGATGCCTTAAAATAGTATGTTTGTCTTTTGTGGCTCTTGCCGATAGCACACGCCTTACCAGACCAGTTAAATCTGAGATTATTCAATGTGCTGATTACTAGATGTCAAAGCTCTTTAACCGCACTACTTGTACAAAGCTATAAATAAACCGGAGCATTGACAGATAGCAGAGTAATCTTTTTTAGAACGGGTCGCCAGATGTTCTGTAACTCTCAGCCGACCAAGTGCAGAACCACTGGCGGAGCTTATCGCTGATGGTTTATTATCCATTGCCTTATTTATCTCGTCATATTATTTAGTTATGTTTGCAAAGTCTTTCTTTCTTTCCCCTTGTGTACTGATTGTAATTAAAATTATATATTAATATTTACAACCGACATTACTGTTAAGCCCAATTTAATCAATTGCATTTAAGTTCATTATATGATTTTATTTAAGCCGGTGCTAAGAAAGTATTTGTCAAACTATATAGAATCATTTAAAAGGTAAATTCAGAAAGAAAAAATTCTAATGCGAGCAAGCTGGGAGAATGCAGATCACGCTGTAATGCAAGCATGCTGGGAGAATGCAGATCACGCTGTAATGCGAGCATGCTGGGAGAATGCAGATCACGCTGTAATGCGAGCATGCTGGGAGAATGCAGCCCATGCTGTAATGCGAGCATGCTGGGAGAATGCAGATCACACTGTAATGCGAGCATGCTGGGAGAATGCAGACCGCGCTGTAATGCGAGCATGCTGGGAGAATGCAGACCACGCTGTAATGCGAGCATTCTGGGAGAATGCAGATCATGCTGGGAGAATGCAGATCACGCTGTACTGTGAGCATGCTGAGAGAATGCAGATCACGCTGTAATGGGAGCATGCTGGGAGAATGCAGATCACGCTGTATTGTGAGCATGCTGGGAGAATGCAGATCACGCTGTATTGTGAGCATGCTGGGAGAATGCAGATCACGCTGTAACGCCAGAATGCTGGGAGAATGCAGATCACACTGTATTGTGAGCATACTGGGAGAATGCATTCTCACTATACTGCAAGCATGCTGGGAGAATGCAGATCACGCTGTATTGTGAGCATGCTGGGAGAATGCAGATCACGCTGTAATGCGAGAATGCTGGGAGAATGCAGATCATGCTGTAATGCAAGAATGCTGGGAGAATGCAGATCACGCTGTAATGCGAGCATGCTGGGAGAATGCAGATCACGCTGTAATGGGAAAATGCATTCTCACTTTACTGCAAGCATGCTGGGAGAATGTAGATCACGCTGTAATGTGAGTCTGCTGGGAGAATGCAGACCAGGCTATAATGCAAGCATGCTGGGAGCTATTCAGACCTCACTTTAGAATGCATAGTGACTGCTAGCTACGCTGGCTGTACTCTAAATGTGAGGATACCTATACTGGCTGCTCTCAGGTGTGACAATGGCTGGGCTGTCTGCACTCTAAATGTGAGGATACCTATACTGGCTGCTCTCAGGTGTGACGATGGCTGGGCTGTCTGCACTCTAATGTGAGGATAGCTATTCTGACTGCACTTTAATGCAAGGATAGCTTTCTCTGCACGCTAGTAGAGCAAGGATAATTATACTGGCTGTACTCTAATATGAGAATAGCTTTTACAGTTGCACTCTAATGTGAGGATGGCTTGGCTGTCTACACTCTAATGTGAGAGTAGCTAGGCTGTCTGCACTCTAACATAAGGATAGTTTAGATGGCTGCACTCCACTCTAATATGAAGATTTTACAAGTCCACACTCTAATAGAGGCATAAAATCTGTGTGTGTTGTTATTATAGTGACTGCCAGTCAGTTCCGTTAGCACCAATCACTGACTAGATTTCTGTTTTCCTTTCAGTCATGTGACACAAACCACGTCATGGTCTAATCCAGTGACCAGCGCTCTCAGCTTGACCGCTCCGGAGAACATCCGCGAGGACCTCAACCCAGAGCCTCCGGACTTGAAAAGTTGCTGGAAGCAATCCTGACTGCATTCCCAAAGATCCACTCCACCAAGTGTGAATTCCTATTCCTCAGGGATAATTCCATCCGACGAGATCAGATTGTAAAGATTATCCAATTTGTAAGATCCTAGAGTCATTCCTTCGACACTAATTCAGGGCATCCAACCACACTATACTCCTGATGCCTACCAACATTCCTCAGAGAGCATTGTGAAGGTGATCATTTTTTTAAAATCTTTCTCCTCCCGTTCAGTAATTAAAGGAAAACCCCCACTGTTTTTCTTTATGACTGAAAATAGGAGTATAAGTAGTATATACTTTGCATATTTTATTTTGTAATAAGTATGTTTAAGCTAATAGCTCTTTTCAATGAGTCTTCTGGCTTCCCTTTGCTCTATGGTTGCATCAATCTTTAAAGGGTTACTCTAACACCATAACACCATAAGGACTACAGCATTCTGTTGTTGTTATAGTAACAGGAGTCACACGCTCTCTTCACAAGTATCCCGAAAGTGGAAGTTCCCTTCCTGTTTTAAAATATATTTTTTTCTCCAACTTTGGCTAAAATTCATTGGCTCAGCAGAGTTAGCTGGTAATCTCTGCCAATGAAAACTGTCCAAAGACAGATAGAATTGTTTACGCAAAAGAAGAGCTTCAACATTAGAGATACCTATGAAGCAGGAACCCAGGGAACCAGGTAAGTCTCAAAATGTACAAAAACAGTAGTTTCACTCTTAACCCGGACATTTTGGCACCTTAACCACTTCATAGCGCAGTAGTAGTTATGCTGCAGAAAGTGCCTCTTTAACAATAGCTGCCCCATAGAGCGAGGGTAAGACGAGATTCATTGAAAATAGGTTTTTGCTTTCATGTGTGCATTACAAAAAAACATATGCACAGGCTATAATACGTATTAATCTTTTAAATAATAACAAAAAATTAAGGCAAATTCCCTTTAACTCTTTGTAGCAAAAATGAAACCTGCCTTTTGCTGTAAATGAGGTTAGAAGCAAAAATACCAGAGTCACAAGCATCAAGTATTGTGAAACTTGTATTTATTTATAAGACTAAAGTGATGCATCAGTGCACAAGAATGGCAAAGGATTCTGGGAATTGACATTCTATTGATTGCCAAATAGCCAGACTGCCATTCATTGCCTGTTACGTGCCCCCTAGCCTTTCTTCCTACTTGTATATTTTTATTTTAGCCAAAATCAGACATCAAGGGGGGAAAAGTTACAGAATGAGGCTTGGCATTCCTAGAAATTATTGGCATGTCATATTTTCTGTTCCCCCCAATCTCCCAATCCAGAAGAGTCAATATTAATAGAGCATAGTTCACACATTATTCAAACATAATAATCCAAAATATTGACAAAAAATATTAACTCTTCCACCTGGAGTCATAGAATGTGCATGCAAGAGGCTGGATTCTTCGTTGGACATGATACAGCTCTCATGGAGTATGTGTCTGTATGTACGTATAAACATTTACCTGCCATCCAGAGATAGAAGTGTTTGGTTAATATGTTTTGTAGTCGATAAAACGTGTTTACTCACATGCATTCCTGGTTTAACCAAGCTCACCTGGAGCTCTTTGTAAATGTTCCTATTTAGAACGTGCCCTTGAGGTGTCAGCGCAAGAGGCTTTTCACTCTCCTGTTCTCAATGTATCCCTAAACGTCTGGGCTGGCCGATAAACCGGCAGTGCTCTCCGAGTTTGTGAAAAGAAAGGTAAAAAGAGATGGTAATGAAACCAAGTCTAAATAAAACATTCAGAGTTAGGAAAGTGCACAGCAGTCTCTCCACCAACCCATGTCATGGCCAGCTTGGCTCGAGTGCGTTCTGTTCATGACTGCTTACATTTTAGCGGTGCCTTCATTGAATCAGAATTCATATGTATGGAACCAAAGACAAGAAGACTTAGAACTTGAATGATGTAGATCACACTCCAATCAAGAGATAGTTAATTCCATTAGCAGGCTAGCCTTTAGTAGGACTTTTACAAACCATCTATTTAACACCTTCACTGCCAGCTGTTCCATTTAACCTTTGTAGTGCCAGGGAAATGTGCTGTTGCGGTTAATTAAACTCTAGTTGCAAAATGTGCTCAAGAAGTAAAACCTTAACTTATTTAGCGCCTAAGGGTTGAGCCGCAATCTTCCCTGGCACTGAGAGGGTTATTGGTTGCTTTTTAAAATCACTTGAATCCCCAGACATGCAGCCATGCATCAAATGGCAAAAACACTGCCAGCGAGTGCCGCTTTTTCGCATTATCGTTAAAGATGCTGCATTTTATTTGTATATTGTTTATTAATTTGATATATTTTATCTGTAGAAAAAAAGACAGTATTTTTACGCTATTTAGGTATAAAATAAACATTACTGCTAAAAATCCAAATAAACGTATTTGTACTTTATTAAAACCTGCTGTGATTGTGTTTTATCTTTTGCAATTTTTATAATTGAGTGCCATGTAGACCTGCAGGGCCTTTCACTAAACGCCACATTGTATCAAATTTTAATCCATTTTCAAAACACAAACTAAAATAACCAAGGTGCGACAATGGTGGTGTTAAAGAAATCTTCCAAGTCTGCTATTTCCAGCTCCATTTTGTAAATCAGATTTAGTTTGTTAAAATACGTAGGATTAGTGAAAAATCTTGATAGAGTATTTTAAATACCCAGCCCACAAACCGCAAGTTACTGGCAAACTTTTTATGGGTGTTTGTAGTTTTCGAAAACTGGGAATTCAACCCGGGTTTATTGTTAATAACTTATTGCGGATCCATTGACCAAGTTACAATTGATTGCAAATTGCACAACGGATGAGATACAGTTTAGTATAGTTTCTTCTCTGTGTGTTTAGAGTTTGCTGTTTACACTGTACATTTACAATGATAGATCGCTAAAACAGAGAAGGACACGTTTCCAGAAAGAGGACACCCACTGTCAACGGACACTGATAAACTAAGAAGAAATGATACCGGATATGTTTGTTTGACTTGGCCTACAACATACAAAATCCAGCTCTCCATTCACTAAACAGCAATTTCAGATCTTACGGAATGTAATTGTTTTATTTAAAAACATCTTTACCTAGGCAAAAAATAATGGGGGTGTAGTTAGAGTTTGTGATGATACATTGCATAAGCCTGCCACAACGTCAATGTTTCCCATTCTTGGCAGGTCCTACTCCAACAACCTAATGTCTGCTCTTATGAGGTTAATCCACTTGGGAAATCCTTCCTCCTGGAACTCTCTTCAGTACAAGGCTAAATAGGGCCCTGGAATGAGGCACCTGTGACAGGGAGGGGTGCAAAACCAAGGAGTTGGCCTGAACTCCCAAATATATTAATGAAACCGAGAGGGCTTCACTCACCTGAACATGCTGCTGATGCCAATTCATACAACATACAAAATCCAGCGTTCTCGCTCATTCACTAAAAAGCAAGTTCAAGTCTCACAGAATGTAATATAGTTTTATTTAAAGTAAAATAATGGGGATTTAGTTTTAGTTACAGTATATGATCATACATTGCCACATTCTTGGCTCTGATGTGTCCTGCCTAATCTCTGTTAATTTTGCATTCCAAAAATCCAGGGTATGAGTAGAGTTAAACCTGAAATGAGCACTGCATGATGGGTAAGAAACTTAATGTTTAAAAGCAACAAAATTGAATTCAGGAATTCTTTTACATGCCTTTGTACATTTTTTTTTTTTTTGTTTATACCAAAATTGTAATTGCTATCTCACTGGATTTTCCACCTGCTATCAGATGATCCCCAGGCTGTACTATAAATAATATGTATTGATTCTACAGAGCCTTGTACATAGCGTGTGTAACTCTGGAGGTCTGATAAAAGTTACAGTCACATTAGGCTAGGGCATTAAAGGGAACTGTCATTTTGCAGTGTATTTAATGTCATCTTTACGTATCCTCTCTATTAAATATGTGTTTAAACCATTACTGCATGATGGGTTAGAAACTATTTTATCCAAAATTATCAAAGGAATGAGTTATTTTACGTGGATTAGTTCATTTGCAGGAATACTGTACAGGGCTATGACCCAGTTCAGTAGTACGGTATTTAAATCGACAGCCTAATGATCATTTTAATGCTAGCCTGACTGTCAGTTTATCATGATGTGATGTGTATTTCTATTTATGGTCATGTGAACAAAATAACAGGGCTTCTGCAAAAATTAGATTGAAGGCATTCGTCCATATACAATTCCTGTTAATTGATACCAGAAAAAAATTGATTCTAAATCAGTCTCACCTGTAGGCTCCATAGGTGAAACTACAGGTAAAACAATTAGGAACTGATTGGTTCTGTATTTACCAGGAATTTTATTCAGACGAATCGCTTAAATTGACACTATAGTTACCAAAACAACTTTAGCTTAATAAAGCTGTTTTGGTGTATAGATTATGCCCCTGCAGTCTCACTGCTCAATTCTTTGTCATTTATTATTATTATTGCCATTTATGTAACACCAACAGATTCCGTAGCGCTTTACAATATTATTAGAGGGTGGATGTAACTATAAATAGGACAATTACATGAAAACTTACAGGAACGATAGGTTGAAGAGGACTCTTATTCTGGAACGGCTGCAAAGGCTATGAATGTGTTTTTTCAGGAGCACATGGAACTCATTGCCCTGATGAGATTATCCATACCAAATCACCTTCCCAGATAGTTTACTCAGTCACAACTCACATGAAAGAAGATCTGGCTGCGTTTATTCGTCATATGATCTGTAGAATGTGCAGTTACAACAGGTAAAAGAAAGTTTCTTCCATACAGGTTAGGAGAGATACAAGTCACATATGAAAGTACAGCATAGAAAACACTAGAACAGGAGAGCGGAGTACCTGGAGCAGCATGCAAACTATGGAGTGACACAAGAGACAAACTTAAGATGAACATTAAAGAAACAGTACATTATAATTAAACAATATCATGTAACATGACAACCCTGCTTAAACGAGCTTACAGTCTATAGGAGGTGGGGTGTAAAACACATTAGGACACAGGAAATATTATGCAGCCCTAGTCACACCTCCCTGCATCTGACATGCACAGCCTTCCTAAACTCTTCCTGTAAAGAGAGAAATAATGTTTACACTTCCTTTATTGTAAATATTATTTCATTTAGAATTTCTTTTTTCCTGTTCTGTCAAAAGCTTGCTAGACCCTGCAGCAGCCTCCCGTATGTGATTCAAGTTCAGTTTACAGAGCAGGAGATAAAAACTTTTAAAGTAAGTTACATCTGATTGAAAATGAAACCATTTGTTTTTATGCATGCTGTGCCAATCACAGCCAGGAGAGGTGTGGCTAGGGCTGCATAAACAGAAACAAAAGGGGTTTAACCTCCCTGGCGGTAATCCAAGCGTGGCTCGGGGTTAATTTTCAGTACCAAAAGTGGTAACCCTGAGCCACGCTCGGGATTACATTGTAGTATCACTTACCTTGTCCCTACGAGCCCCTGGTGTCCTCCGCCCGATGGCTGGCATCCGTCTTCCGGGTTCCCTTTCCCTGCGAGCACCACCTGAATTAAAAATAAATAAATAAATAAAAATATGCATTCATATAATACATTGTAAAAACAATGTACTGCTTTAACATTAAAAAAGGAGGTTAAAGGAACACTATAGGGTCAAGAACACAAACATGTATTCCTGACCCTATAGTATTAAAGATACTATCTAACCCCCTTGCCCCTCTAACTATAGGAAAATCTTACCTTTATTCTAGTCAGCTGGTGCTGACTCTGCCCCTGGCCTGCCTCCTTGGCTGACATCATCAGAAGTGGGGATCTCAGCCAATCACAATGATTTCCCATAGGAAAGTATTGGATCAACTGAGATTATCAAGGAGGTAGAACAGGGTCAGAGCCAGCACATAACTTCTAAATGGCAGTGAACTGAGACTTCAGAGGTGTACCTTTAAAACTATTTTTATTTTCACAAGTCTAAACGCCTACTTTTTGAATATCTTTCTCAATACTTGCTCTTGGAACCTGCATCCAATAAGCAGTATTTACATTATTATTACTGTGTTATACTCTCCTCCATCCAATGCAACATATGCAGGTTACATAGTTACATAGCTGAAAAGAAGGCAAAAAAACCCTATTTGAAGCACTTCCAATTTTGCAAGAAGCTAGGAAAAAAAATTCCTTCTTGACCCCAGAATGGCAGTCAGATTTATCCTTGGATCAAGCAGTTATTACCCTACATTGAAAGATTATATCCTTGAATATTCTGTTTTTGCAAGTATGCATCTAGTAGCTGTTTGAACATCTGTATGGACTCTGATAAAACCACTTCTTCAGGCAGAGAATTCCACATCCTGATTGTTCTTACAGTAAAAAAACCTTTCCTTTGCCTTAGATTATGTTATTAGGTTAGGCTAGGTTAGGTTATTCACTAAATAATGACTTGTCATGGATTCAAAGTGAATTTCAAATGTTAGGCTGAAATGTTTTAAATTGGAAAAATTCTCCAAGTTTTCAGTACTTCTAATTTGGCCTCAATTTTTTAATTCACTTCGAATTCATGACAAGTCACTCTTCTGCATAACTCAGACAGCTATTCTCTAAAATCCAAATGTCAAAATTAGAGTTAAAGCAACCGAGCTGAGATCTATTTGGATTTCAAATTGCACCAATTTGTAGCTTAGTAAATAAACCCAAATACGTGATTCCCAGTTTGGTACAAATCTTGTTCTGTCCATAAAGGGCATTAGTTCGATGTACTTTTTGGTTTTTCAGACAATCCAATGTGTATCAATAAGTATTTAAAAAAAAAAAAAGAAGTTATTTGAAGCATAGACACCCTATCCACTCAATGATTTTGTTGAAATATTTTTGTTTTAAAAGATTTGTTACAAGGCCTGCTGCCCCAAATCAGTGCTCCTCAACCCTCTCCTCATGGCACACCTAACAGTCTAGGATTTCAGGATAACCCAGGTGTAGCGGAGATGCAATATTCCCCAGGTTATCTCCGCTTATAATCCAAGTGAGGCTCAGGAACAAGTAAATAATAAATCCACAGGCAAGGTTTCCAGCAGGTAAAATAACAGCAATATCCCAACAGCAATCCCAATAACTGGACGACACACAGTTTCAGGAGCAGAACTGAAATCTTTAATCCACACTGTCCTTTTAAAGCGTGCTCCCATGCAAGGGAGGGATTTACAATCATTAATACAGTAGCCAATCCTGTCCTGGTAACCTCCCACACATCTCCTCCTCTCAGCCAGCATCATAATCCCCTTATCCAGGACACCAATTCCCCCCCATTTCTGGATGTACCCCTAAACGTAGGGGTACCTCTTTAAATCCTACATCCCCGGATAGCCCTGATCTGGGTGCACAACATATCCAAAAATCACCCAGATCAGACCAGGGGTT